ATCCATGAATGCATTTTAAATCTGTACATAAATTCTATTTGATGTAGTTCTTTCAGATGCTAATACTTCTCTTGAATGGCAGTATGATGCACATGAAGTGTTGTTTGCGACAAGTAATTTAGGAACATAAAGGAAATCGGTGAGTTATATATTCTTACTAGGATAATGCATTCTCGTGTTGTTTATTCCATTCTAAAGTGTCTGAAGGTGGGTAAATGTTGGCTTTGCGATTCTTGTTATGAACTGAAGCTACGTTGGCAAACTCTGGGTTTATGATGTTGATGACTGAATTATATACATATGCGGACAAAATTATGATTGCGGGCAACATACTCACCGTTGCAATTAAGGTATAGCATGTCACAAATACGGAAAAACAATTATAGAAAATTTGCGATACTTCTGAAAGCTTGAAGATGCAGAGCAATAAATACGGAAAAAACTGTGCAGTTGGATCGGTTGAGGATCATGTCGAGAACTGATTTCACGCGATGGCGATCGCCAAGAAATGGCAAGTGCGCGGGCTTCTCATTCGCAGTGAGCTGGTGCCTGGCCCTCGAGCCATTGGCCCTCGGCAGCAGCCGCAGAGGGTAGATCGCACAGTAACGTGGTGCCCTTGATGGCGCATCACCAAACATGCGGACCGATGGATACATTTACATGACCTGGTCTGACCGGCCACTCTGCGCATGTACCCCAGAGGCGAATCTAATTTGCCGTCCCGTTGCGTTCTGACTGTCCGTTGGTGCACGGTCTTGACCGGCAGTTCCTGTCGCACGCCTTCCCGTGCGTTCCAAGAGGGCTCGCGACCATGAAACGCGACCGCGATCAAGACCGCGAACGCGAAAGTGAAATCGAAAGCGAAGCCGGCTCGAGCGTCCGCACTCGGTTCGAAAGCGACCGACCGGGGCGAGATTTGAATTGGGAGCGTGTCAGCCCGCTCCTCCCTGAGGAGCGTCCGTTGACGCGGCGGACCATCGCGCCGAGAGCGTCCGCGACAGGGAGGCGCTGTACCGTTGCAGCGCAGCGCAGCGCTTGTGGCCAGTACAGTACGAGCCGGTCGCCGACCGACGGCGATCGCCTCCGAGTGACCGCCGGACCAACATTCGAACCAGCGTATCCGTCTGTCGAATCAAGTGAAGCATATGAATGCCATGTCCTTGCCCCTGCGGGCCTATGTCGAGTCTATGCTATCTCCAAATATCGCTCCATATCATTTCGGGGCCGATTTATATTATTATTTTCGAGTTATATTTTTTTAATCGCCGGCCTATCCGCTTTACAAAATGAATGTGCCTAAATATGAACGTTACGCAGGGGCCTGGGCCTACTATAACATTCATGCATGGACGTCGGGGCAATGGCTCACGCGGTGTAGTCCCCGCTAACGGTACTCTGGCCTCGAACGGGAAGTGGGGACGGGGACGGAGCGGAGGCAGGGTAGGGGGTTTTGGGCTCGTTCTCTTCGTCCGGGGGGTTTGAAAAAATCGGGCCGCTTTGACCGGCGGTGGGGACTTCCCTGGCCCGGCTCGCCACGTGGCGCGGGGGAACGAGTGGACGCTGGCCGAAGTCCAACGAGCCCAGCGGCTAATCATGTGATCAAGCGAGCATACAGGCTGCCAAACCCCCTAATATGCTTTGCTCGCTGCTCGCTTTCTCGCTTTATTCATGTCTTCGAGCTCGGAGTGGGCCAGGGGCTCCGATGGGTTACAGCGTGTGCAGCGAGACATGGAGCTGTAATCAAATCATCACCCAGCGAGAGAGAGAGAGACAGAGAGAGAGAAGAGGAAGAAAAGATGAAAAGATGAAGAGGAAGAGTTAAAGAGGTAGGGAGAGAGAGAGAGAGAAGAAAGTGGGAAGGGGAAGAGTTAAAGTTGTAGGTGGAGTGCCGGTCATAAATTGCTGAGATCACCATCTCTTCAAGCAAGAGAACATGGCGGGGTTGACACTGCAATTTATCATGGCAGCAGCGGCAATTAGTGCGAGGAGTGAAGGAAGAAATACGAAGTAGGTCGTCGGGACTCTCTGCCATAGCTGTGCTTGTATGCTGCTGCTCACACCTGAAATCAGAGAGAGGGAGAGAGAGGGAGAGGGCAACGAATTCGAGACGATCGTCTATGATTTCATAGAAGGCGACTGGATAAATCGTACCCCACATAAGAAGCATCAGCAACAACAAACCGGAGCATGAACGATCTTCATTGATTTCTGTTGTTGAGGAGGAAATCACACTCCACCGATCGGCGCTAAATCCGGGTTGTGGTAACTTGTACTCCATGGCAAATGGCACGATCATGTGGAAACCAGCCTGACGTGAACAGGGAAGGGGATGGGGCCCGCCCGCCCGCCCGCCCAGCGGGAGCAGCAGTGGCGTTGTAGTAAGACGAGGGCATGGACGGATGCCAGTCGAAGAGATGCCTTGCAAGCAGATGAATGACGATGAAATATGAGCGTAATGTGTGTCATCATGTGCCGGGGAGAAGATTTCCAGCCTGAGGACCAGCCGGTGCCATTGACGAAATGTCAACCTCCGGGTTTGGCTGGACACCTGGGAGCAAATGGCTTGGGTACTGCTGCGTACAGACGGGGCTGGGAGGGAGGGAGGGAGGGAGGGAGGGCAGCAGGGCGGCCCTGCTGCGAGCATAGACGATGAACCAAAGTTGGAGCTCGGTCATAGTGATGTAACACTGCAGATCCAACATTCCCTTAACAACCTTATCACTACTATATCATATTCACAATCTCTTGAGAGCGCAAGTACAGAGCCAGCAAAAGCTCCAGCTTGTTTGTTTGGTCGCACACGGTACCATACCACTCTCCTCACTCCACCACCTCACGACCGAACCGGCGCCATGCCATGCCCTTCCCTTCCCTGCCCTTCCCTGCCCTGCCTCCCCCCTGCCCTGCCCCAGACGACGTTTGGAGAGAACGAATAGCTTGCCCTTGCACAGCTAATGGATGAGGAAGAGAGGTAGCTGAGCTGAGCTGAGCTGAACTCTACCGTAGGCGACGCAGGGACGAGAGGCTCCATACTGTACTTCTTTCATTCAACCATGGACGACAGACAGCACGTGTGTCCGGAAGGGTCCATGGGTTCTGCGTTGGCTGCCGAAAGCACCACGATGGTGCACGAAATGCGAGCCGAATGCAACCCCGATGGATGATTGATTATAAGAAAATCTGCATAAAGCACACCTCTGGACACATTTGCCGACTGGGTTTCGTGCGTTCGAGCCAAGCCAAGTGGTCATCCCTCCATCCATCTCTTTCATATTCTCAACATTTGCCCGTCCTTCCCGATTCGGCAATGTCCCTCGGGCTCTGAAGGACGAGCGGAGACGAGACGCGCAAAAGTCCAGACTCCATGCTCGTGTTGACCGAACACGGAGCGCTGGGGGGGGGGGGGAATGCGTGCGAGCGTGTGCTTCCTTTGTCGATGGACGATGATCAGTTGACAAAGGGGCGAGACGAGGTGCTATTCCATGGACCAGTTCTTCTCCTCCTAAAGCCAAGGAGGATGGATTACTGTGCGAGTCTATGATTGAGAGAGTGTGCGAGAGAGGGGAGGGGGGGAGGGGGGAGGGGGGAGGGGAATATACATCGCTGCTTTAAAGGGGCGCGAGGAAAGGAAAGGTGGAATAAAGGGGGAGGAGGGGGGGGAGGGGAGGGGGAGGGGAGAATGTACGCCTTTAAGAGCGGCACCGACCCCAGACGTAATAACTGGTCGGTCCCGCGGGCGCGTTCGCCACCATCGAAAATGATGATCGGACGGTGGGAGGGCATAAAATAGCGCGCAAATATTGAGCAGCAAAAACAAAGAAATAGTAATGTTCGAAAAGGAAGGCATGGAAACTTCTGAATCCGATTCTTCGCGGCACGAGGTAGCGTCCAGGGCGATCGCTTTTGGAGTGTTTTGTTGCGCTCGCGCGGCGTGAAGTAATTCGTCGCCATTCCATTCCATTCCATTCATTCATTGAGTTCATGCGAAGGAATGCATCACCCTGAAATCCAAAATTTGTCCCACAGGCTCGGCATGGATCGATCGATCCGTCCCCATGCCCCGAGCTTTGACTCGTTCTCGGCAGCCACAGACCTACCGGATTATATAGCCAAATAATTGAGAACGGATCGAGCGAAAGCGCGCAAAGAATATCTAGCACGAAACCGAGCCCCCGACCCCCCCTCCCGGGGGCCTTCACGGGCGTTGTTAGAAATCGGACGTGGCGGACGACGGAGGCCGAGCCCCCCCGCCCACAGTTGTCGGTCGGTCGCTCCAGGGGTGCTAACCGCGGTTACGGGCGAGCGCGGCCGGGGAGAGGAAAAGACGGCGCCGCCAAGTTCCCACACGGTATTCGGGAAGCACTTGACCGGCGACGTTGACCGGTGTCCGTCGAGGAGGAGACGAGGGCGAGAGACCCGCGGGCCGGGCGAGTGACCGGTCCAGACTTCCCGGGCGGGCGGGCGGGATTATCTCGCCACGTGGTGCGCGTCGCGGGGGAGGGAAGATCGTCGAGATCGGACGGTGCGCGGTGGATCGCGATAATAATTCCGGCTGCATTATTCGGCCCGGATTTGCGGCGCGGGGCGTCCTCCGTCTCGGGCCTGCTCGCCACGCCGAGCACGAGCGTGGACCCTCGGCCTCAGAAGACCCGACGCGGATCGGCGGGTTCCCGACGATGCACGGAATATGCCCTCGATGCTGCGCGGATGGGGGCGGGGCGCGGGTGGCCCGCGATGGCTGCGGAAAGCCTGAGGCACGCCCGCGGCGCAAACGACGCTAGAGCGAAGGTTCCGACGCCTCGTCGCCCTCCTCCTTTCTGGGAACGGGGCTGTGGGGCTGGGGTTGGGGTTGGGACTGGGGCAGCGAAGGCACGTTTTACTATTCCGCAACCCCAGGCTGGAAGAAGTTACCGCGCTGTGGGGGAGGGAGGGGGCAACCCAAACTTCCCGTTAATCGTACAGATTAGAATTTCAAACGCTGGGAGGCCGGGGCTTAATGAATGACGTGCGGGGCTCGGAGGCGGAACGTGGTGCCGCCCGCGCTGCGCAGCGGGCGGGGCGACGGTAGCTGGCCCCCGCTGGGCGAGCGGCGCAGGCGTTGGCGATGGCGACATGGGGCTGGCGGGAGCAGAAGGCGCTCGCAGGTCGTGACGGGGGCTCACGAATTGGCGGAGCGAAGTCAGCGATGGCGGGAGGTGATTACGGGCGCTGTTAGGGTTGATTGATTGATTGATTGACTCCCCGCGCGCGGGGTAAGCGAGTTGGCCGGTGGGGGGTTGGGGCTGGGGCTGGGGGTGGGGGAAAAAAAAAAGGTGGCTCGCGCTCGTTGCGATGGAGTGTCCGGGAGTGGCGGTATGACCCTGTTGTGATTGAAGAAGGGCGAGGGGCTGAGTCGAGGCAGGGCGGGGGAGGGGGAGCGGAAGGGGGGAGGGGGCGATGGTCGAAGAGGAGGAGGAGGAGGAGGTATGTTGATGAAGAAGAAGGCGGGGGGCTGGCAGGGACGAGGAGGTCGGGGTCGAGGACGAGGAGGTGGTGGAGAAGAAAAGAGAGGCGAGGCCGCGAGAGAATGTGGGAGAGTTGTAGTAGTAGTAGACGTAGCTGTAGGAGGAGCCGAGTGAGGGAGCGCGAGTGTGAGGGAGGGAGCGAGCGAGAGGATTGGAGTGCGAGTTGTGGAGGGATTGGGAGTGGAGGGAGCGCGAGCGAGGGCGGAGAGATGAGGAGGAGGCGAGGCCGCGAGAAGAGAGGGAGGATGAAGGCAGGGCCGCGCAGAGGCGAGGATCGCACAGGGAAGTGAAAAACGACGGGGGAAAGGGCGAGGCGAGGGCCGGAGGTCGAACGAGGAAGTCGAGAATTGGGATTCCCCCGAACGAATCAGAAGCAGCACCGTAGCGGAAATCGCAATCGCGAGGCGCGAGACGCTTGACGGTACGAGATGGTGTTCTGAGAAATTTGAGGAGAACGCGAGGAGGGAGGGAGGGAGCGAAGGGGCAAGCGGGAGGAGATGGCTCAATCGGCCAGCTCCTGCGCTTCTTCTCACTCTCGACCTTCGTTCTCTGCTTCGTCGTCGGACAGCAACCCTGCCTCTCCCCGGACCCCGTCAATTTGTAAAGAGGGACGACTGGATTCTGCGGTTGAGGAGTGTTGTTGCGCGACATCGCCTCCGCTCTCGCCGTTCGCCGCACCGGTGGAGAAGGAGCGATCGTCGCGAGAACATGACGCGGCCTTGTCGCTCATCGAGAGGTTGGACGATGGCTGGTTTTGGGATAATGTGGTGAGCTGCCGCTGGGGCCAAGCCGCCTCGTCCCTGCCCGCCATCGCCGAAGGTTCCGGTTCAGCAGCAGCAGCAGCAGCTAGAGATAGATTGGCGGGAGACTCCGCATCCGCGCATGGAATTCGACCCCCTGATGCGGCGGGACACAGCGCCAGCCAGCGGGATGTCCTCAAGGCTCCCTTCCGGAGCATCGAGATGGTGCAGCCTTTCGTCACGTCGCGGAGCTTTTCCGGTGCCAGGGATGCGCGAGATCATCAAGGTCTTCCTAGGTCCAGATTGAGGCCGCTCACTCGGCGGACCGGAAGTATGGACGAAAAGCAATGGAAAGACATTAGCTTCAGCGACAGCGAGCAGAAGCATTTCACCCGGGCGCCGCAAGATTACTCTATCCCCCTTGTCGGAGATAAGCGAATTGAGGTGAGTTCTCTCCTTCTCGTTCACACCTCACGTTGCACCTCGATGCACACGAATTGGTCTCCCAGATCTCGCTGCAATTGTCGAGTTGCGCATCCCGCATCCCGGAACTAGTCTTCCTTCCTGCACCATTGAACTCCGTGATTATGAGCTTCACGAATCCTGCCGCTGGGCCTCGCTGACTGATTTTGATGTCGTCTTGGCGTGCAGCCCTCCAATTTGGGCCTGGGCCAGGTGAGGAGAAGGAGGAACACGATGTTGGACGTTGTTGTACCGTCCAGACGCTTTTCTGATGGCGACGAGACCGCAGACGAAGTGAGCGCACCTCTGGCAAACGTCCGCGAGGAAGGCGAGAGCGCTCCTGAGGACAAGTCCTCAAACAAGGTGAGCGCCGGAGAAGTGTGAGCTTATGTCTCTCTCTGTGTCTCTGTGTGTGATTATGGCTTCTCCGAAATCTAGCGAGCTCTGGTTAGCGGGACGGCAGCACCTCGTAGCCATGGGAAGAGTGCGCAAGCTTGGACTGAAGCTGGTTTCGAAGGCTCTTAGGGACTCGAGGGTGGGGCGAAGTTGACGAGCGCAGGCAGTGACAGACATCGAAGCGCACAGGGCCCATCGAGAACCAGTGTGGTCGATTAAGAGTAATCCGACAGAATGTCTGAGCATTCAATTGAGGCAGTTTGTTCGTCGGCTCTCCTTTTTCCTACGTTCGTTTCGGTGTGACAAGGTTCCTTCGTTTCCCGGAGGCTGGGGTAGCATGGGCTTCGAACTCGAGCTCAAATACGGCGTAGAGGCAACATAACCGAGAAAATTATGAGCGGTGCTTTGCCAAGATATCTGGCCGTCAAATTGACAACTCGAGCAGAAATGCTGGAGAAGGACCAAGGTATTACCTTGGCCCTTCTCGAGTTCGAAGCCTGACGGCCAGATGTCACAACAGCGCTCATCGTTCGCCCGGTCATGTACCTCTACGCCGTGCGTGTGTTTACATCAACGAGGCTTTCGGCTAGTATACGCGCTTCTCTCGTATATTCGATGTGTGCTGAGAAATTGCTCTGGTTTGTTCTGAAATCGGCTTGCCCAAGGTGCTCGGAATGCTTCTCTACATCTCCTAGCGACATGTGATGACTGGACCACTGTAGGCCTGTCTGGAGTGCTGACTACCACTCAGTTGTGGAGTCGCGCAAGTGTTTTTCCTCTCTTGCTTTTCCACCACATCGGATTCACTCTTGCGGGAGATAGATTGACAGTCTCGTACTGTTATCATTTGAAAGTACCACTTGAAAGGCTTCAGCTATTGATACGGTCCCAGAGATTTGAGCTCGGAAAGTACTGTGACAACTACGGGATCCTCGAGGGACTGACTGTACGTATCTCGTGGCTCCGCTTCGGGCCATGAGGTACACGTCTCGAAACCAGGTCCCGATACTGACGGTCCTGGAAAGCTCTCCCGGGGCAGGCGTGTACTGCAAGGCTCTCGTACGAGCAAAAGACGATGCATTTTTTGTCGTACACTCTCGCCGAGAATCGTTCCAAATGCACGTGGATTGATTCGGGATCTACTTATTCAGATTTTTAGGACCCAACCCGCGTCGAATTACGCAGGTGGTGAGAAGGACGCCACATATAACGTGTCCTGATTACATCACGGTTGTGTTCTTGCATATTCTTCATCGTTGTCGTTATCACTCTGTCCCGGTGGAATATGCATTTTTCTCAGAGCTCGTCTAGTGTCAAGCTCTGCGCTTCAATTGCATTCTCCTTTTCGCGACATTGTGCGTCTGTTGATTACTACATGATCTTAGTCCTTCTGCCGGAGAGGCTTCTGCATTTACATGATGAGTTGATGAATCGATTGAGTCGTATAAAGAGCTAACCAAAGTCCGTTGAATTGTTCAGAACCAGGTTCCACCAAAGCTGGTGCTGCCAGGCAAGTTGGGAGGCATCATAACAGGCAGAGATTTGCGGAATGATCAGACAGATAGCAATACGAAGTGGACGCCCCCTCAGAGGCGTGGAGGCAAAAGGGGAAGAAGAAAAAGTTCAAAAAGTTTAACAGAGATCGAGTATGATGAAATGCGGGGCTGCATGGACCTTGGTTTCAGTATCAACAAAGACGACCTCACTCCCCGGGTTGTCAATGTGTTTCCTGGCGTGAAGGATGCCTACAAGGGCGGAGATGATCCATTTTTAAATTCTCCTCGAGATAGAGCCAATTCTCCAAAGGGCTGGCACCGACGGCCAGAGTCGCCTCTGCTCAAGTGGCAGTTGCCTACACCGAATGGCAACAAAGTGGATATGAAAGCTCAACTGAAGTTCTGGGCCCATGCCGTTGCATCTACAGTGGCTGCGGAGTGCTGATCTCTTCTCAGTGTTCTGCTCCCAATCAGTTTCAATTGTCCTACATCAAATCAGGTCTTTAGAAATATGTCATCCTGCAAGGCAATCCGCAAACATGGAACATGGAAGGCTGCCGAGTGGAGGAAGTGGTAACCAGCGCTTTGACATCTTATATTTGAGGGCTGGGTAGTTCGTGTAATTATGAAAAGCTGTGGCGTGCCGAGGAACTGCAGTCTATTGAGTTTGTGCTCAATTCTTTACAGTGAAGAGCCCATAGCTGTATGGAAAGCAAGCTTGCTTCATATGGTGCTGTTTGCAAGGTTTAGTATTAAGAAATAAGGTATCTGGTAATTGTAAGGCTTTCGGGTTGCTGTGAGCTTCCGAGATGGCCACGATTGTCCTTCCAAGGCCCCCTGACTTTGGGGGGCCTTGTTACAAGCTCAAAAGGTCCGTCCCCTGGTCTACCAGACAGGTTGTTCTCCAAAAGCAGTGTATCTACGTAGTAGTCGGTAATAGGTTGTTTTCATGCGTTTAGTTTAGGGAAAACAGGGGGATAATAGCAAGGGTTGGATTGTAAACTACAGGTCTCATTGATTTTGGTTCCATTCCCTTTTCCTTCACAATAAGACAGCCCAATATGTCACTGCCTTGCTACCTACCAGCTTCCTCTGCTGCCGTAGTTCAGGATTCTGCTCCCTGTCCTGACTTCCCATGATCCGTCTTATCTCTGGGCACCATGGAACCCCCAGCACGACCTCGTGTCGGTAGGTCCTACAAAAGAGCCCTCTCTCATCTCCTCTTTGCTACATCGTCTCTTAGAGTGTGAATCTGCTGTGCAATTGGGTCTCACCAGGCAGATTCACGTCTACACAGGTCTGTCTACTGTGCCGAAATCACGGGAAGCTCCCACGCTGTTCCCAATTCTGCTCATCCACTAGTTTGTTTGTAGGAAGGTGTGCTCATAGGAGTGGGCGAAGGTTGCCTTTCACAGCTTGTAATATTAGGCTTGGCAAGCTGGGAAGGGGAGCCTGCAGACCCGAAGTGGACGTGCTACCGGTGCCCTGTTTCCCGAGCAAAAGATTATCCAAGTCATTCCCTCAGTCTTCTTACAGTGTGTATGTGATTAGTAGAGACCCCAATGTATCTCTCCCTACATGGGTCTCCTCCTTTCCTCTGCAAGAATTTCTCTTCCCCCTCCTTCTGCTCTGCTATGTCCTTCCAGGACTGAGGGTCCATGGCTCCTCTGGCCATGGCAGGCAACCTCAATGAAGATATTCCTCTAACCTCTATCTTCCTCCCTCTATTTTCCTCCCCATCTTCCCATCTTCCCCTCTTTCCCTCTCCCCCTCTCCTCATCTTCTTTCTCATCTGGACAAGACTGTCCTCTGACTCAGGAAACGGGCCCAAGCACTGCCTACTTCTCCCAAGAAGTATAGACTCCGGAAATTTGAAAATTTGTAGGTTGTTTGTAAGTTATGAAGTAGGTTAGGAAATTGTATCTTTAGAGTTGGAAGAGCAGAAGCGGTGGACTCTGTGGACTCTTGAATTCAATAGACTGCAGCAAAGTAGGCCTTTATATACGACTACGCCCCATCAGTCTTGCTCATGGATTGGATATTACTTGTGTACTGATGTTTATTCTGATTCTCCTGCCTTTGGCCGAGGACCTGACCAATGCTGTTCTCGCTTTCAAAGAATTGAGTGCATGTCGCTATAAGTACTGTACTGTGTCTTTGCCGCAAGTGTGTTGTTGTTGGTCGTACAGTGGCTGATCTTTGTCGGTTTTGTCATATCTCGGTTTCTGTTATGAGAGCTTAAGGCCAGGATGAAAAGCTTCGTGCATTTGGTCATTCTCTCTTTCTCTTTCATGGTGTGCAATGGTACGGCAGGGACGTGTGCGTATCTTGTCTTCTGTCAAATCTGGAATGTATAAAAATGTGTTTTCTAAATTTTTATGGATTGGAGCTATGCTGTCGTTTAGAGGGTAAGAAGGTCAAATCCTACCAGAATGATAGGAAACACTGAGTTTATCGTTTCGGAAGCTTCTGAAGCAGTGAAGTTCCACAGTGAAAAATCTGATATCATTCTACGAAATTTTGATTCCTGAACCAAGGTTCAATGTGTATAATGTATCGAACTATCATTATATCCGCATTGAGAAATTTGTCAAATGAAACATTGAACTCTAGCCTGACTTTTCATTTTCCACACTTCAACAGTGCAAGATAAGCATTCACAATGGCCTACTACTGATGACGATTGGTCGAGAACTATGACTCAGGAGAGCGCATAATGTGGTACTCATTCTGTGTCTATTAGGCAAGTGGTGGATTTGGCCGCAGTTGGAAACAGGAGTTTTAAGAATCACATATTTCGAATAGCCTCAATCTTGTGGCTTACACTTTCCCGTCTGTATTGAAAACTTTGTTCTCAAGGGAGAGCTCTTGTAACCTTTCAGGTGAGAAGAAGAACACGGACACTATTTCGGACAGAAGGTATTCGAACGAGCAGATGGGCCCGAAGCAGCTATGGAGCCACACCTGATAGAAAACTTACGTAACTCGCTTTCCCACACATTGACTAGGTTCTATGAAAAGTTCATAGACTTTCTCCACCCAGGTCATAGAAAATCCAGGTCAGAAGGAAACACCGCTGTGTGCTCAATTATTCGTCCCGAGCTTCGCGTGCATCAAAGCCGAACATGCGAGGGACGAAAAAGGCACTGCCGCTGTACATCTGCAGGTGTTGATGTTCCACAGTGGAATGCAGTCAAGGTCAACAGAGTGGCAACGAGAACAATCTAGCGAGTACACAGAAGACTGTGGGAAACACCAATTTACCTCAAATCGCAATACTCGTGCCTTGTTTGATCGTTTCTTCCTGCTTGTGCAACAAGCAACCATCCTGACTCGTCATACCGGAATTCACCCAGCAGTCGGATATGATCAGATCAGGATCACCGGTAAACCTCTTAAAGATCTCTGGCATTTGTCGATGAAGATGGATCTCAGACCTCTGTCTGTTTCGGAAAGACGAATTCCGACACCGTTCCATGGAAAACCAGGCTGGATAGACATGAGATCGAATGTGCCACTTGTGTTCCCGGCAATGAAGATAAATCAGCAGAAATTGTGGACTGTGGATAATTCCGACTTAATGACAGGCAGCTCCAGGGACTTTGTCCCCTCCCGTGGGCTTCTGGCTTTCTCCATCTCTGCACTTTCCATCTACTCCACTCCAGTGTGGGGTCTGGGGTCTTGCGACCTCTTTCACCTCGAGCACTTTTTTCTTGTCTGACAGCTCGGACAATGCATTGGCTCTCTGGAATCAAGTTGCGCTTTTCGTCGACGCTAACGACAGATTCTCCTACCATGTCCAGTGCCGCGTCAGACTGCATTTTATAATCCCAATTCCTGCGATTCTGCACCACACAACCACGAGCAAATTCTCGCCGTTTGACTTGATCGGCCTCTTCGCTGTGTGCTGTGAAATCTATGTTGTTGAACGGGTAGATGTGACTAAAATGTCGAGACGCAATCGCGAGTTAGTGGCAGCTTGGTCCATGGAGTCACAGGCGACCGAGTGCATGGAAGGATTGCGAGGAATTTTGCTCATCCGTCATTCTCGAATGCTCGATCGGTTTCTGGAACATGACGCTCGCAGAATGCGTGACATCATGCTGCAGTGCTCGATGTCCGTCTTAAAAGCTGGACTGTAAAAGGTCAGCACAATCTCGTAGTTTGTCGCCCCATGATCCAAGTGGATGTACTAAAGCACGTCGAGGCATGGAGGAGAAACCATATCCAAGAAGCAGAGTTCTACTGCAGCTCGGAATCACAGCTCTCACGTAAATTGCTCACTTCAAATTCGGAATCTTTTTGGTGCTGACAGACTTCCCATGGCCCAGAATATACTCTGTTGTTATTCGCCATCTTCTCCCTGTTCTGTGAAACTTGGCTCCTGACAAGTTCGCCAAATCTGTTCTATGACTGACGTCGATTCCATCCAACTTCATCGTGCACCCAACAGCTCATCGACCAGTCTCACGAATCACCATTTGCTTCGAGAGTTTAGACCTCGAATTAGTGTTTGATTTGATTGCTTTTACATAGATGATATATGAAGTCCAGAAAATGGGAAATTTGTCGAAGTGAAGGATGATTTATCTCTCAATTCCATGATAGTGGAGCCCAAGTTTCCTTATTTTTGCTATATTGCTTCGCCCCTTTGATAATCAAAATTGAATTGCTAACATGGAATTCACGGTGTTCAATTCACAGCCTCTTATTAAATTTACAAATTAAGTGTGATGGATTTTTTTGTAAATCAACATATTAATGTGCTCTATTGAGTACACATCGTTTGGACGACTCAACTTAATAAATAAAAATGTCTCAGGTTTCTAATGAAAATTTAAATGAGCACTTTTAGAATAATACTGATCGATGCATTAAGAGCAAATGGTACAAAAATGTGTTATAAACTTAGAAAGCATGTTGTGAATTTATGGAGTTGATTTTGATGCGGTAGTTGGTTCAAGCTTATGTAAACTCTTCTGAGCATTATTGAAACTCTCAAATTCAGATTCTAAAGTCAAATTTGCAAAATATGAAATAATATACCATCTTCAAGTGCTTGAAAAGTTTTTTTCCGTTTGAATTAGAATCATGTTGTTCAGCTTGATCACTCAAAGCGACCCCAAGATATTGAATGAAAAAATTAAGCCTTGAAAATGATCATCATTACAGAATTGTAAGTAGAGAAGAGATGAAAAAATCATTCGTTATAAATTTTTTTTTGGGTGTATTTTCTTATCTGGTTTTTGACCTTCTTTACCATACACTAATTTTTTTTGGAAGGAAAATAATTTATTCATAAATGAAATATTTCTAAAGATTGAAATAGTCATATAGAATTATAAATGATATCAAAATTAAAATTGTTCGGAACATTTTTCTTGCTCCATAACGAATCAATCTGCACGATTTAAGTTTGACTGACCAACCAGCATTTTTTATAACGATCAAGACACTATTCCCACTGGAACTTGCGTTATAATGTAGTAAATGGATCCATGGAATAAATGACAAGGAAAATTTTAGTCTCAACAATCGGAGATGGCAGCAAGGAGGACTTGAGGAATTGGCCACTCTACCATACTCCATTCGAGTGAGGGCCGTGCACGACGTGTTCAATGCTTTCTCCATAGCTGGCAATCCATCGCTCATGTTTTCATTCTGTCAGGAGACGGGAGGTGGTGATTTTGACAGTAGACGTCATAATTCAATTCCCTGCAGGGTCAGGCCGCAAGCGTGGATCTGTACTCGTGATCGCGATGAGATTCCTCCATGGGAACGAAGTTCGTGGCAGAACGACGGTCGAATTTCGCAGTGCAGCCTCGTTCGCAACACAGATAGAGAAGTGGTCGCCGGTCACCCACCACCGGCGGTAGCCGGTCATCCTTTGCCATGAGAGCGCATGAAGGCCAATCGCCGCTGCCGCAAATGCGAGATAAGCTAGGGGGGCTATTAATAGACGCTAGCACGAAACTGCGCATCGTCCAGCGTCGATCCAGCCTGCCACCAATTTTTTTTTAAAAAAACGCCACTCGCTTCGATCGATCGTCTATTATAATGCTCTTCGAGCGCATCTTCCACGACATTGAATGAATGAATGTCGATGGCGGAGGACCTGCGGGACCGAATGAACAGTCATTCTTCTCCTCCCCATCTCTGGCCTGGTCTCCCAAGCGATGCGGGATTTAGTCCATCCCCTCCCTTCCCCTCGTTATGTGTTAAGCTTTAGGGGGCAATTTTTCCTTCACCATTTCAAAACAGGCCCTTTTGCGTATCCATGAATAAAAATTACTGGCGGGCACATATCTCAACACGTAACTCGACACCAGCTTGTTGCAACGACCAACGAGGCTTTTATATCCATCGGCATATCAAAAAACAGCTCATCATTGAAATTAAATTGGTATTCTGACCAACAGCAACAGGTAAAGATAAAATTGATAATAATACAATCATCTCTTCATTCTTCTCTTTTCTCGCTACTCTGCAATATATACATTTACGAATTTCCCCGATAAATATCTGTCAAGAAGAATGAAGATAAAATAAAACGATATAAAAATTCCAATGAAGGGCAAAAGAGATTGATTTGACGTGAGATGAATAAAAAGTCTACTGAAGGGCAAAAGAAGTGGATTTGAAGTCAAATAAAGTAATTATTTTAATGAATGGCAAAAGAGATTGATTTGAAGTCATATAAGTAAAAATTGTAATGAAGGGCTAGATAGTTAGATTTGAAGTCAAATATACTATTTATTCAAATGAAGGGCAAAAGAGTTAGATTTGAAGTCAAGCATGGAAGTGGTCGTTATTGACTTTGGGGACGCGTGAATTATGACGCGGGAGGCGTGAGAAATAAGGAAATTGGATATGGGAGCTGGGATGCACAGATATGGGGGGGGGAAGGAGCACCGTAGCGCCGCTAACGCGGATCCGCCAAGGACGGCACGAGGCCGCCGCGGGGGAAGAGGGGGAAGAGGGGGAATTGGGAACTGCGGGGGCGATCTGGTGGTCTTGGCAGGTAGACCTGTGGCGGTGATCGGACCAAGGCCCCCCCACCCCCCAAGGCTTCCAAGGTCTCTCTCGTCCCTCGTCCCTCGTCCCCCGTCGCGCAGAAAGAGCCCACGATTCCAGAGCTCTCTGCCAACTCCAGGACGGCGGGCTGTGCCAATCTGACGCTTTGTTGTCGAAGGAAGCTGGAGCAGATCGATCGCTCGCTCGATCACAGCGGATTGCATTCGGCGCAACGTCGCATTGGAGTTCCTTCTGTTTGGTTTCTTGTGCCGCTCGACTTCGGAGCCCGGAGATCGATCGTCGGAGTTCCTCGCAAGATCGACTGTTGACCTGCACGTCTCTGCGGCTTCTCTTCCTCTTCCTCTTTGCAGTGAGCGGCAGGCGGGCTGTTTGCTGGAAATTGGAGACCGGTGCTCTTCGCTTCCTGTGGAACTTATTTTTATAAATTTTTGCTGAGACCAGGTAATTGCCATCACGACAATCTGTCTAGTGTCGATTCTGGGAGTGAGGCGAAGGAGATTGCTTTGTGGTGGGTTTAAGTCAGTCTCTGAGCAATGTTACTCTGTTACAGCTTCTAACAGTCAGTCTAGTTTTTGTGGTGAGGAGTATGGTGAAGATGAGAACATTGTCGAAACTCTGGAGTTCTTTGTCGCAGCAAGTGGAATTTTACTGGATTTTTCTTCCATAGAAAGTTGGACTTCTCAGCCCTCGCCTATGAAAGTGGCGGTTTTTCTGAAAATTTTAAGAGCAGAAAATTTTGGAATTTGTAAGGATAGCTCTGGAGTTCTGCAGGTCACGACCTCAGATTTTCCAGCATTTGTGATGTCGAACTTTTGTGTGAGCCGACGTACTTGATGCACTCTCAGGTCAGGCTAGCGAAGATGTCGAACCAAGCGTTGTTGATCGAGAAGATGCAGTCGCGGCAGTCATACCGCAATGTGTGGCACACAGATCTTATGCACACCGCACAAGCAGATTGTCCATGTACGTCGCTCTATTAATCCGAATTCGTTTTTGCATTATGAAATTGTTAAGCTTGTACGGTGGAACTGAACGAATTGTTCTCGTTTACATATGGTGATGCCTTTGACTTTGTGATCTCTCAGCTCCGAGTTTTGCTCTCCTTTTGTTCTCAGCTCCTCACGAGCATTTCCACTATACTGTCGCAGAGATTTTGTGCAACATACCGCTTTATTTAAGAAATTCGTTCCTTGTAGATTGAAATTAAGATTTCCGTAGGTAATCCTGACCTGTACTTGAAATACTGCGGAGGTCTGAATAACCTACTAACTGTACTTTTGTTTCTTTCCTGTTTTGCAAAAACTGCACCATCTTCAGATTTCTGCTTCGCTTTGTGGTGGTAAGCATCTGTGTGAGATTTGTGCTCCAACCGGAGAATCAATTTTGGCAGCAGACAGTATATTTCTTCTCACGAATGTATCATAGGGAACTCCATGTCAGCTTCAGTTCTGTTGAACTGATTGTGTTATAATTCTTATCCGATGATATGTAAGGAATCAAATGTATAAGGGTTTAACCTTTTTGACACTCGAGGTCATACAGGGCATAATTCTTTTTCTGCTTGTCCTGCAGCGCTCCCTGTGCCTCGTATCTGCTGCGGAAACGTGCTCTGCGCAATGACATGAACCAGTAAGTTCGTTGCTAAACATCTACTCCCCGCCTCCCTCGCATATCGGGTCAAGGTTGTAGTCGGGTTGTTGATTCCAGATCCATTTTGAAGCATAATTTGATAATAATTTATTAATTATAAAAAAATTATTGCAGATACGTTTGCTGCGCTGGATATATGCCATGCAGCGGTAAATGTGGAGAAAGGAAGGCGCCAGAGTTTTGCTTGTGTGCCGAGGTTAGTCCCGCTCTGATTTGCCACACTTTGGACGCTCCATTTCACTTATAGTTGTAAGGTGCTATAAATGAGACCTCTGCATACTAAAAGCTATACAGACTTTAAAATCTTCAAAATAATAAACTAATATCCTGAAGTTTTTGTGGGTTTACGGTCTTCTAATAAGCATTTAGGTTGAGCTCTTGTTGATAATGTTCCACATTCTGACGGGAGGGTTTGCATGTGTAGGCGTGGTGCTGTTTCTCAATCTCCGTGCAGTCAACTCGGTTTTTATTGCAAGACGAATTCAACATCCAAACCACAAAATGCGATAATTGTATCATCGTATGTATAATTTCTCTCCTCAGTGATTACCACGGGCTTTTTTTTTGCATTATCTATCTTACATATTATCTTATATCTATCTGGGTCGTTGCACACAAACCTTGTTGTCCTATTGGTTCATATCTCCTTCTCGACGTCGTACCGCTGTCTTAAAAATAGGGTCGTTTTCGAAGAATTGTAATGAAACTATCTGACAATAAGTGCATGTGTAGGGTTTCATGGTTGTCTTACAACAACTCGCATGTATATGCTCCATCATCGCATGTCTCGTCGGAAATGACGAGCTCAGTGCTGCCTCCAACGCACTAAATTGCGCCGCAGACTTAGTGTTCTGCACGTAAGTACTCAAAGCAGATCACATGACCCCGATTATCTTACAACAGCAATGTGTCGAGACGTTGGTTGCTTGTTCAGAATCGTCTTTGTATGCTTTACAAACAGCTTTCGTCCTGAATTCTGACAATCGTTTCTGTGTTGGTCTCTTTCATTGGTCGTGCAGGGTCTGTGGGTGCATGCAGGTAATATACTCTCCAATTACTCGCATTTTGTTTGCCGTTGCCATGAAATGAGCTCTGTTGTAAATAATCAGAACATGACTTGCAAGTTCTGACTCATGGTTTTACAAATCCGCAGACTCAACACAAAGTCGAGATGGACAAGAGAGATGGAATGTTCGGAGACGTAACAATGCAACCACCGGCCCAAGTAGTCATGTCTCGATTCGATCAGCCAACTCCACCCGCCGTGGGATATCCTCCACACTATCCCAATCAATATCCCAATCAAGCTCCTTACCCCAACGTACCTCCTGGATACCCCAACCAAGCTCCATATCCAGGCCAAGCTCCAGGATATCCAGTGTATGGTGCTCCTCCGCCACCAGCCTATGGCCAACAATATCCCCACTATGGCTGAACAGAATCGATGGTCAAACGCTGATTAGTGTTCGACCTGAAATCTGTTGGAGGGACATTTACTTGTTGTTTGAAAATAGAGTACCTTTCGTTGGCAGGATTTGCAGTTTTCATCTTATCGGGAGGGTTCAGACCCTGACCCAGCTCAAAGTGTGTAGAGGTCAAACAAACACATGCTGCCGAGTAGATCCGTGACCTCGTGCACACCATAGGATAGGTTCGTTAGATTCTGGGTGAGCCAGGTGCGGACTTTCAGATCAGGACCTTTCCTCATACAATGATTGTGAAGGCGTCGGCCTTTACCAAGGTATGCTTTTCAAATGCAATGTGATCCTACGCTTTTGGGGCAGGCCGGAGCTGCACCTGATCAGGAAAGAATCCAGGAATCATCCGAATTTCGTTGCGACCGGAGAATTCATCGCCGTATGGCGATAGGTAGACTCTTTCCGATAAGAGATATGGTCGATTCTAGTTCACATGCGATTTCTTAGACTCTGCTCCCGGGTAAGTCTCCACTACCCAGTATCGTCCCGTAAAAATAAATTATGTGATGGCTGCGTTATTGTAGGAGAAAGGACAGCTCTTCTTAGCTTTGCTTCACCATCGTGGAAGGTAGTGCCGAAATTTCTGCACGCCGATGCCGAAATTTCGGTAATTATTTATACAGCACTCTTGTCGATGAGTATATTGTGTATAGCTTCTGACCTGCGTCGAATGACGAAGTAAACTACAATTTTCCGCTCAGATTGGAATGATGGCTCCTTCGTTCGGGCTTCTTGGGTGTAGTGGGATTTCAAGACGGATCCACGTGTTCCAAAATCATGCCCGGAGTTTCGCTGTTATGACAGAATTCATGCTCATCGCCACAGGATTGTCTTGTACTCTTGTATGTAGTTCACATGGGCGGAGATAATTTTCGTACCCGTTTTGTCGTTCAGCTATAGATTTGATTCTTTTGGGGAGAAAAAGGGTGAGGGTTGACGACCAGTGTGTCGCTGTGTCTACTGTCGTGAATCACATGCATGCTCTGTGGCCCGAGTTTACTGTCAGGCAATTCTCATCTCACAATATGGTAATATATCAGAAGATTTGATTCTTCTCATCACTTTGCGGCAAAGCTGAATACTGAACGGCACACTCCGGAAGCTTATCCATTGGCATGAGAGACTTACAGACTGCTCCAGATAGAGTTGCACAGAATGTTGGAAGTGCTGTTCATTCCAGACGTTAGTTTCTGAGGATGGTCGCTTGAGGATGTTATCGGTGACCAGGAAAAGAATCCTTCCTTCGTACCGTTTCCAAATTCAAACACGCGCTGGTGACCGCTACTCAGCTCTAGACGTAGTGTATCCGATGTTGTTCTCACTGAATACTCTGAGAAGACAAAGCCAACTCAATCCCGGTTAACAGGAACTTCGACCCTGAAAAAATAAGAAGACACAGGACGAGAAACACGACCAAAATTCACACGTTAGCATTCACATGAACTGGACCATGATGAGTGGAAGTAATCGACTAGAGCAATTGAGTGCACGTGATCACCATTCGAAACAAAGACCGGGAATAAAGGCTATTAAAATTTGGCGACTAAATTTTTTGAAAATAATCAAAAGCCGCGAATCACGTCACTCCAATCCATGCGCATGATTCATACGCCACTGCATCGAATTGATCTTCTTCTGGTCTCGGCCAGTACGGAGGTCACAACGTGAGACGAATACACCTTCCAACAAAACCGGGATCGCTCCACAGAAGACATGTAAGCGAAATAAATGCATTTTCGCTTTCCTACCTCATTCGACAGGAGATGAAAGGGAGACTGTTGAAAGGGAGAATGTTGCTCGGCACAAGAACAAAAAGCTATACGTGACACGGTGGACCTTCCGTTCGAAGTTCCTTGAAGCACTTTGAAGTCTTTTCACATTTCGATTGCAAGTGTAAATGGGACTTGACTCGATAAAAAGCCGAGAATACCATTCTGATCCTCGACAATGACTGACCCTGTAATTCTGGTCTTGAGACCAATGTGGTAAAAGGGCAAAGAAGGCTGGGGCACTATGTGCAGGCTCGAAACAATAAAGAACTCGCAGAGAAGTTCTTTACGTCGAGATTGGTACTACTGGCTCGTGGGTTCTAGTACTTACTGTTCTGCTGGACCAAATCTCTCACGGCCGAAGCAAGAGTGCCTAAAACTGCGACTAAATTTTCACCCTGCTCGCGTCTAAGATTCCTATTCAATTCGCTATTTCGGTCGTAACATTCGATGGCCCTATTCACAATTGAAGACATGTATTGCGAGAAGCGGTCGAGGGCCTCAGTCCCGGGTTCTTGACTCGTCGAGGTCTTCTTCTGCTCCACATCGGCAGCCAGAGGTTGCTGTTCTTGACTCCCTCCTCCGGCTCGTTTCCGCTTCTTTCGAAGAGCGGGCTCCTTCTCCCTTTTGGCCTTCGTGCTACCATGCAGCAACGACGTGCCACCATCAGCTTGCAGAGCGTCTGCTGTGGTGCTCGCGTGGTGGTCTCCAGGAGGTGTATCGGAGTCCCCGGCTAACAATTTAGGGCTCACGCCGGGCCTTCCAGCGAGGAAGGAATCCATGACATTCCAAATTCCTTCGTCAAAACCAGCGGGAAGCTTCTTGGCCCGCAAATCCGTGCCGCCCATGAGCCAATAAGACTCGGCTCCATTCTTGCGCTCCCAGTCTTTGATTTTCTTGTAAGCGGCAAGAAGAGTGTTCCACCTCTTCCTGCACTGGAAACTCGTTCTCTGAACGCAATGGCTGCTGCAAATATGCGCTATCTGCTTCCACTTGGCGTCGCCGCCTCGAACGGGAGCGCTGGAATCCTCCTCGACCTGCTTCTTGGCCGAGACAAGCACCATGCTCTCGTGGCTCGTCCACCTATCGCCCTTCCACCGCTTCTCAGCTCTGCTGCCACCATCATTTTTCTCCTCGAAGCCAGCTCCGTCAGAGCCTGCGCCGGGGCCCGCGCCATCGCCCGCACCGCCACCTCGTCCTGCCGCGACTCGCTCATCGTCGAACTCCATGCGAAATTCGTCGCGTTGCGAGACGACTCCATGCTCCACGCCAATTCTCGCTTCTCCTCCATTCCCCAGATGCAATCCGCCCTCGAGAGCTTGTATCAGCGTCAACCCGGCACCACCCGCCTGGCCGAGAGCATGGCCGATGGCCACGGATGCCGCAGCAGCAGCTGCAGCTGCTGCAGACCCTGCTCCTCCCCGTCCATCTCCTCCTCCTCCTCCGCCTGCTGCCCCCCTCGACGAGGCAGTGGAAGCCATCGCCTGCGCTTGGCCCCCTCACCCTACCACCACAGCCCCGCTAGCCAGCCCCAGCCCCCAGCCCCCATCCCAACCCCCCGCAGCCGGTGACTCACGACGTGGTCCCTTCTCCCGCTCGCCACGTGTTACCTCCCCACCGGGAACCGGGTTCTCCAGCAGCCCCACCCCCATCCCCATCCCCCAACCCCTGACTCCCGCTCGGGCTTCTCCTCTCTTGCCTCTCCTTCTAATAATCCCGTTCCTCGCAAATCGCCCTCTCTAATCCTCGTTATGAATCCTAATTAGGCGTCTAATCCTCGTTACGAATCCTGACGAAGCGTCTAATCCTCGACCTCCCCTCGCCTCGTCGACCCTCCGCGACGACGTCATGATCGTCGTATGCTGCACGAGCCCACTCCATGGCGGGACAGAGAGCTCTCTCAATCCTCCTGCTGTCGCTGCCGCCGAAGGGCTCCACTTTCTCGGTCCTACTCATCATTGTCATCCTCGCCCGCCTTCTGCATGTCCGGGCTCGTAGCGAATCGGATCGAGAGGGGATTAGACGGATCCTGTTATCTATACGACGGGGCGCTGGCGGCTCGACAAGCTTCTGCCGAAAGCCACTGACAATCAGTGCTAATTTTAGTGCTCTTAAGAGTGGAGCTTAAGTATGAATATAAGAATAATGATTCCCCACCCCCGCCCGCCCTCCCTCCCTTTCCCCTCCCGGTCTCCCATGCGTGCGTGCGTGTGCTGCGCTGTTGTTCGATGCGGTGCAACCCTAGTCGATATTTAATGCGAAAGATCCTCGCGCGTTCGGACCGTACGTGCTCGGGGACGAGGACGAGGTCGACGACGATTCTCCCAGTTCCACTCGCAGAGTCGAATTTGACAGTGGACCGTTTTTGGGAATTCCAGTTGCATGCAGAACTCGTTTCCAGTCCCATCGTCGTCTCGTCCTTTCACTACCTCCACGACTTCCAGAGTTGGGGGTACCCTGAAGCTGAATAGACACGGAGTGCAGTCAGGAAATGGATTGTTTTGAGTCGAGAGGAAATTAATTATTCTTAATTATTGAGAGTCTCTTTCTAAGGCTGGTGAGAGAATTCAGCGGCTGACAGACACACTGACAGACTGACTCTCTCTGAATTGGAGATTGAGGCTTGTCATGTTTCCTGGGATGATGTAGAACACGTCCGTACTTGAAAACTGTCTTCCGGTGTCTGATAGAAGTAATCACGCCTCGTGATTGTGACCATCGCCTTGGACTATTGGCGTGTGCGATTGGATGAGAGCAGCGAACGTACGCACAGTTGAAAAAATGGTGTCTCTTCTGGTCGCTACCACAGCTGATCCAGCATCGATCGGCCCTGCGACTGCTTTGCTCGCTCTCCCGTCGACTCCTGCTTGGAGCGAGGGACCGAACCTCCAGGTGGGAGCCCGAATTGGACGTGAATAATGTTGGACGATCTCGTTAGCCGCGTGAATCTTCAGATGTTGAGATTTGCGTGCATTTTAGGATTGCATTTGGAAATTCTCCAGTATCGAGTCGTATAGGTCACCAGTGAATCTAAGTACTCAAATTTACTCCAATGAAACTTCCTGGGGACCTCTCTCTGCTGCTTCTGGTCTACGATTTGTTCAGGGCTTCCCATGGGGATCTGATCGCAGAATTCTACTGCTTCCATGTGCTAAGCTGAAGGCCCTCAGATGTCGGTATTCAGGGAAATAAATCTTATGTGGCTGGACGGGTCAGGCTTCTGCAGCTGACCGATCGTATGGTGACAGAAGATCACCTGGAGAAGCGATGGGAAGCTGCAACTGGCGAACGCGTCGATGAAATAATTTTCCTGAGTAGACACACGGCTGTTTCCAATCGTCCCGCCCTAACAGTGCATCCAATTGGTGAGCTTACTGCCACTCTGACTGTAGAAGTGTCACCATTCACTTCGGTGCTGAATAATCTTCAATTCAGAAAAATTAGTTAATTTTGACGGGGAGTAGTGATGAAGCTCCATCTTCCGCTCGAGCACGTGTCGATTACTTTCCCGATTCGTGTAACGATTAACTTCTTTGAAGCTGATAGTGGCCCTGAGATGTGTTCTCTAAACACTCTGACATGCATTGATTCTTGACTAACTGAGTTCACACTCTGGCAGGTATTCCACATTTGCTGCCGCACGAGCAACCGCCCGCAGGAGGAAGACCCGGATGGGCTGCACCTCCTTGCCCTCGAATAGGTCCCTGGTTGAGACTCTTGCAGAGGGTAGCAAAATCTCGCAATCTTGTCCCAGAATTTGAGGTACAGTTTTTTTTCAAACGCGAAGGTCGTTTGTGAACTGGGCGAGCCGATTTTCGTCAACGGATATGCTCAGGGTTTAGGGTTTAGGGGGTTGTAATTCCTGTAACAATCTTCTTGATATTGCTGGAATCGAGTCATGCAGCTCTATAGCTCATGGCCAGCAACAAAGTTGCAGATGCATGCTTCTATGGTGGATAATCACACTCTCGTTGGCTGGACAGGTCACCTTGGAAGCTACTCATCACGGTCCCGAGACAAACGTTCCAGCAATGTTCGTGGAGATAGGTAGTTCATATTTCGAACGCCACTCTTAGAATTCCATATCTCCTTCTTTGTACGTATCCTGTTATGTGTGAAGTTTGAACTTGCCATGAGGATGAATTCGAATCAACCAGTGCCCCAATTGAGCACTGCTGTGTTATCTACTGGTCATACGACCAAGTTTGACAAGTTAGAATTCCTAGTCGGGTGCTGTATCAAGCTTTATGTATGTGTCAGTCATATATTGATAAAATATTTGGAACTTCAGGAAGCACTGAGGAATACTGGAGAAGAGAGGATGCTGCGCAGGCTGTGGCAGAGGTGCAGATTTCTACAAACTCTGTATGAAGTGTATGGAAGATTCATGTAAAGGCGATTTGTTCTTTCTCTTAATTTTCGGCGCAATGTGAATTGCTGCATATTCAAAACCAAAGGTTGATTCGGCGTGTGCAGGTTGTAAGGGAAGGTCTTGGATTGGATGGAGGAGCTGGAGTGGGTCAGTGGACAAGGTAAGGACTGCATATAATGTTACAACTTGCTTTGGGCTAGGAGATGCCAAGTTAGGAGATATATATATTCCATTTTTCCAAGTTCATTTCCTGCAGTGTTCTCATTTTCCTTTCGATTACGAGAAATATAGTACATGCATATTGGTTCGAGCCATAAGCCGGAGACTTCCGACAGATTCTCCGTCAACTTAGTTGGAGACGTTATTGTGATTCTGGCAGTGAACACGCGGGAGCAAAAGTTCTCGTTGGTCTAGGAGGCGGCCATTACGCTCCTCGGCACATGGACGTAGTACAGTAAGTAATCGAATGCTGTTTGATTTAATTTGTGATTTGCCTTGCAATTCATCTACCATACGGAGATAGTAGCTTACACACGTACAGCATATGTCACGTATCCCGATCGTGTGCATGAAGCGGCCGAGGTGAAAATTACGAAGAAACCACGTGCGGAACCTACAGAGATAGTATTAATTCTCATCTTGGACATTCGTTTAGAATCAAACCATGTTGAAATATCTCCATGGAGACAGATGCATATATCCCTCTTATGTGGGCTATTTCTTGCCATGATACTTTTTGCGAATGTTTAGGCTCTGACGCAAAGCCCCCACTATTCGCCTGTCAGCTGTACTGAGGTCCAAAACTGTAATGATCTTGTGTGTCACAGGAAAGAGGGTGTGTGGGTTGGTCATCTGCTATCCGGCTACTCAATGCCGATGGTTGAACCTACGAAAGAAGCTGGTGCGCCTAAAAGCAAGAGTGCAGTGGACCACAATGATGTAGGCGGAAGCTGGAAAGAAGCTATAAGCGAGGCAGTGCAAACCACAAGGGCTGCATTCCCAGACGGCGAAGTTATGGCTCACTTGGACAGCAAGTGAGTGTCATCCTAGCAGCCGTTTATTAGTGACGCTCTATAAACAGGATCTGATATCTGGGTACTGTTTTCTAACTTTTTCTCCGTTCTCTCACTCAGGAGCCTGAAGAGCTGGCAAAGAAATGCTATCACATGGTTCCTGGCACAGGAGCGTATACCAATCGGCAAGCCCAACGATTATTTGTAGATACTTAGCGATGGCTATTCTTCACACGACACGGAGCGGTTGTGTAGTCAATGGCATATTCGTAGATGTTGGCATCGTTGATTGATTTTTTGTCCAGAACACCAGATCATGAGCAAATTGCAGGCAAGTACCTCGATGTGAATACTTCTTTGTCAAAACTTGAAGCGCCAAGTTCAAAGAGGCAGCAGTAAAGTACTGTTTTCAGTCCTTCAAGAGAACATACGTGCTTGGATCTACCTTCGGATCTGTACATATGCTGAACATGTAGAGAACCTACGCACTGTCCTAGTTTACTGGAAAGGAAATCAACTCACTTGACTTCTTCATGTTGAGTTTGTGAATATACAATTCAGCCCAAGCACAGACTCGCGAATTGGATGAGATAATTTGATCTCATGTAGGTAGAGGTGAAAGTTGCGAGACCTTTGCTACTGGTTCAGACCAACGAGAGAAGAAAATTGTTGAGAAGCTCACATAGATGAAGAGTGCAGTAGATGCTAGTCAATACTCATTCTGCACATCCAAGTCTAGGAAGACCACGTACATTCGAAAGCAAATGGGCTGAGAAAGCCCACAATAGGCCACTGGAGAAAGCGTGGGCTCAGAACGGCGTACAATCCATAGCCATGGTACAATGCTGCAGTCGTCTGGATTGACAAAGAGGCCTGTTCAAAGGTTCAGGTTATGACAAATGCACGAATTGAGTGACTACTTATTTACCATGGCAACAAATGCCCAAATCTTTCCGTTACATAAACAGCTCACTGGATCTCTCAAGTGACTTGGATATCTGAGAGCAAAATCTTGACCCATGTGAGCTGCGAGGTTCCTGGCAATAAAATTGGACGTGAAGCGAATGCCTCTTGACTTTACGATACTCTAGATCAGGCTGGTTGAAACGTCTAAGGAACGGTATCCGAATACACTTTGGCAGTTGTCAGTAGGCATCAACACTACGCTAGCTACAGACAGTGTAGACGAGTTCGCTAACTGAGATTAATGATTTAATAAATGCACACTGCAACAATGGGCTGCGGTTGCCGAAGAGAATCCTCAATGTACACAATGCACCTTCTAATATGGCTGTCGGTCAAGATCAGCCATCGGTGCAAAGGTGAACTTTTCTTGATACAGATACAAGGGGATCGAGTGGGAGAGCTCGGATCAATGTCGCGATGTTGACCCACTGAATTTTGCTTTTTGGGCGAAGTCGTCGACCACGGCTACCACCGTCTTCACTTTAGCCATCAACTCGATCAGGATTGAAGCAAACTTCAGGAATGAGAGTGAGGATATCCTTTGACTCGTTTCTTCCCAGTGAGCTTGCACCGAGATCCAGTGCTCCTGTTGAGCCGACATCTGCCTTCGGTTCAGTTCCGTTCTCCAGTCATCAGCTACACTGTCTTGGTGGAGAAGCAAAGTGGGCACTGCATCGAGATCGGCATCGTTATTTCTGCACATACACCGACACCCTCCCTTCATGAGAACGAGGCCTGAAACTCCATAGAATCTAGAGGCAGAATTAGTATCCTTTGTATCATCAGGAGGATCATAGCTACAGGAGCCACAGAGATACTCAAATTCTCAACCAAGAGAGCTGGAACCATGTACACTCCATCTCACCTCCCTTAAATTAAACCCTCACAGTATCTTCTCTGGTTCCCGCTCTTCCTTGGAAGAGTGCACACTGTGACTCTTTATCAATTTGAGGGGGGTAGGAGATTAAACCTCCTCAGTCCCAAGATTATTCGAGTGAGCGAAAGTGCTAGAACAGCAAACCTGCGGGTGGAGATTTGACAGGATGGACGGTCTGAGATCCAGACATCCAAATTTGTGTATACCTCGTTTCACAGGAAATGTCTTATAGTCGACCCGCTGATGCTCCTTCATTCTTTGTTGTCCATTTCGAGAGAGCTTTAACATGACGGTGACCATTGATTTACTGGGAGACGACATTCAATCGACAGAAATGGGGGTCAAGAGAATTTGTACCTCTCGGACTTTTGAGGAGACACAGGAGTGGACATGGTAGCTGCACCCATATCGTTCGCGAGGACAGCACTGTCTACGGCCGCCGCCACTGCATCGCCTCTGCTCGAACTGATGGATGTCGATCTGCTGTACGCTGGTGCCGAGTCTTGGGCTATGACCAGAGCTGAAAATCTCGACAGCTTGGCTCTCAATCTCCTGGTGGCATCTTTCGCCTTCGCTACATGAATCTGATAATCACTCATTTTATGCTGCTCTAGCCCGTCCCCGATCTTGTGAAACAGCCTGCATCAAAACACGCACATCTACCGCCGTATGAGCTCACTCCCATGAATCAATGAATGAATGAAGTCATTCATTGATTCATTCCAATCATCACAAATTAGATGCCAAAAAACAAATTCTGGAAGCTAAATGGGAGTGAATTTGTGGGGAGTTCAGACGACTCACGTGGCACATTCTCTGGCAACCTCCTCCATATCCTCAGCGAAGAGCTGTCTCACATGCACTTGAGCTTGAATTTCACCACGCAAGCACGAGTCCATGGCCAGCAGATCGTACATCACGTGCAGCAACACATCCAGCAGCTTCGGGTACAGACTCCAAGGATAGCCTGAATAGAACTTGCCATGGACGGGTTCCCACTGAACGGCAGTGACCTGCACACGAGAAACAGAGGTCCATATGAGCACCTTTTTCTCGATGAGATTCCCTCTTTACATTCATTCACGTCCCAAATGACCGAATTCCAATTTGCACCATCATCATCGAGTCCGTTGGAAGAATTTCCGCGAGTGCAGAGTCCAGAGAATCGCATCGCTAGCACACTAGTCTCGATGGGCAGGCAGAATTTCCTCGAGAGGAGAATTGGCGAGCAAGCATACCGTACCAGCTTGTCAGCTTCGGGGATGGAGCTCATGATGAACTGGAGATCGGAGTGGATCTTATCCTCGTGGATGACATTGTGCAGCAGCTCCTGGATCTTGTCACGGATGAGCCCGTTTTTATAATCCTCGACGATGCGCTCGAGCACGGAGCCGGCGGTGTGGAAGTTGCGCACGAGCAGCGAGAGCAGAATGTCGCCGGCGTAGTCGGGCTTGATGCAGAGCCCCATGGAGAACGAGAGCAGGAACCCGATCGAGTAGCACATGCAATTGAACAGAAACTGGCTCGTCTGCTTCTTGGCCAGCGGGTTCCACAGCACGAGCCCATGGAACACACTGATGTAGTAGCTCACCACCTGGCCCCAACGACTCTTGATCACCGCGGGCAGGTTGTACATGCGCGGCAGGCAGCCGCCAAGAAACGCGCACAGGATGAGAAACGGCACCCGGAGCCCCCCGGTGTACGGCTCGACCTTGAAGACGGCGAAGGCGCAGCAAGCGGCTAGCAGCGAGCCCAACGCCAGGTTGTAGCCCTTCTGCAGGGTCTGCCCGACGGTAGGCTCCAAAGTCATGCCCACTCCGACCACGGCCGTGGTCCCGTAGTAGCGAAGCATGTCGGGAAGAATCGGCAGGAACGAGATGATCGAGGCCGTGGTGGCGGCCACTGCGGCCTTCAGCGGCAGCAGCGATTCGAGGATTCCTTTCTCGTATTGCACGTAATCTTTCAATTTCTCGCTCCTCGATTTCTTCGGGGCGTAAACGGAGCTGCTGCGTGCAATTCCGGCCATGGAGCTTCGGCTCATGTTGCGCAGCAATCTCCTCCTCGCGGCGCTGTCCATCCCGTGGTTGTTGGTGGTGGTGATGTCATCGATCTCCTGGTCCGCGTCGCCCACGATCGAATGCGCCCTCGAGGGCGGCTCGAATTGATTCTGCTGCCCCAGCACCTCGGGCCCTCCCGTCCAGCTGCTGCTCGGAGGCGAGAATCGATTGTTGCACGAGGACGCCGCAGTGTGGATCCTGTTGTCGTGCGCCCAATTTGACCCCGTCGGTAAGGGCATGTTGATCGCCAGGCTCGCGCGCTCGTTTCGCGGCGTGTTGCAGTCCGTGTACCGGGCCGAGTTCGAATTGAAGAGCGAGAAGTCGTTTCGCAGCGATGGCGGGATGTAGAATTCGTCCTTGAGCGATGGCGGCACCTGCAGCTCGCTCTTCACCGACGACGGGTGGAACTCGTCCCTGTGGTAGTCGCTCATTCCGGGGATCGGGATCGGCTTCTTCTCCGCCTTCGTGTACCCCATTATGGGCGCCGCCGCCCCCTGCAATTCGCTCGTCCTCATCGCTCCGCAACCTTCCGATTTCGCGCTCCTCTCGTCCTTCTCGATGATGCGGCTACAGCATCGCCGGCTTCTTCCTCATCCACTCACAATCCGCTCCTCACCTGCGAATTTCAAACACGCCCGTGGGCCATAAACACGAGGCACCGCTACTAAACCCACTCGATTGCACATCCGGCACACGATTCAATCTTCCGTCGAGCGCAATGCTGCCGATTCCCTGTCAATCTCGGGGAATTGGCTGCCTGCTGCACCGGGATTTCGTCAAATTCAACTACCCCAACTATCTTCGCACGCAATCGACCCTAGTCGACGACTCGGGTTCTGGATTTAAATCCGACTCGAGGATCTGGCGACCGAATTACTCTCTCACTCGAGGTCTACTCTACTACTGCACAAAATTACGCTTCACTCATTGACTACAATGGAGAATCTATTACCCACACACAGACAGGCGACCCGACCCACAAACTATGTCCAGGATGCTGGATTCTAGTTACAATTTCTCAATTTCTCAATTTTTCAGTGCACCTCACGAAAAGTCTTGAGTGGCAGAATGTCAGTCAATGCATCTGACAGTGACTAATGCAGCAGAGAATAAAGACTTCACAATTCCGACCAGCCGCGCAGACCTACCCAAAAGGCAAAGGCAGAGGCAGAGGCAGAGGCAAAAGCTTCAAGGACAAGAAGAGGGCAACGGAAGGAATGAAATCAGATGAAAGCTGCTGCTGCTGCGCCTGTAGTAGATTTCACTGTCCTCGACAGTGAAATCTACAAGGCTGGCTACAGGCAAACAGAGCGATGGACTATGTGAATCCGGTGCGCATTCGAGCAGCTCGTACCTGCACCAATCGACCGATGGCGAGACGAGAACGAGCACCACCTGCACTCCAGCCATTGGGCACTCTCTCCACTATTGCCTGTCGTGAAGCGCAGCGAGTGCCACCTTCTGCCTCTTCTTCTTCTTCACTATTGTGTTGTTGTGATTGCATAAGTGAGTACGTACTTTGCAGCAGCAGCAGCAGGAGCTTCAATTTTTGTCATGAGAGGCCTTCGGAATAAGGAATGATCCAGAACCTCACATCCAAATCCTGTTTACGTTGGACCATCTGTCTGGGAGCTTTAGAGTTGTCGACGAAGACAAAGACAGTGCTCGAGCTGTATGATGATGATGCTGATGTTCTCGAGCGACCGCAAACTGGGGGCATGGGATTAATGGTACTGACGAGATGCCGATGCGGATGCAGAGGCAGATGCAGGATGCAGGGGAGGAGTGGAATTAGTGGAATTAGTGGAACTAGTAGAAGAAGAAGAAGGAGGAGATCAGCGAAGTCGAGGTTCATATGCTTCTTTCTGCTTCCCCTGGGGCTTGCTTGCAGGCCAGCAGGCAGCACTCAACTCACTGCATCTGTCTCTAGTTCCACTCCAATTTGACCCACATTTGACCCCGAGTCAGATGCACCAGAGCAGCGGCGAATTTAATACTTCCATGCACATCTGCAGTGGAGCAGTCAAGCAATCAGGCTGCAGCACCCCATCCCCATCCCCAGCCGCAGCAGGGGCCGCTTCTGAAGCGCGTGCGTGCTGCGAGAGGGCAGAAATGCGTAGCAGGGGCAGCAGGAGCAGGGAGGCAGGGAGGCAGGGAGGGCGGGAGGGAGAGAATGGAGCGACAGTGAAGCAGAGCAAATGTCAATTTCTTCTCAGTCTCTCTCTTTCTCTCTCTTCACTTGTCCACTCACTTCTCTTCGTCTTCTCCTCACCAGAAACTGCTGCGGCAAATCTGCTTGCAGAGGAAGGAAACGGGGGACTCGTCCTTCGCTGCTGCTTCTGCTGCTGCTCATCATCATCATTGTCATTAGCAGCATGGGCCCCACTCCCCATGGGCTCCATCGGCGACCATCACTCGCATCGTGCATCGGGTAAATGGGGCGGTCTGACTTTCAATCAAAGGGTCCCTTTCCTTCCTTCCGACTACAGAACCCCCAGCTGCTCGAGGACTCGGTTTATCTCCTTCTCCACTCCACGGTTGATTCGATCGGCAATTGACGGCTTCGCTTGCTTGTTCATCCACCACTTTCATTGCCTTAATAGTCTCCCACAATCCGCCACATTCTCTCTCTCTCCATCCCTTTCCCTCGGTCGGTTTCTCTGTCGTGTTCGACTCCCATTCTCAATGCCACACAGTCAGAGCGGAGTCCAACCACAGGAGTCAACCGAAAGGTGATCATATGCCGGTGCCCGATTTAGATGTTGGTAAAGCAGAAACACCGTGGACACCATGGACATTCCCACAGCTTTTCACTTTCCCATCCAGTTTATAAGACACATCCTTCACCTTTCTGACTCGTTCCGTGAGTACTTTAGATGCCTCTGGAGAGGAGGTGATGAGCACACAAGAGGTACACGGAGTTTGTGAATGCAATCATGTCGTTGCGACAATTCTTCTGTTGTGCTGCCTGAGGAGGGAAATTGGTGATCGAGACCGATAAAGCTCAGAGCCGCGTGGTCTTCTACTCAATCCCAAACGGAGACGCTTTTCTTTCCAGTGTTTGACACGATGAGGAAAGCGGCTGGAATCACGACCAGATTCATGTGGGGAGATGGCCAAAATGTCAGGGCGAAGGGACCACGTGGAGAGATGGGATTTTGTGAATGCAGAGGAAATGAGAAAGTCTGGGGTGACTCAAAAGGTCGGTCTGGCCGATGGATTCCCGTGAAAAAAGCAGTTACTGTGGAGTACATTGAGCCTGCCTGCATGATGGCCTGCCTTCGTTCCGCACGTACGTAAGGAAGGCATCAGCTCGAACAGGAGAGCCACTTGGCATGCAAACAATCGGAACGAATTATGGGAGAAACCGAAAGCTACACTACTGTCGGTCATGCAAACGAACACAGTAGGAGCTCGAAAGGGGATCGGGTGATGAGCCCGAGAATATTCAGATCCGAAGGACTCAAACGGCACCGGAATTTGGTGTTTGTCGCCTTAACAACGTCAGATCTGGGTCAGAAGTGCTGCAGGATCTCTGATTGCACACCCGAATATTCTGCTTCATCCCGTTGCATCCAGCGTTGAATGAAACATGATGCCGACAGAGTGCGAGCGAGGCCAGGAAGGCAGTAAGGAGTAGGAAGCCCAGTAGGTGCCCCGGGCACCCCACACAACAGACTGATGATTCTCCTCTGAAAGAGATTCAAAGTGCGATTGTCTGTCTCGTCACGCTCTTCCAGATCTGTGGGTCCTCCTCCTCTGTCCAAAGCTTCTACCGAATCCAATTCTCCAGTCCCATGTCATCTGAAGCCATCACCTCGTTATCAATGCAGAGGACGGAACACGGCCTTCACCTCGCACTGGATACGGCTAACTTAATTGCTGGTCCATTATCTGTGCTAGATTCGACCAGGACATCATCCCATGCGCTGTCAGGAGGAGACGCCCTGCTAAGTTTTCACTTCTCGGGGATAGGGACCGTGCGCCATCCTCACACCCCCTGATGATGTAACATCCCTCAGCAGGTGCAGGGAGCAGGAACAACCAACCAACACGTACCATGAAGAAGATCAGAACATGAAACTGAACCATGTTAGAATTTCTAACGCACCTATCCACATGACATCACTTTATTAGGCTTGCCTACGAGAGTCCTCGAGTGGACGGACTGACCACACAATAGGTCATTCTCCTCACTCCTCCCTCTTCCGTAACTTCCCTGCCTCCGTAGTCCCCTTCCCTCACACTCGAAGACACTAAGGAACAGGTCCGCTTGACCTGAATGAATCCGAAGGCATCCCACGAGGAAATAATCATATCATCGAACCCGCTGCAGATACTGCCAGGAGAATTTATACAAGTCACATGAGGCACGTGGCCTGGAAACCGACTACCATACTATCGTCGCCTTGAGAAGGTCCCGTTGTGTCGGACTGGCTGGGGGACTTCCCTGTTGACGATCCTGTCTTACTCTTTCAGCTCAGTCACCTTCTCTAGGATTGATAAAATTAGTCGATCGTGGTGAGTCATGATCGTACCAACCTTACAAGACGACTAACAACAGGCAAGTCCTCAAAAATAGCTCATAAAATAACTCAGAGGAGTACACGCCAACGATAGAAGACCAGAAACAGACACTGGTGACTGGGTGTCCGATGGAAATGCACATGGAACCTGGAACATGGGCGGAAACAAAATTGGTAGCTTTTAGGAGCTTTTTACTCAACACAATTCAGGTACATGCAGGTGTGTGCCCGATGACTGACTGATTGATAGATCTATACAAACGTCAATTTCGATTAACAATGGAGGGGGATCTCGGTTTCTTGCTTGTTCGCTCGCTAGCACAGCGGCGGCTTGCATCGCAGCATACCCAAGAATCTGTACATGAGTAAAGAAAGGGGAGGGGTGGTTATGATGAGGATTATGGTTTTATGATGATTGCGCTCCAGATCGTGGGGCGCCAAAACTAGCAAACCGGTGAGCAGTAACCCGCGGAGCCCACTATTGAGAGCACACAGCAGTTGTCGATTCGATTCGGCAACTTTGTGAAGATGAATGGCTTCAAGTAAAATCGCCGATCACAACGAGATTCAGTTTGCTTGGTTGCGAACTCAAGAAACTTAGAGTTGTGAAGTCAGCTAATGAGATTGTTCTAGTTTGTTGATGTTGAATCCTCGCGGAATTAAAGACTCGAGCAATAGATAAATTGCACCACCAATGCAGGCACACCTAAATTGCTCGTCTCATCGAAGCACCTTCTGTTGCTCCAGATGCCTTTCAACTAAAATCAGTCGTCTTTTGAGGACGGTCCCGGAAGGGAGTTTGAGTTCTCATCCAGTCTTTGGCCCGCTTGAGAAACGATGGACCTGAAATAGGAAGACGAGCACAATATGAGTCAATCCCTGCATTCATCGATTACAGACAGAAAGTGCTGTTCATGATGACCTGAACCAGCAAGTAAGAGATCAAACTAAGTGCTACAAATAACTAACCAGTTTGAGATTTGTTTTCTCCTGGAGACTTCATTACTTCACCAACAGAAGATCGCTACTGACATAAACCCAAACTCTACAGATAGTGCTCAAGTACAATTCAAAAATCATTTACCTGTGCGCACTTTCCCAGTGCTCATCGCACGAACGGTGCTCGTTGAACGCTGGGAGCCCATGGACCAACTTTTTCTCAACGCACCTTGCGCAGAGTCCACCACCGGCTGAGCAGCAGCAGTAGCAACGTTCTCCTTTTCAACCCTTTTAGAGGCAGCAACAGGTACAGTAGGTTGCTCCTGGGTCATACTTCTGCATTGTGACAGAACGCCGAGTACTCCGACTTCGTTTTCCCATCCGGATCCGAGTTTGAAGTTAGCAATCTCCCTATCCTTTCTCAGAGGGAGATTGGGTTCTGGCTGTTCTCTAAAATATCTGACATAAGACTGTTTTTCTCTCATCGGAGAACTTGATTCCATAGCTTTCTTCATACAATGCTTCGCACTGTAATCCATGTCATTCAATTGTCTCATGGAGTACAACACTGGCCCTGGTCGACACGCTACTCCCACGTCTTTGTCGAAAGGTGCCGGAGGCTCCACTGTTCGGGACCAGTCTTCAACCATCAGCTTCTTCTGAGCTGCCATGTGATGTGCTTGACGATCCAATATCTCCTTTTGAGCTTTCAGCTCCATTACCTGACCACCCCCGGGATGTGATGGAAGCTCTGCTAATTTAGAAGCTGCCAGCTTCTGCGCCTGGCGACATGGGGGAAGTGGAAGCTCTCCTACTACCACGTCCTTGGAGGCTACTGAAGGGAAGACGGTAGCTCTGGGGGCAGAGGAAGAAGCTTTCTTCCCCCTCGAGGGAAGCCTGGAAATCAACGATGGAAGTGATGCTCTGCCAGGTGACAGCGAGATGAGCTTGCGATTTGAATGGCCCACTCTTCCAGCAATGTCTGGAGACACAGAACGACGCCCATGGAGCACATTTCCCACCCATTCCTTCACTCTTCTGGTGGCCGATGTGGAGCGATTGGGCGATGGCTGCCTGACTGGGGGAGTGGCAGGCCTTTCCTTTTCCTTTTCCTTTTCCTGTGCGGGTCTAGCACCCGGCGGGGAAGCTGGTGCGAATGTGGGATTGGAGAAGAGCACGGCCTTGGTTCCTGACTTCCACGGTTTATTTGGACCCAAACTTATCTCCGTTGCCTCCAGCGACTTCCTGAACCAGTCATCGTCTCTGCCACCTTTGAGCGAGCCACTGGATGTGGTGGACACATTATCTCCTCCTGCCCGGGCAGATGCAGATGGGCGCTGGTGTCTCGTGCAATTTGGAAGCTCAGCAGTTATTCCAGGAATCCTCAAATCTTCAGCACCGCCAGCCGTTTCTGCACGAAATGCTTTTCTCACAGCGGTGGGCAAAAGGCTAGAAGCGGACGAGGATGCAATCCTAGGCTCCATATTTGCTGCTGCCGATTCTCTCTGAGATCTTCTGATTCTAGCTGAAGAGCCTTCAGCCACAGCTGCATTCTCTTGAGGCAATCTGCCAATTCGCGACCGAACCGGGGAATTTACGAGCAGACGCTGCTCTGTTGAAGGTTGTTCAGGTAATGAATAATCAGCTGGCGATGAAAAGCGTAAACTGTTGTGTCTCCTGGGTGAGCAAGTTTGAAGGGGAGCGAGGGACGAGGTGCTCAATCTCGGTTGCTCTGAGGTATGGGAAGCCTGAGGTGGTGATCGAGAATTTCTGCCCTTTCTTACAGCACTGGACGATGGCAAAGCAGACTTCTTAGATTCACCCATTGCTCGAGGCGAGGAGAAGCAGTTGGTTATTTCCTTTGCTTCCCACATATCCGAAGTCGAGGCAGACTTGGTGGGAGTGGGAGCAGCAGCAGAAGCTCTCGTCCGAAGTTTTGACAGTGGCTCCTCCGCACTATGAAGTAGTGATGCGGATCCTCCAGAAGGCTCAGCTGCAGCTGCAACTCTGATACGAATCCTCGTTAAGATCGGGTCCTCGACTGATGAGGTACGAGGCGTTGGTGCTGGGGCCACTAAGGTGCTCGAAGCCTCGGGTGCAGCAACTCTGGTTCGAATCCTTGTCAACACAGGGTCGTTACCGGATGCACGGGGTGTTCCTGAAGCTCGTGACGACTCGGCAGCATTGGCAGTGGCAGAAACTCTGATATTATTCCTCAAGTAAGGTGGTTCCCCGACCGACGAACAAGGTGTTGTTGTTCCGGTGGCAGCAATTCTTGCATGATTTCTCAAGAACGGCTCCTCCAACCGTGCACGGGCTGTCGTGGCTGTCGTTGTTCCCACAGTTCTTGCAGACTCTGCGGCAACTCTTGCATGATTCCTTGACGCAGGCTCCTCTACTGATGATGATGCACGACATGAAGCTCCAGGAGCAGCTCTTGAACTTGAAGACTCTGCGGCAAGTCTTGCATGATTTCTCAACACAGGTTCCTCGACGGATGCGCGAGGTGTAGTAGCAACTCTGGAAGACTCTCCAGCGACTCTCACCTGAGTCTTAAGAACAGGCTCCTGGAGATAAACTCTTGGGGACTCGACGGCATTGGCAGCTGATGCAGCTGCTTTCGACCGGCTTTTCTGAACAGGCTCCTCGAGGGAAGTACGGGGAGATACAGATGCTCGAGGTGATCGGCGAGATTGCATTTTCCTCTCGGTGGACGATAGTTCCTGCGTGTCATCGACTGGTCTGACCAGATCAGCGGTGAGCTTCGACTTCGGGTAGAGAATTTCCTTCCTATTGCCAGAATTGGGTCGCCTCTTGGAAGTATCCGACGGCGTCACCACTCTAAATTTGTGCATGGGATCCTCCTTCTTGAGCGCACGATTGCTCGAACCAGCCACCGATTCCTTATTGGATGAAGAAGCCTTCTGCTTATGCTTGTGTTTGACCTGCTTTCGAACCGGCTTCTCCTCATCCGAACTGCCAACATCTGTGTGCACCAAACATGCATTGACCATACTCGTGATCTCCTTTGCTATCTGACTCGCCATTAGAATCTCTGAAATCACCTTGTGCACGTCGCCTGCTGGAGATGACCAGTGCTTCCATTCACCTGCAAAAGACCATAGGAAACACCAGCATTCTTCTAAGAATCACCTCCAGAAGGCCAAATTGCCTCGCCTCACCTCGCCTCACAACACCCTCCTGTCTAGCTCTAGGCCTCTGAGGCTCTACATCAGGACTGAAACTATCTCTGCAACATCATTCGTTTATTCAAACTCTCTTCCTTTAAAAGGCAGCCTCAGAAGCCTTCCGACCTCTGGATGCTATATAAAAACATCCATCCCTCTCATGTTTTGAACCCTTAAGGGTCTCAAGGACACAACCTGACAAGAGCGCGGTAAGAGATCCTGTGTCTAAACCCTTCTTCTACGGGGATCGTCATGGTCGGGTGGCTCCCAGTATAAGTTAGGATCTTAGTAAGAACAAACGGAGCGACATCAGTCATGTGCAGACATGACTGATGGTGTATTCTGACCTTCACCACTATCGCCAGAGAATGTTGCATCATATGCCGGTACTAGACTTCGACTGCGGCATAAAGACCTGGTTTTCTGAATTTTCTTCAACTGGATCAAGTTTTAGGAAAACTCTCAACTCATGCATGCAAAACAACAAAAAGTCTCCCCTTAAATTAGGCCCTTCGTCAAGACATCTACCAGCGCACTAACGCCCTCTCCGTCCACAGGTTCAGTGTCCCATGACCCATTGAATCTCTGCGCCACAAGGGGGCATTCTGATGTCATTACCTCTTGCATGTGACCACCCTAGGAATTACTTTTCAGCTGCATCTGATTTATAATCAATTTCTCCTCGACAGAATGGATAGAGCTTAATGACGTTTGCGACTTCCGACATTGGCAGGAAAGTAAAGTTCCTGATCCTAAGGAGGACCTGTACTGTCATTCACTGTTCACTGATCTCTGCACTCCAGATTCAGAGAGTGCATTGCACAATCTAACGAAGTAATGGCCCTCGGCTTACAGACTGACTCTAATAATGATCACCCATCTCGCTGTAATTGCTCGAAGACCCTTAGTGTTTCACTAATATGCGAAATAGTAGAGTATAAGAAGAGCCAGTAAATTAGAGATCCCAAGATTCTGCGCAACAAGGTTTCCAACAATTCACAAAAAAACGTAAAGAGTCTTCAATTAAACACGTGGGGCTAAAGAGACGCTCTACTGTAGCCCAACCTTGCCCTTGAGGAACCTGCAGGCTAGGTGGCCAACACCCTCGCTCGCTCGCTCTCTCTCAGCACATAGATGAATGTATGCCGCAGACTGCTGTGGCATTCATGATACAGTCTAATCTGCCTCCAGCCTTCCACTTCCCAGCCTACAGTAGCTCAAAAACAAAAATAGATGACCTGTTTGGGCTTTTCGAATGATAAGCCTTTACTGGAATCGCAGCGCATGCGCAGTGTGTAAAGGGCGGCCAGGCTGCGGCATAATCCTGCTGGTAACAGGGGCAATCGTAATTTCGAAAGCTCACGTGTCCGACCTATCCGAGGAACAGACAGAGAGGGAGATGGTTCAAGCTTATGAACCAAGCTTTCGGTTGCAATGCATGCACGAGGAACGTCCAAGTCTGAACAAACAGAAACAAACTCGTGAAATTGGAGGGCAGGAGGTGTATTATTTGCACCCACGTACACGTTTTCAGGATTGGTCTGCTATAGAAATCTTGCATCCTTGATAAAAACGTTGGTATAAGAGCTGCCACACATCTTTCGCGTTATTCGTCGTCGTAAGTGGACGTCTCCTGCAATCATCTAAGTATATATTCATGCGCAACCGCAGAAGTGGTCGTGTTGTGATGTGAACTATTTACGACCTTCCTAGATTGTGTGTCCCAGCCAACTACAGTTATCAAGTAAAGCTCAGTTGTGTACACTTCATATACCTATTTACCTACCCAGAGAACGACGACTGCTAGCTAGGGAACACACTATGTATGTCTCAAACCTGTAATACAAAATAACGAGGCTTTGAAGAGTAAATTCGGTTCAGGCTGGATCCCTCAGTTTACCGTGCACTGGTCTTCTCAGTAGAGGAATCCCTCACACGCAAGAAGGGCAAGACCATGTCCTGTGTGAGAGTGAGGGCCAGCATCTACAGACATATCCCAAGACAGAATGAATCATGTTTGCGCAGAACCTTGAACACTCTAAGAGGCAAACGACACAGACAGAAATGGAAAACAGAGATATTTCCATTAATAGTGCGGATACATAGGAAAACAGCCAAATCTGTATGCTGTCTCCGTGCTAGCTCAGGCTCCAAAACTCATTAACAATTATCAGTCCCGTCAGCCCGTGCAGCACGCGCAGCTCAAAGGGGCGCAAGGCTACAGCACTTCCGTGAAATGATAGGTGTGGTGAAGAGAAACGTAAGGTCGAACGAGTGTGCACATCCGATAGAGATACATAGAACGAGAGTTCATGCACATGTAGTGATGACTATCTCAGAGTGAATTTCCAGACGGGTAAAGCCGCATCATCATCATCCGATCGCAATCCACAATGCCGCTGTACAAGCATATACATGAAGATGCCACTATCTGTCAATTCTTCTCGTAAGTGTGGCAACTGTGGGTTGAACATGACGCCACGCGTAGCTGATGCCCGCGGATGAGGGCGGTTGCTTCGGTTGACACTCTGTTTCACGAATAAACTTGACGGTCTTGAGGTTCTGGACCTCGAGTTTCATCGAATTTTAATTATATACTGCTTGTGTGACAAGCATATCCGGGACAAGCTCAATGCCAGACTGCTAAATCAGAGACAAGACCCGTGGGTTGGATCTTCGTAACTGAGCACCAACGTACCTTTTAATTCCCACCCCTATTCTGGACATGAAAGGCTGTTCTTTGTTTGTATTTCCAGAGTTCAAAGGAGGTGAAATTACTTCTATCGGACGAGGAGCCAACCCTCGCCTAGCTCAAGGTTCTGCTCCTACTACATACCAGTAAGAGCCCCAGAAGTGGTATATGCAGATTCGGAAAGAGGAATATTACGGGGTCGAAGATGGTTGGTAGAGCAGTGAGAGTTAGTTAGCGCGGTTTGCGGTTGCTGATCCACAATCCGCGCAACATCGGAGCACGCTAATGACTAACGACGAGGTTCGTCCATCCTGGCCAAGTTTTGAAAGGAGATTTCGCAGAGGCCGTTCTTCAGCAGTACACTTCAGCAGTACACAGGAGAGGAAAGGTAGGAGTAGAAATTCTTACCATGAGGATCTCGCGGATCTTTCTTCTCATCGAAGACTTCAGTCTTGGAGCGTGACAGTCTTCTCAAGTACCTCCCTGTAAGACGGATACACCCACAGTGGATACGCTTGTTAATTGTGATGAGGAGATGAGCTCAGTCCAGGACTACTCCTCATTACAACACATGTTCATTCTTTGCTTCCTGAGACGATGACATTTATTACTCCTGCGACGGTGGAATGTGACTGTCAATCAAATCTTGGGAGATAGGAAATCGTTCGCACCTCGATGCTCTTGCGTGAGACTCGGGAATTTTCCTGTGAAGTCATCCGAAAATCGTAAAATGTCGTGGATTCTGCCCATAAAAAATTTACCAAGTGAAATTCAATTAGGACAGAGTCCGCAGGCACCAATGTATGAAGGTAAAACCTGTTCCCTATAGAGGACAGTCCTCTTCGTGGCCCAATGCATCAATGTACCGAAGTCACAGGCGACAATTACTCGAGATACGAGCATGCTCAAATGTACGTGACTGTTCTCTCAGCTCGTGCTCCCGAAACCTGGCTCAGCCTTGAGTTAAGAGCTGCCTTCAGTTTTCCTTGAAAGCCGATGATTGTAGTAGCATACTGTTACGATAAACTGACCCATGACGATCTACTTCTTACGGCACCGAGCTAGTCACTCACTCAGGCACACGCAGAGCGTTTGCCACATACCTGATGACGTTCTCCTTCTCCTCCCTCTCGAACTTGGGACTTCCGATGCAGCTCTTGGACCTGCTGTAGGCGGGACTGATGCATGCCGAGACTGTCGCCGACACAGGTGGTGTGGGAATGGTCACTGTTCCTTGCAAACTTTGTAACCTCGCTAGAACTTTATCGACCTGCATGCGCAGGCGTGGACAGTAGTAACTCAGATCACTTCTTCAACCCACATGCACAACCTTCCTCGAGAGCAAGAGGAAGGTCTGCGATTTGGACCATGTACGAATGGCATGCGTGAAGGCAGCAGAGTAAGAGCACTTCAGCGCAAGCATGAGACTGACCAGACCCATGGAGGGAGCGAAACAGTACATTTTGCGTGGTATTTGCGTTACTCTTAACATTTTATATGGAAATAAAAAGCTATACATTTTATCGAAAGTATATGAATGTACGAGGAGATATTTCATAGATATCAGCGAAATGTGAAGTGAAGAATCCAGTTAAGGTTGATTTGGAGAGCCTTGTACGATGTTCGGTGAAATTGAACAGGCAACGCAGTCGCCCGAATGGCACTTCCAACAGTGCTCCTTTCCAGCAAGCTGCGGAAGATTTCATGTCCGAAGAGCTTTAAGTATTACCTTGAGAGCTGCCTCCATCATCATCATTGGTGCTCCCGTCATCTTAGTACTACTCGGCTGCACGTAGTGAGCCAGAGACAGATCATCTTCAGGGCATTCATCTGTGCTCGGAGGGGAACACTGAGGAGCTCCGGCCGCGATCGCCAGTAATCCCACGCAGCTCATTTTGGCTCAACGACTGACAATTTTTCTCAATGCTCTTGTTCTGCGGTCCACTTGCTGAGACTCTCCCTCAGCCCCTCGTCACCAGGGCCGCCTCCTCCTTCTCCTTCTCTGGGCTCTCCTATATTATCCGCAATGGGCGCAAGTGCATCCCAGGCCATCACAACTCGCGCGCGAGAGGAAGAGGAAGAGTAGAGAAGGAACTCGAAATTTCAAAGAGTCTGCCTGCGCAGGCCTCATCGTCTCGCTGCTACCACCGGAACAAATCTCATGCGCTAAGCTTTCTTCCCAGCACTAAACTAACATTCAAGCCCACCACCTACAGCTGCTCGGCTCCAGTGCACTGAACTCCGGTCTAGTCCACCACGCCCTCGCTGAGAGTACGCCCCAATGCTGATGCTCCTGCTCCTGCTCCACACCTGTCCGTGCCTCGTCCATGCCAGAGGACCTCCTCAGACCTTCACTCCAGCCCACGGCACAGTCTATGGAACCCACTGTCACCATGAACGAGCGAGCTCACCTCACTCACAAGCAACAGCTGCTGCTGCTCGTCCTCCCGCTCTACAGTGATGCCGTGTGCACGATTCAGACGGAATTCTTCCGATCACTATTCCCTCGTCCTCTCAATAGATCCATCCGCGCAATTTCCTTCCCGGCACAGCACGAACGAGGGAAGCTGCCTTCCAGTTCATCGAGCTGCTCTGCTCTCTGAGTTTATGGCGAAGGAAACGAAGGACTTCGTAATGCAACGCAATGCAATCCGAGAGAGGCACTATTGAAAGTATGCTATAGTAAAGTGCAGGCGAGTGAGTCGGTTGAGTGTTCTGCTCAGACCAAGCTCCACATTACACTCCCCGACGTCATGGAAGGGAAGAAAAGACCCCAAACGAGAATCTGACTACGAAGCTCGATCATTCGCTTCTCTGCTCCAGTCCGCCGCGCGAAAATCTCCCTCTTCTTCCTCCTCGTGCGGGCAGACCTCACCAAATCCGATGAGCCCGACGATCCAATTAGCATTTCGCCAGCTCCCGCTCTCGAGCTCCCATCTAAATTCGTACCGTTTGTCGCGCGAGGGACGAATCGGTCCACGATCGCATCGCGAGTCGCGACGAGGACGACGACGACGACGACGGAGGATCGCGCAGCAGCTCGAGCCTCGAGAGAGCGCGAGGCAGGCGCAGGGCCTGGACTGACGGCAACGGTCGTCTGATCCACGGGGCCCGAGTTTCCCGGTCGCCGTTGTCGTTTCCCCGGTCACCTTCCCTCGCTCGCCGGGCAAGACAAGACCGCCCATGGTCGGCCTCTGCAGTTTGAACGTAACGGAAACGCCCCCGTCAACGGACACCTCCCTCGCCCGTGGTGTGATCTGCTGTAACTTACGCCGTCTCCGACGGTAATCTTCATGCCGTTTCACTTTCACCTGGCCCGGTCTGGCGGTCGGTCAGGCAGTCAGGCGGTCAACAGTCACCTGAATATTCCTCCCCTGCGACGGGACGGATTGCAGAACCTGCGTCAGAACAGTCATTTTCTTAGAAGAGCACCCCCATTTTGTCAGCGCTTCGGAATCTCCTCCGTTCTCCTAATACTAGAACAAACTCCGTACTTTGATCATTTCTACCGTCGCTTTGATTGATAATAATCGATTAGGTTGAATGCGATTGCGATGGAAAATAATTTCGCAAATGACATGATTGATAAATTAGAGAAGTGTGCCACGAGAATTGAAGAATATATGAAAAAATTTATCATCGCATTAAGTGATCATAATCAGCTAAGATGATAGCGATTTCAAGGGAATTAACGGAGGGCCAAGTGATTTAAAAAGCCGGATATTAAGAAATCTAAGTGGAAAGCAGGTACCGGATGCCAATGCATTATAGAGGCAATTCCGGTAATGAAATAATTTGTAAAATAAAGAAGTGGGCCACGTGGATATTGGAAAAACATCACCATAAAATTAGTCGATGGTAATCAACTAAGATAATGGTGATATCTGTGGAAATGAGGCCAACAGAATTAAATATACGGAAAGTAAGAAAATCAGTGGATATTAAGTAATGGATTGGAAATATTATCGGGAATAGAATAATGAAAAGACTGAACGATTTGCATTGTGAAATCCTACCTAATGTATTCACGGAAGATCAGCGAAGAAACGTAAATTGGCAGATACCGATCAATTCTCGCGCCAGAGCTTCGTCTGTTATAAGAGCGTCGGTCCCCATGAACCGAGACGAGTCGGCACGAACACCGCACGTCAACGGCAAAGGGAGTTCACCGTACATGCACTAGCGAAGCCGGTGACTTGTAATCAGTCACACGTGCCGAGTTCCCGATAGGCTGCCTGATAATCACGTCCGACGTAGTAATTACCCCAACTTCACTCATGATCACATGGCCACCGACTGACGTCGGTTGACCGTCGCTCCAGTGACATAATTCGCTTCAAGAATACCGTTACGAGCGTAACGAGAATGAGAGCCTGACTCGGATTACCGTCCGGCGAGATAACCCTGGTTAGCGGGCCTGAAACGACAAAATCGTTTCCAACCGTTTGGGTCTGGTCGATGCTCTGGGAATGTATGATTATGGTGCAGGATAATACTGCCGGGCCACGGCTACTGGCGACCATTAGTGCTTCATTTAACCCGAAGAACCTTCTCCTTTACTCCTACGCTTCTTCTCTGCGTACCTACTCTTCTTGTACTCGTGGACGATGTAAATGATGCAGTTCTGCTCCCTTCCCATGAGGCTCTTGTTCTGTTTTTAAATGCCCCCAACCCATTGCCACTAGAAAATGCAGCTGCCAAAGTTGGGTTGTTTAATTTACTTACAACTTCCAATACAGTGGTCTTTGGCACTAGAGTCGGCGATTGGAACGAGCATCCAACTTTGCAGCTCAAGTCTATATTGGTTACGTATCAATTGCATGTATAATGTATTCGTACTTGTTGTCTTATGGGGATGCTGGTATGGCGCCAAAACTCAAGAAACGAAAGTGTTAGAAACCTCGTAAGTCGTGAAGCTGTTCACAAGAGTACTGTACATGGAGACAAAAATAGCATGATACATATTGGAACAAATCATACATAGCCAAATGAAGATAGTGTATTATGTTGAGAAGAAGGGGGTAGACTAAGTTTGGAAAGAGACCTATTAGTGTTCAAAGCCGAAAGAAGATATGTTTAAAGTTCATGTTCATTATGTTATATGCTCCAAACTTTTTATTCTGATTTATCGTGACACACGATATTCTTATCAACTAAATGGTTTCATGAAGTTATAATGCAACTTGACAACACTTGTACAATAAAACACAGTTGAAAAAAATGTACAATATCGACTTTACATCTAAAAAATATAAATTAATATTAAGAATATAGACAATATTTATGCAGGTGGATTCCAGATCTTGAAACATATGATTTGAAATGATCATTTTAGAAAAACACGTTTTAATTTCAATTAGAAGTTCAATTCCATTCAAATTTTTTTAATATTAGCAAATTATTCATGTATATTGTAATGTTAATGCATTATGATATAATAAATTTTTTTAATTATAAAAACATTATATTAACGCCAATTTTTTAATAACATCAAAATATTGATGTGTTTGCATTGAATCTAAAGGTACTACATACTCTATAGTTAAATTTTATTTCAAAATAATTGTTGGTTAAGTTTAATTTTGACATTATAACAGAGACCCAAGATATAATTAACAAGTTTTTTGCTCTTTTGTTATTTTCTTCATGTATTCAGTAATCTTTCTTTACTGCAGTAAAAAATACTTTATTATGAAATTTTGTGCTCTAAAAATTTATTATTTATATATTACAAACTTGTAGTTTTTCAAGGAAATTTCGAACAGAAAGTTGTAATATGTTACACACGATGCTTCATCACAATTGATATTATGTACAGGCATTCATATATACTCTATTAAATCAGTAATATAAATATATATCCTTATAAAATTCAATCATCACTCTTGTATAATAAATCTCTATCATTAATACTACTTACTAGAGTAGCCCATATAACTTTTAGCTCTTTGAAATTGCACACTTGAGTTATGTTTTGGATCTGTAGTTTTTGTAATAGTACAATTGTCAAGAAAAGTTAAAGATGAAAATATCCAATAGAGTTTACATAGATTGACATTATTTCTTGTGAATTTTTTTCAATATGTACAACTGTAGAATTATAATCAATTATTTTATATTAAATCAAATCAATTCTAATTGAAATTCAATTTACAAAAATAAACATGAAAGAATTAGTATCATATTTTTTTAATTAAAAAATAACTATATTACTTGCAATTAATTCGAAATGTAATTTATTTCATGAACGATTTTTAAGAATATGTACATTGGAAATATTTTAAATAGATTTTATAAAAATTATAATTATTCTTAAAATTCATATAAATATAAAACAAGTAAAAGTAAAGTATAATTTATTTATTGAGATTTATATGTGATAGATTCTTTTAAAGTGTAAAATATTTAAAGTATTAGGATTTGAATATCGTTATTGCAAATTTTAATTTTTGTTATTATTAATTATAAATTTATTGTAAAGAAAATGTATCAATTTAAAAAAAAGTCATTTAAAAACCACTTCTACATATAATCGCAACATTTAATTTTGAAGATTACAAAAAAAACTATGATATACTGCAAAAGCTTATTTTGTGAAAGTGAAAATTTGTAATCATGACTTTATGACAAGTTTAACATAATTCTATTACATTATTAACATTCACACAAATTTTATTATTATTGAAGTGTTTTCTCATTAAATAAATTTTAATTTTGACATTCTTATCAAATAAATAATTATTGACTTTAAAATTTTCATGTAAGCATATCTTATGCTTGATAGATGAAAATTGAACATATAGATTAAGAACAATATGTTATCAATCCTTGTACTATTTAGGTTAAAAATAATGTTTGAGAGTTTCATGTCAATAATGGATGTGCTTGTTTGCATATATAAATTTTGACAGTTTATTATTCATCTAATGTTATGGTAAATTTTAGATTATCATTGACATTTCAAATCGTAAGTTACATACTGATTTATATCACAACATTTACATTATGTAAATTTGAATCGTTAACCATTTATTTCAGTTCAATTTAACATGTTTGCAAAAATTATAATTATTTTTTTAAACATATGAAGATTTGTTATTATAATGTGAAGATTGGTTTTTGCTAGAATTTAGAATAAGAAGGTTATAAAATGGTTATGAATTTGCATTGACATATTTAATGTTTATTTTGTGTGTTTAGATTATTATCATACATACATTATATGAGGTAACAAATGAAAATATGAGTACATTATTCAATATGTACGAGTACATAAATGCATGGTTGACATGAAAAAATTTAAAATCAATAGCAGATGGAAATTTAAAACATCTGGCCATGAAGTATACAAATTTATGCATTAGAAAATGAAAAGTTAATGAATTATAGAGTTGAAAATTTTATAACATAACAAATTTTATAAATAAAATCGATTGATTAGGGGGCAATTTAGATCTAATGAACTTTTCCATCACACTAGATTATAAAGAAAACTTGTATGTTAACATAAAAGTAAAATCACATGCAAATTCTAATCAGATGTAGAGTCAACAACAAATTTGAAAGATATTATAGATAAGAAAATGTCGACTTTCAATGTGAAAATTTCCTTGGAAAAAACAAATTCTATTTCAAAAAAATATATTTTATGATGTTGTCATAATTATCATAAAAATCAAACTATGAAGATATTAATATAAAGTATGAAGATGAAGAAAAATTGAAAATAATATTTTTTTATAAGATTAAATTTGATGACAAGGATTAATAGCAAAAATCAAAACTTTTGTCAAGATAAATGACGTCAAAGAACATATATTGACATTGATTGATCATGGAATAGATATATAATCAAAGTAGCTTTAGAAGAAAGTGAAGTTGACCATTGACATGATCAATGAGTACAACAAATGTGAAAGAGAATTGTAAGAACCTTGTCAAAACTTTCAGATGAGTATTGGAAACATCAGAGTTGAGAGAACGAAAGAGTTGTAGGAAGCTTGTTCAAACATTTAGGTGAGTAATGAAGACATAAGAGTTGAGTATACAGTAGTTTCAAATGCAAGACTCTACAAAGATATTTGCTTGATGGTACCCCATCAAAAACTAAATTGCTTGATGGTATACATCAAGTTTCATTTTACCTGATGGTACCCCACCGAAAGTGTTCCGTCGATGAGTTTTAATAAATGTTCTAATACGAATATATTCTAATTCGTGTTTCTACAACGATTTTGACTGCGTGCCACTTGAGTTTAACAAAATTGTACATGCTCTCGCACGTAAGATTTCCCGACTCAACCAAATTTATCTAAGCTTTTGGACATTAAAGTTTGCAGTTGCACTCGCATTCCATAATCAATTTGCACAAGCACACTCAATCGGAGAAATCACTTTTGGATCTGAAACAGTGAGAGACAGATATGAGAAACAGTGCAATGCAACTGACACTACACCTTCCACCTCCAGTAATTGTGAGTTCTTTCGTCAAACCATCAAATTTTTGCTCTGATATATCTCCAGCACCGGACTACCATAATGAAGATTTCTTAGTACATGAATTGTGGCAGACATACTTGAAACAACGGTGCGTTCTTAAAGAGACTATTTGACGGTGACATGGATCGTACCTTGGATTCCATAGGGTAAATTGAAAGTTGACGCTTGGATGGGGTACCATCAAGCAAATAACTCGACTCTACATGTTAATTATTGATATCGGAACAATTATAATATAAAGCTTTGAATATAAAAGAAAGTATGTTAGATGATGATTCGGAAGAAACATAAATTTGTACTCAAGATATAAAGTGTTTGGTGTAGTTGTTGATCTTTGTTAGTGTCTCTTATAAATCATGATATAAGACATTTAGATTAAAGAATATTTTTTCTAATCTAGATGTCTTAGATTTTGTTACAATAATTTTGCCCATTGATTTTATTTTAAGATAAGAACAATTTTTTTTGATTTCAAATTTGATTTTTCATTATAGAAAATGAATTTCTATTAAAAAAATATAGCTATATTTATGTTAAAAAAAATTTTATCTTTTTGATTATGAATCTTTTAAAATTGAAAGCTATAATACATCTACTACTAACGGATATAATCATTCATTATATTACACAATTCATTCAACATATATGGAGCAAATTTTTGTAAGACATAGGTTGTAAGACATATAACATATATTCATCATCATAGAACATTCACTTTTTTGATACTTATAAGAAATCAATCATGTCAAATAACACGACATCAAATAACTCTGATACGAATTCACTGTAATATCAATTAAAACAGTTTTAGTATTTATGATCAAATTTTATAACAAATTAATCATAGCAAGATAGTATAAAAATATAATTAAATTTGACATATGATTAGCTTTTGTTTAACCTTATAGTCTACTACATCTCACTTAAGAATAATTTCACGTAGTCACATCTTATCAACCGTTAATTCTTTAACATGGAAATTTCAAAAATTGTAACGATTTAATCTAACATGACAGAAACTATATCCCATTCGTTTATTCTGTTTTACTATATCTTCATGAAAAATACCGAATATAACGTCGCCGTCTAGATGCTAACAAGAAAAGATCACATGCAGGGAACTCGTTGAAGGCAGCGTCTGGATTTGAGTTGTGCTTCTGTATGATTATCAAGTTTTCCATCCCTGCATCATGTGAATGCAAATTGCTTCTGTATGTAAGTTCTGCGTATTCTTCACGAAGTTTGCATGAAATTTGTGGACAATCTTCACGTCTAGCGAGACGGGTTGTGTTTTGAAGCATTGCATGAGCTACTTCTTCGATTTGTAGTTGGTTCAGAGCATGGGCGCTCATTACAGAATTTGATTCGTGGCTGTGTGGAGTATTCTAGTTGCAGTTTGTCAGACATTGAGCTGTTTTGGTCCTCGCTGTTTGATGGGCACTGACGGAGGTCTTAAAGCTGGTCGCACGAGGATAATGCAATTAGAGAGGCCTTCGTTGGATCCGGTTCTTTCGATCTTCCATTCATGGCGCCGGAGGATTTCTTTGGTGAGAGAGGGCTTCCAGCTAGCGAGACGGCATTCGAGCAAAGATTGCAACTTTTGGTCGAGGTGACTCATATGAATTGGACGAATGCTATATTTTGGCAACATTCGAGGAATCCAAACGGAGAAATGTAAGCTGTGAAATTCTTCTCAGTGGACGTAATTTTTATGACGTAGTTATGTGATACTCATCATTGTCTGTTTCACTCGCTGAAGTTCTGGTCTAAGTTTACATGTCGTGTACAATCGTTGAAGTTTGATCTCGATCATAGCCCCGCGCTGCATTCACTGCTTGTTCTTGGTCTCTTTCTCGCTATGTATATATAGACACACTCTATTGCGCATCCATAGCAAATTCAAGAAGTGCTAGCAGGTACGTTAGTGGTACCTTCAAACACTTCTCTTCCACTTACACAGTTTTTTCCATGTTGAATCTCGTCTTTCCTGGATTAGTATCTGCACACGTTTGGCTCATCCCCTGAATTGCAGACATCGGCATCCATCTTTCTTCAGGCTACATTCAAGTAGGTTGCAGTCCCTACACGAAGCAATCTTTGGTTATTAACCTACAGGTACAACAACTTGAACCTTACCGTTTGGTCACACTTTTTAATCTCAGTCCTAGCCCGGCCGCTTGACCATGTACCTAAGCCAGATCGTAACGTGAAGGTAGCTCGGAAGATCAATGTCTGAGATACTTTCATGAACTTGATGATCTCTGCAGGAACTGCAGAGATCATCAAGCCTAGGAACGCCAAGGAACTTAAGGAAAACTGCTATGAGAAGTTTTGGGTTGTATATATATATATGCCTTGAACTTACGCATTACAAAGAAAAACGAAAATCGGTTATTCTGGCGCTTCGATTATGCCGTACCTCTTATTGCTGTCCACATGCATGGCTTCCGCTTGGTGCCATGCCTGTGTTCCTTGTGTACCCTGCGTTACACTCCGGTGCAGGATTGAAATTCGCTGACCAGACATCTGAATCAGTTTCGTATTTTTGAATGCTGTGGTTATTACATTTTCGACAAAAAACATATTATTTGTCTGATGTATCAAAATCATTCAAATTCCTCATGGCAAAATCGATAACCTTCTTACTGGACCCTTGACTGCAAATCCACTTTCCCAAAGTGGATTTTAAGTGCCACAAAATTACCAATGTTTATCGGTATTGACTGGATAGAAATCTCCATGTGAAGTTTTCACGGCTCTCCTTCATATTAGAGATTCCTCAAGGGGGCTGAAGAGATTTTGGAGGTAGCGGGACCCCTTCCACGTCCTACCTTCATGGTACCTGCTAAATGATTTCCAGTTCACAGTTATTTTATCCGATAGTTCATCTCTTCTCAACGAGTAAAGATGAACTCGGTTGTAGCTTTTCTACTTGATATCATCAGAGAGCCTTTTCCAGTGAAGGTTTACATCGGGAAGGACAGGGAAGGATGGTCAGGTTGCAAGATCTACGATCTTTTGGAGGAGGAAGCAATTGCTCCCTGAAGATCCAATAGACAGAAATTTCAAGTTAAGAGGTTGGGCATTGCCTTGTATATGTATCTAATGCAGCTAATGTATCTCTCCAAAATGATGTTGTTATGGAATCCATCTTTGCTCCTGTTAGATGATGAGTTTCATCTTGTGTCGGAGCATCAAGAAGATCAGATTGGAAGAAGTGGGAGGAGGCTATACATTAAAATCTTTGCAGAAAAATTGCACGTGGAAATTTGTAGATCTGCCACCAGGAGGAAAGACTAATGGATGCAGATGGGTCTTCAAGGTGAAGAGAAGAGCCGTCGGTGAGATCTTGAAGTACAAGTCAAGATTATTGTGAAGGGGTATAGTCAACAACCTGATTATGAGTACCATGAAACTCTTGCTCAAGTGACAAGGTATGGTTATTTTAAAATGCTGTTACCTCTAGCAGCTTACAATGACTGTGAGGTAGAGCAATTGGATGTGAAGACAGCCGTCTTGGATGGAGATATGAAGGAAGAGATCTACATGGATGAACCAGATGGCAACTCCAACTCAAATGGAAGAGTTTGCCTGCTCAAGAAAGCTCTGCATGGGCTGAAGCAAGCACCTAGAAGTTAGTACCAGGAGCTTGATGCATATTTGAGGATGCAAGGCTTAAAAAGAGCACACTCAGACTTGAGTGACTACAGCAAGGATGACGAATTCTATATAGCATTCTATGTGGATGATTTGTTCTTGATGGGGAAGGGAGAAAGAGCTGAGAAGAGTGTAATCTCTTACCTTTGCTCCGTATTCGAAGTGACAGTACTTGTTCCAGTGAAGTTTCTGTTAGGCGTCCACATTGACAAAAATCGGAAGGAAGGATGGAATTTGATTGAGACAAAGCAAGTATTATTTTAAGGAGATATTATATAGATACAGGATGAAGGATGCAAAACCTGTCTCTACTCCTTTGAAACATGGCTGCAGGTTGATGGAGATGGAAAAAGGAGATGGATGAAACCAGCACGTAGAAGTTCTGTAGAGGAGAAAGAATAGTTTGAATAGTTTGAAAGGATAGTTCGAAATATTTTGAACTTGTGTCAGGTTCAGACCTGAGACTGGAAAACCTGTGTATAGTATAAATTCTGTGTATAGTTTGAACTTTTAATAAATGAAGACATGTGAGACAATCACTGGCATGGTGATTGCCAGTGAATATTGATCACTGATCACACCATTGATTGAGTGTTAGATTGCTGTAGAATCGGGGTGTGAAGGTAGTGCTCTTGCAGAAGATATGAGTTGGTATCTTTTGTGGAGTGGGAAGTTTCAGTGTGATCTCAGTTTTTAGTACCTCTCATAGTATACCTGAGGGTTAATTAGAGTGGGATTTATTATGGCAGGTGCAAGAGAACTATCAGGAGCTATTGTTGTTGAGGGATCATATAAAATTGCTTCTATCTACCCTTTTGATTTTCAGAAGCTGAAAATGTGCAAATGTGGATATGAAGGAATATGTACCCCACTGAGTCATGCGGATGGGTTACAAGAAAATATGAATGTGTCAAGGTCCATCATAATGGCACCAAGGTCACATGAATGTGGATCATTTTCTCATCGCTTTTCCTTAATTGTATGCATGTTCCTGTGAAGTATCAGGCCCTTACTAACGAGATACAGGAGGCAGATGTTTCTGACGTCACCTTTTATGTTATTCCATATGTGATTTGTATCGTTTTCCTCATATGGTGGAGTTCGTCTTCCATTGAAAAGTTGGCTGGTATACAGGCTAGTGATTTTTTGAGAAATTCAGAAGTGCCTGTTGCTTCTGATTTCCCTGCTAACTTAACTAGATTGTTGTCTGATGAATGAAAATTGAGCTCTCAGTGGCGAACAATCGTTGTACTTGCAGACCATCGCATGTATACCAACAAAGAATGGTGTGATGGAACTTGGCTCGACTGAACTGGAAAATTTCTTCTAATCAGTTCGTCCTGCTTTGTCCACGAGTTCAACTCAGACAAGGGAAAAATCTGTGCATTTGTCTGACGACAACGTAAGTTGTGATGGATCAGTCTGCAATAGAAGTTCTAGCTACCATAGTTACTGCTCTCATTGTTTCACCCCCAGCCCTTTTAGCCCTCAAACTAAACTGCTAGTAATCTCCACCCGCCCAAGGGTATGTCTCATCTTCAACCAGCAGTATCACGCAGACCTTCTCTGACATTCACAGTAGCAGTCCCACCACTGAGACTGAATTTTGTAATCAAAACTACTGGCATACACTGTGCTTAGTTTCCTCTCTATCTATTGGTGCAATTAAACAGTTGCACTCAGTAGACAATACATACAGATTGAACGAACCATAGCAGAAGAGAATCTATTCACTAAAGAGAATGAATTGAAAATCTATTCTTATAGAATTTAAGATATGTAGTCAAAAATTATGTTTGGTGCAAGTTTGGATGATTTATCTTTATTGATTGACTGCTTGTGATGTAAGTGCATATAATCTTTTATGATCTGATAATACTCATTGACTTAATAAGATTAATATTTATTGCATATAATTATTGATTATATGATTTTTACTTTATACTTTGATATTATTAATTTTTCATTCTATATCTCAATATATCTATATCAGTCATTTTGATTTACAATGGTACATGTGAAAAAATTAATTAAAGCATGTGGGTTTTAATGCGCTTAAGTAACGCATGAAATGGCAAAACATTTTCACACTAAACTGTACATTCAATAGTTTAAAAAGGATTTTAGACATGACGTTCAAGCCTAGATTCCTAACTGTAATGAAATGTTTATCATTTTTTTGAAAAAATATTGGCATATCTTGATAATATATACTAAGTCAAATGATTTGTTACTGCTATTGAAACTGAGTTGTCAAAGAGTATGAATTGATCTCATGGTAGATTATTGATATCTTCTACTAGAGTTTTTTCCATTTGTATGTAAATTTAACTATGTAACATGATATTCTTAGAAGAAGCGAAGGAAACAATTTTAGCGTTGAATGCATTTTTTTTCCCATTTTCAAATATTATTTAAATACATATGGTTTTACTGGAATACTAGCATGAAGGATCAAAACCTCAACCTTGTGATTTTAAATATTAGATAAATTTGATCAAGTTGGCTATGTTTTATGTTGAATATATTTAAATTTCAAAAAATGATCAGAGTATTATTTTTATTTTATTTTTAATGCTAGGTTATGATATTTGGTATCATGACTTAAAATTCTCAATTGAAAATTTCAAATTGATCAATGATTACATTCTACATATTAATAATTTATTTCTATATATTTAATAAGTATTCAAATACAATTATAAGACAAAAAGAGTATCACCATATAATTTTATTATTCACTTGGCTGACTTTTCTTTCTAATTTCGACCTAAGCCCTTTATAATAAGATTATTAAAAAAATGAAAACTTGAATTTTAACTGTAGGTTATTATATGAATGTAATTTTAACTGTAGGTTTGTATATAATTTTCTGTGGCATAAGTTTTGATTTTTCAAATAGAAGTTAAATTTGGTTTACATGAAAATCATATATGTCATCTTTGATTTCATTGTAATATTGCTATTAGATTTTTATTGATTTCAATATTGCAATATGAAAAATGATTGAGGCTACAATATGTTGGTTTTGAATACAAGATAATATGTTTTATATTGATCAGTTTGTGACCAAGAAATACTTCTACACGCGACATCTTCAATAATTCATAATTGTAATTTTGACTCGTAAAATTATTATGACTTCATCTATATCTTGATAATCGAATATATCTATAATATAATAAAAAATCATTTGATGTTCTTAAACAATGACTTATCTAAGCACACTTTTTGTTGGAGAGTCATATCACGATCGATATATATATATATATATATATATATGAATGAAATAGCACCAGTCGACTGGTGATAACTTGTAAGAGCACTTGCCTCTCGGTGTAGTTTGTGCAGTCTACTTTGTTTGACGTTAGAGAAAAGTTTACAAATCATGCAAGTCTTAAGTGGAAAGATAATGCGAACTGATGTACTTACATGAAGACAATATTGTTTGACTTATCAACCCTGTTTCCATTAATTCGTTCTAATTATTCCTAATTCGATTGCATGCCCGCGGATATCGGTTCGGCAAGAAAAACTTATTTGCGATGAGAACTGACACCGTATGATTATTGGAAGCAGATATTTTGACGCCATCAGTCAGCTCGTCATCTTCTAGCAATCAAAGAAGTGACTAAAAGACAGAATAGTCAAACGAATTTCGCTCCAATGCAAAAACATTCCATTTCAAAGCTTAATACTATATAATATATCACTGGAATGCAATGCACGTAGGAGAACCCTATAATTGTGGTAATTCAATACAAAGCAAGGCAATGATTGAGGGGCGGGATGCGACTCAAAATGCAGCTGTCTTATGGTCGTGGGGGGAGCATGAGGGAGTCCAATGTGGATGAGAAGGTGGTCCACTCCATGACGGATTTCGTTAAACGGAAAAGAAAATGGGACCTTGGTAGGGAATAATAAAATGCCCCCCTTTATAGCAAAGGAGCAAAGGAGCAAAGGAATTTAGGAGCCGGAGAGAATCGAGTAGCAAGAAGAGCGCGCTAGCTTTGTACACGTAAGTCGGTAACCGCCTACTTACCTACAGCTCAGCCTCGGCGGCTACGAGCTGACTTAGCAACGCAGGCTTTTGGAAGCTGATTGGACGTTGCGCCGAATGCAGGGCAGCGGGAACTTTCGACAGGCACTTTTCGGAGCCCGGAGATTCAAGCGATTTGATTCGACGAGATTCGCTCGAAGGTCAAAGGCTCAAATCCGGCTCTGCCGATGCTGAATCGCAGCAGCAGCAGCATTGCAAGCGGTGGTGGAGTCCACGACGACGACGCACAGCAGCAGCAGCAGCAGCCCGGTCAGAGAGAGCGATGGTAGCGCGATGGTGGTGCGACGACGACGACGAGGACGACGAGTAGGGAAGTAGGGGTCGATTGGACTGGACTGGACTGCTCTGCACTGCACGGGAAGAGGTGGAAGCTCGAGGGCGGAGGAGTTAATGTCCCGGTCTCCGCATGTACTTTCGGCTTTTTGTCACGTATGAGCGCAGGCTTTTGGAGGAGTAGAGAGAGAGAGAGAGAGAGAGAGAGAGAGTAGGATAGAGGCAGACAGAGATTCTAGAATTTCCGGGCGGACGGGCGGGGGCGGAATTCCCTGCAGAGGTGTCGGTGACCCCTTCCAGAGTCTCTGATTCCGTTCCAGTTCCGACGAGATCGCTGCTGCTGGGTATCTGCGTGAGATCAGAGCCTTATTTCTATCTCCTGCCGTTGTCTGTTTCGAGCAACGCCATCTTCGTCGCGCGTAGCGGGACAAACGCTCTTCTTCTCCTCTGCCGGAGAAGCTCTGCGCACGTGGGGAAGCGGGGGCCGAGCTTTCAGCCATGTTTTACCAAGTACTGCTGCCGTTGTTGCTGATCTCTGGTGTAGTGGTTAGTGCTGATTTGGTCCATGATCTGCCGGGATGGATGGGCGAAACGTACGATTTTCTCTTACCTCCTGTTTCATGTTTTTCGGCCGAGTTCGTTCTTCACAGTGTGCAGTTCCGATGGACTTTAGTCAGTTGATTCAAAGTGGGGAGGATGAGCTCTCGACTGAAGGCTTGTTCATTTTACAGGCATAATGTTAAGGCGCTGAAACCGCTCGTAGTTGAGCCGCCGAAAGTGATTGCTCTGTCATGGAGGCCCAGGTGAGTTTATTGTTCGGCCGGCCTCTCTGAGATCGCTCCATTCTGTTGAGTTCTTGGCTCGGAGGTCTTGTTGGCCTTTTCGGTTGGGAACGGTGGTTGTCGCTGGAACGCATCTCGCATCAGCCTTGGAGAAAGAGTTGACTTTTTTGCCACCTTGGATTTCAGGGCTTTTCTGTACAAAGGTTTTCTGACAGATGAGGAGTGCGATCACATCATTATGTTGGTAAGATTGCGGCCTCACTTCATTAGATACGTATCAGCCTTAAGCTCAATTTCGTTTAAACCTTCAAACTGTCCGTTTGATATTTTTATTGCACTCTGCTGGCTCTCATATCGATTGAAGAAGACATTTGTCACTATTTCATTTGTCATTTGTCACATTTGTCACTTTGACATTCCTCGGTATATGCTTCTTAGGAGCTTTTTGTTTGCGGGACGAGGTTTATTTTCGATAAGGATTTGGCACGTTTACAAGCCTTTCGTATTTTCGTATGATCGTTGACAGGCAAGGAATAAGCTTAAGAAATCTATGGTAGCCGATAATGAGTCCGGAAAGAGCGTGGAGAGTGAGATTCGAACCAGCTCTGGGATGTTTCTATCGAAAGCTCAGGTAAATGTTTGTGGTCATGGATGGGCGTACCATCCCACTCGCGCCACCGTGGTTTAATTCGTTGCTGCATCCCTTCTAGAGCCTCGGAGTCTGATGTTTTTTTTTGAAGGTTGAATTTTCTAAGATTTGTTATTCCAACTGTAAGCAATTTATCACTCTGCCTTTGCACCCTTCCTACCATCCATATAGAGTTGCTTCTGAGAGGTACTTTTGTTCCAACTCTGTGAGTTTGCTGGAGTATATAATTTTGGGTTCAGGGTTCGTTTCCGGAATTCACTGGTGTTGATCTAGAGTCGAAAGCAGACGCATTTTTTGGGGTAATAGTTACAATGATAATAACACTGATCAGGGAATGAATACTGGATATACCCTCAAACGAACAAATGTCATCTACGGAATAAAATTTTTGCACTACCCTCTTACTTCGAAGTAATCCAACTTCCTTTTCTTCAATTTCTATTCCCTCTTTTTCAAAAGGGCCAGACTAGGGCCACACCCGTTTTTGCTACGGCCACACCCGCCCGCTAATTACCATGCCCATGCCCGCTTTTGCTACTACCCAAGCGCACTTCTGCTACAACCCAAGCGCACTGCTACTGCCCAAGCCCCAGCAACGCGGGAGACAGCGACGGCCGCAGCGGCCCCGCGCCCCTCGAAGCCTCTCGACTACGCTCTCTTCTGCCTCGCGGACGAGCTCGGCTTAGCAGCTGGGTTTGAGGGGAGGCGTGCTTTGACGCACAATCAGTTGTTTGTATGTAGCGGGTGTGGCCGTAGCAAAAACGGGTGTGGCCCTAGGCTGCCCCTTTTCAAAATACTCAAATCTCTTCTACACTACCATTTCTCAGCAAAGGCACGGGTCTACAGTCTTCAGGCTAACAAAAACACGGACTGATGGGTAACTTCATAAATTGCGGTCAAGGATGTTAGAATTGAAGCAGTCGAAAGTGCTCAAACATTTGTTTCGACTTGTATTGTGTGATCTGGTCTATAGGTCAAATTGTACATGTAGTGATCTGGATCTAAATGGTGCTAGTGAATATATGACGCTCTTGGATTTGAGGTTCTTATTCTGTACTTGTCTTTCAATATACAGGATGAAGTTGTCAAAAGAGTCGAAGACAAGATAGCAGCCTGGACATTCTTGCCGCATGGTATGCTTCAGTACCTGGAATGGGAGTCTCCGTGGTTCAAACTACCTGTCGAGTGCAATCTAGGCTTTATGGATAGTCTTCCAATTCACAATAGGGTGTGTCATTTGGTCATTGTTATTTTGTCTTTCTGTCTGCTACCGCTTCTGTACATATTCCCCTCATTGTGTGAGTGTAACGGTTAGGAGTTGCGGAATGAGACACCTCTTGTTAGCGTCTTGCGAATGATACTTCTGAAACTCCCTGATTACTCGAACGACGACGTAATTAGTTAGTGAAGTTGTGGTTCAAGTGAAAATTTTCATGGAGAGATATGTGTTAATGGCGGTCATGGGACTAGATACGCCGCTTGAATGCTTTTGATCCAAGAATGAAGGTCTATCGCGATTAGAGTAAGGTATACACGGTCGTTAAAATTTTCTGCGGAGTCCGAACACGTGAACTTTCTCAGCAAATGTCGTGAAGGGAGAGGACTCTGATATATCCAAGTTTCCAGAAAGGTTGAAGAGAGGTAGTGCACATTTTCACTGGTTGTAAGACATACAAGATTGAACAAGACCACCTTACTGTTAAGCTGGAAGATGGAGAACCTGTCCTAGCGTCTCAGGAAAGGTTGAATCTCAAAGATCCTATTTCGGAGTTCGATATGCTATACAAGTTAACCAAGATTGTGAAAGAGTACGGTCCAGATTTAACAGGAAGAGTTTAAACAGGAAGTTGTTCTGTTCCTTTGCAAGGAAGGAAGTTATTCCTACTTGTTTGTAGACAAAGAATCAGGTCTTGCTTTCTCAGATCTCGGGCAGTGTGATGTTGCTCTGAAGAGTGTACAGTTGCTCAGGGAAGTCCTGATAAAGACTACTCAAGTTTGAATTAATGTCTGCCAATCAGCATGGAATCCGAGTATTACGAAATGCAAAGCAAAGAATCCACCGATTCGCTTGCATATCACGAGAAAATTGTTACCAGGCCCTTCAGCTTGTGCAAAGATGTTTCTTTACATTGAACGCCCAAATTCCAGTGAAGCTAGTGAAGTGATTTCAAGGATTAAAATAAGAACCTGACAACTATGTTTCAAAGCAGCGATACTGTACATCTTTGCCTAAACCCGTGAGATGGCATCTAGGGACGCTGTTTAAGTATTAAGTTTTTGAAGTGGGCTGTTATGTGCAGAAAATGGCGAAGCCATTCAAGTTTTGAGATATGAGTATGGGCAAAAGTACGAACCTCATTATGACTACTTTCAAGACAAATATAATCAGGTCTTGGGTGGACATAGAGTTGCGACTGTGTTGATGTATCTGTCCGATGTCATCAAGGGTGGCGAGACAGTATTTCCCTCGGCAGAGGTGGGACTCCTATGCTTTCAGTTATAAGCTAGTTTGATATTTTATACAGCATGCTCGTGCGTTGCAGTGTGGTGGCCACCCACGACCTGAGTGCAGAAAATGTTTCATCCTACATCATAGAGTCTTTTGGAAAGCTTTATTCGGAGTAGTAACCAAAGACTCAAGAACAACGGAACCGTACTCGGAGTGGTTTAAGTACTCCATTCTGTGCCCCCGTTAGCGGAGACTGTAGAAAAATAATTGCTGGTCTCACACCGACAGGATGCGCTGCTTCTAGAGGACTGGACTGTACCACTTTTGGATCTTTGATGTTGCTAGAGTAGTACATCTTGCCCTAAACATATTTGCGTTTGCCCTGTTTACATTTGATTCGCACAAGACATATTTGCTCGTTGGAATGTTCTTCTCACGTTTAATTTGTAACCTGACTGTAGTTTGTCGGTCGGATGTTATCGTGCAGACCAAGCAGTTCAAGGACGATACCTGGTCTGAATGTGGCAAGAGAGGAATTGGAGGTAATTATTTTCTCCATTTATGTTACAGCCTTTGTTTTCAGATATCAAACTTTTGTCTTCATTTCATGGCGATACTATTCTTTGCATAGATTGGAGAGGATAATAAGTGTTGCTTGTGGGAAACTGCAGTGAAACCTCAAAAAGGGGACGCCCTTTTGTTTTATAGTTTACACCCAGATGGTTCACCTGACGAGTCAAGTCTTCATGCGGGTTGCCCGGTTATTGAAGGAGAAAAATGGTCGGCCACCAAATGGATTCATGTTGGATCCTTTGAGAAGCCAATACGCTCTGTAACTGATTGCGAGGATGAGAATGATCTATGCGGTGAGTGGGCAGCGTATGGTGAGTGCGACAAGAATCCTACGTACATGGTAGGAACGGCAAGTGAACCGGGTCGGTGTCGAAAAGCTTGCAAAGTTTGCTAGTTGTTGCGAAATCTACATCGAAATTGAAAAGAGGAAGTGCACGCTTAAAAGCAAGTGACCGCCGAAAGAAAGTGAACAAATGTTCACAACGCCCGACCAAAGACATGCTTTTGCTCAGGAATATGTTGCAGTTTTCTGAGCCACTCCAAGAGATTCTACGACCTTAATCCCGTAACTTGCCTTTCGGATCTTGCTGTTGCACAAAGCAATCACTTACCTGGTACTGCCGGGCTCGGCAAGATACAAGTCTGAAAGTTATATACACTGGCGGTACATGCTTGTGCCCTTTCACAGTCACAGCGTCACTATTTAATGCTAGAAATCAAAAGTAGAAGTGAAAACTAGGTTGTTTTTTTAAGTTATAAATTTTTCATTATACATCACTGTATAGTGTACATCACCTTCTCCGGATATACGAATTTGTTGCAGCTAGAATATTTTTTCTTATTTGGCTGCAGTTTTGACAGTGATGCCATGTTTCACGTGCCCAGTACACAACGCGGAAGATGGTCAACATTTTGCAGCTCGGTCGTTAGCTCGTCAACTTCAAATGTATGAATGACAATAGAGAACAAGAGATAATCAAGGTTTCGCTGATCATTGGCGTGTCAGTTGTTCTAACTGCTTGTAAACGAGGAATGCTTGCACCTGTAAACTGGGACAGCGTGTCTCCGTTTCCTCGTGAAACAAAAAGCCAAATACCAAACAATCCATTTGAGGGCGATGTTCGTGTTAATCCCTCAGACAAATCCAGACCCCAACGCCGGAGACGAATTATGTAGAATGGAATGTCGGTCTGTGGAAGTGTCTACACTGATGTCTTATTTCCAATTTCGACGTGCCCAGTAAGTACTGTTTCTTAGGAAGAGGCACCGTGCAGAGTAAGTGTCTTACCTACCTATGAGGATACCAGAATGCACCATGCGGTTGCTCGGGGATCGGCGATGATTCTTGCTTAGCGCTTTGCGAAGATACACACACTCCTAAAAGAAAACGTTGTGGCTGATTCCTTCCTAGCCAAAATCAGAACTCTCTACAATTGTGAAAGCCATGTATGTAATGTATATTGGAAAGCCACTCGAAGGGAGAAATTCAAAGCAAGGGAAGAAGCCTCGTCACCAAGTCCGAAGTTCATGATGTGGCTAGCCCCGGTAGCTTCGACATGTGAAGTGCATACTCATACTCAAATTATACGGTCTAGAGAAGAGAGTGAAATCTCATGTACTTTAATATATTAGTCTCTGGTGCATATAATTAACATCGATATTTATATACATGCAAACCTAGTAAAATTAAAATTAAAATATTAAATATACATATATTTGTTATAGAATAATAGCAAATAGATTTCTTGCACTGAATACGATTTTACTTAGTCGCGTGTTGAGGTCGTGCATTCTCGAAACATAAAATAGAAGAACCAAAGTATATACGGGAATATACAAGTTACCGTAAGCAAGGCGAGTGATGTAGACATTTTGCTTGGAGATATGCGTGGAGTTCAGACCAGGTTGAGCATGTGGACACCTGTCGTTCTCTGGGATCGTCCAAGGATTCAGGTCGTTTTCTAGGCTTGCAGACATGGACTCTCACGGTTCACATTACGCCGTAAGCCCAAAGGTTGCTCCCGGTCGACAACACGGATCGTCTGAATGGATGGATGTACCTACCGATCTACTGCACCAACTGGAATCGGCTAAATTATTACATCTCGTATATCCGGGCTTCACTCCGGATAAGAACAATACACAGTGGAAATTTTGGGGACAAGGCTTAAGTCAAACGGCACCAGAAGGTTGCAGTCGCCGTCGCCGTCGAGGTGCCAGTTTCCGTTTGCGCTCCGTCGCGTCGACCGACCGATAGACGGCGCTGTGATGTAATCTGAGCCATCGGGCTCACGTCGAACTCCGGGGATCCGATTTAAATTTACTCCTCCCCAGGACGGGCTGTTACGAAATTCACGTTTCTCCGTCCGTCCATCCATCCATGGCGTACCAAATCTTGCGGCGCCATGCGTCGCGCCCCAATGAGCGCCGCTGTGAGTCCCGGTACCGGTCGCCGGCCGCAGTACCGGTCGCTGCCACCTACCGAAAGTCGGTCGCGTCGGGTCGGGAAAGGCCTCAGCGGAAGGTAAAGGCTCGGAAGCCAGGGCCGCGGGCGGGACGGGACGGGGCCGGGCCCTCTGCCTGAGCCGGGCCGGGGCGGGCCGGGCCGCGCCGGGCTGGGCTTTCGAAGGAAGGAAGGAAGGAAGGAAGGAAGGAAGGTACGCAGAGACAGAACATAGCGAAAGCGTTGGGGGCTCGAAGAAGGCTCGAAGAAGAGGAAGGCGGAGGAGGAAGAAAGGCGTGAGACGAATTGGCACGAGACCACGAGGCAGGGGACCACACGCAGCGCAAGTCTGGCTGTCTGTCTGTCTGTCTGCGAGGGAAGGATCTCTTGCACGCTCGAAGGAGGGGAGGAGGCGAGTCGAGGCAGAGGAGGACGAGGAGGGCGAGCGACGACGAGAGAAGAGCGAAGAGCGAAGAAGACGACGACGACGACGATGGTGGTGGTGGTGGTGCTGTGGAGGTTTAGCGTGCAGCGATGAGAGGCTCGGGAGAGGAGGAGGAGGAGGAGTAGGTATAGGTTACGTGCGATCGGAGGATTAGTGGGGCTGCTGTTGGGCTCGGAAGGGAAAGAAAACGGCTGCGGATTGGTGGTAGGAGAGTAGAGCAAGAGGAGGGCATTTTAACCTATACGCGAGAGTGTGGAGAACGAGACAATTTGAATGGTGCAGCTGTGGAGGGAAGTGGAAGACGAGGTCCGAGGAGTCGAAGAGTTCTGGTAGTGTGTGTCGGCAGGAGGAGGATACGGTGTTTGCGTCGGTCGCCGTTGTGGGTTTCGCTGTGTTAGCTTCGTTTGCATTGCGGGAAGAAAGAGGAGGAGGAGGAGGAGGAGGCAGAGAGGTTCGAGGTTTGCCCACGCTCGTACCGTATGTGCGGCATGTGATTGAGGACGACAGTGGGTTTTCTCGCTCGAGAGCCTCGGTCGCTTGTCTGTATTTCGTGTGGTCTCTCTCTGCTGACGGCAGGGTTCTGCTGTGAGTGGGTTTGCCATCAGCTCTTGCCCTGTATCGAGGCTTCGGGAGTTAGGCTGTGCCGTCGATTAAAAATAGGTGCATGACGGGGGCGGGACCTTCCTCAGATGATAGGCCTCCGAGGCGTCCCACGCGTGCATGCACTGCACGCACCCCCGCCAGGCTAGCACCTCCAGCACCGGTGCCTTCGAGAAAGGTCACCTCTCTGAAGAAGTTCAATGCTGCTGCCGCCGCCGCCGCGGCTGCTCCTAAACCTTTGACGGAACCTTTCACCCCGATTGTATTGTCACAGCCTCGTTTGCCAGCTCAAGAGGACCGATGGCAATTGCGAAACATGTGGGAACTGGCTTCCGTCCTTCACTTTCTCCATGTACGATTTCTATGCCTTTTTCTCCCGATGTCGCTCTTTCCTTCACTCCATAGCGACGCAGTTGTAATCGTGTTCAGTCCTCCGGGAGACACCAAAAAATTTAAAATTTTCTTTTGCGAGCAATTGCCTTTACCCAGCCGGATCCGACATCATTTTGCTTCATTGTTGACTTCAACGTTTTTTTACCTCCGTAGACGACGATTCTTTGGTATCTCGTATCGTGTTGTCTAGAAGCGTTGCAAAGAGTGGATTTTTGTATCTGCTCGTCGTGACAGTACATGCGATTATGGTCATTTCCTGTCGATGACTTTTGCGTGCTCATTCGTGTCGTGTGTACTTTTAGACGGGTCATACACATCAGAGTACTTCTGACATTCATTAGTTAGCACATTCTTATTCTTCTGCCGCCTACATATCTCGAGGTTGGACATTCTTTGTTCCTGTGCCCTGGTGGGATTTTAAAAGCAGGAATTCAATGTCGACTGGAAATTGCCCGGTGCTCATTGGACGTCTCCTCGCACAGAAACTTGCCGGGTTTATATGTCTTGTATGAGCATTTGAAAGGTTGAAGTTGTTCTACGCGAAGGCGATGAAGGGAATCTCTTGTCACGCCTGAATTTTACTGTGTTCTTGTAAGCGTGGAAGACTTTGGTCGGAAGATTGATGACCATATCTCGCTCTGACCAATTTGATTATATGGAGCTCCTCAAATCCAAAACCTTTGTCAGTACACAGATCATTACTCTGGCTGGCAGCACGGTAGCTTTATTATGTGTACACAACCTCTGGAAGATTTTATTGTGGCAAGTTTTAACGTCTGCTTCAACCTTTCGTATGGTCATCACTTTCATCCTCGGGAATAGTCAGAGGATTTTAGAGAATATTCTTCAAAGTATCCACAAGCTATGGGCTACTTCGGGGTCATCTTTGAAGCCAAAGTTTAAGGACCTACGGTGTCAGAACACAGGTTCAATTGTATTTATGGACACGTTTTCGACACTTCTACGTTACGTGGCGCAAGTAGGAAATAGGAAAGGCGTGCCCAGGCGTAATGTTGGGAGTAAGGACCTGAAGGGTTCCGAGCGTATGTTCCAAATTTAACAAGGCTATGGAATAAATGAGATAAGACTCTCCTCTTTGGGAGGCATATGCACACTTAAGATGTATGTCAGATCACGAGTCGCAGAATTTTCGTTGTTCGTACCCACGTTCTGAGAGGAATTGCAGGAATTTTGCTTAGAGTTGAGAGTGGTGTTCCATTACAGAGTCCCACTTCTGAATATGATGGGAACAGGTGTGGAGATGTGACCCAACAACAGGGCAAACCATGTGTAAAATATATTTCAGAGCACAAAAGTGTGTCTGAATCACTGTCTAGACACTGAAAAGAGCGTGTGGAAGGTTTGCTGTCACCATTTGCTGCGAGCAGTCTAATACTTGACATGTATCAACTTTCACCTGTGATCATGTAATAGGCAGTTAGGTTGAACTGATCTCTTGGCTCGAATGCCCAGGACTTTGTGCTCTATAGTAACCTGAAGCCACGTGGGAAAGGTTAAGAGGGACCTCTGCTTGAGCTTGAAAATGCAGGAATGTGTGTTTATGATGTATTCAAAGTGATCTTGTGACTTGGAATGGTTCCTCACGGATACTTGCTTGTCGATTCGCAGGTTTTCCGTCCCGTTTTAAAGATTGGGGATGATTTCACAGCAGATGAATTGGAAACCGCATTGCTCACGCCCAATAATAGATTGGGTAATATACATATCATACTCTTGAAGGTGTGTTTTCCTCGCGAAATTGTTTACTTTCTCTACTGCATTAAGTCAACTCACGACGCCCTCATGCTCGTTTTTTATGCTGGAGAATGCCGTGCTTATTTCGTTTTTCCCATATGGTTGACACTGCTTGGGTTCTTTTCAGTTGAGTCGGGGATTTGGTGTCGGTTCCCGTCAATAGTTTGTTAGCTGCTTATGGTTCTCTAGGGCTGAACTTTGTCACTCTATATCTAGCATCTGCGGGATTTGTCTCGTAGAGAAAAGATTATTGTGAGCACAACGAGTCTTAACTTTGTGAGTGGACTGTCGTTTTTCACATCGATGCAGGCAGTTCCTCCTGTGCACAGAAGTCCATTGAACCTCGACACGTGGGTGACTGTTCTCACAAAGAAGCTCCAAAACTGGTGGCCTTGGGTAAGTTTCACTGGTGGACTTTTAGTAAAATCTTCCAAGGTTATGTGCCTTGAAAGTGGAGGAAACCTACATGCGTCTTCTCTTTTACAGGTGTTTCTCCTAGAACTAACCGTTGCAAAGACACATAGTTTGAATGTATTGAGAATGTATTGAGAAAATAGAGGTGACAGGCTGCCAGGAATTATGTAAAAGATACAGCTTGTCTAGACAAAATTTAGACTGGATTTGTACTGGTTCCTGTTATAACATTACCAAGAGTTTTTAATAGTGTTTCCAATTTTTGTTACATTTGGCTTGTTTTAGGTGGCAGAAGGAGCTTGCCCACTTGTTCCTGCTCATGGGTAAGACACTTTGAACAGAACATAATAATTTGGACTTGGACATTACAATATGAAGATGACTTGCTTCTCCTTAATTAATAACAGTTCCGTCAAGAACGTGTATTATTTGCATCTTTTTGCTCTCTTCAGCATGAGCCCAAAGTGGAGCTGGCAGTATGCATTTGGAATGTTAAGGTGCAGTATAATATGTCACTATGTACGCTGTTCAATTCGCTTCATGGCCGTTCAAGCCTCGACTCTTATTACCTTATAATGTCTTATACTAGTTCCTGTAGTCCTTCGTGAATTCTTGTAACCTACATCTTCCTCGTCATACTATCAGGACTTTGAGTTTCAGCAATATCTAGTCTGACTGCGGGTTCTGTGGTCTTCAGGGTTATTACGTAAAATTCTGATGACTTCATTTTAATGAGATGTTGCATTTTTAATCAGTGTAGCCATCCAACGGAAATGTTTTTTTTGTTTGAATGTCTTCTTACTTCTGTGACTCTCATGTTTGTGCTGCCTTTAGTATTTACATAGATATTACGTTCTCGTGCAGACAGGAGATCGCAACCTACAAAGAGTTTGATCCAGGAACCAGATTGACAATTTTGAAAGCGTTGTGCGAGATCCGCCTTGATGTAAATTTTTTAATACTTTTCCTCCTATTTTAGATTGCTCCCAGTAGTCTGTAAAGTTTTGATTTTATTAGATACGTTGTTAAAATACACACGCTTTTTTAGCGTACGAGTTTGTCTTCCCTTTGAAAAACTGTCCCGAGAATGTTGTTAGATTCAGCTGCTTAGTCTCGCGCATTTTTTGCCTTGTCAGCAAGAAGATACGAGGACATTTCTGGAGCAGAGTCTCAAACAAGGACAACCAGTCACAACCTTTCGGAAGGAGCGAATAGGAGCAGATATGTACGGGACAACATATTGGTAAGGTCCAAAGTTTCCACATCAAGATCATCTGTATCGCAGGAATTGATCGCATGTGGCAAGGTACTGAACAAAGTTCTTGAAGTAATTAGACCGCGGGTTTGAAGTGTGTTTAAGGCGTCGCATTTCGCATCTCACCGAATTTATGGGTTCGTTCCCTTGCAGGTACTTTGATGACCCTGCTCTCGGGCACAGGCTATGCAGAGATACCCGTGTCGACGTTAAAGTGAAGGGCAGAGTTCGTGCTCGAGATTATCCACCTCCTGTTGCAGGCCAGTGGGAGATAGTTGCGACAAATTTCGAAGAATTCACTTACGTCGCGGTAAGAATCTACCATGGGACTACCAGAATTCCATACTGAAGTTGAATGTCTCAAGACTTCATCTAGAGCTTGGCAGGCCTTACGTTCTTCAATAACAACGTGCTGGAGAGAATTTGTCTTGCCTTTCAATGAACTTGCTTTTGGTCCTAGTACTGTGTTTCCTCCTTTTAAACTGATTGACTCCATAAGTTTGCCATGTCAACTTTGAAGTCAACTGTATTTTTGTAATCCTGGATTATGTGGGCATATTTAGTTCTATTCACACACGAATACTGCTTCACAATGACATCTCCACGCTTGCTTTTTCGGACATCTGAGGACTTTCGTACTGTTTAGCTTTTTTTCTTTTTTTCTTCTTCTCTCTTTTCTCTTACTATCTCTCTGGCTTTTGATGCGCTATTGGGCATATAGTATACTTACCACCTGTTGCGACTGCACTGTACTTCGGTCGGACACGCTGTTTCTTTCTTGCTCCTCTCCTCTCCTCTCCTATGCTTTCAACCTGTTTTCTTGACGAACTACGAAAAGTCTTTGCAGAAGCACTGCGTGCGAACTCCACTAAGCCTCTGTTAAACTTCAAGCCCTTACCGTATCGTTTCGTCCGCGCTTCCAATAACATAGAGAATAAATCATGTAGAAAACGATCCCGATCTCCTCACCGATCCGAACCCCAAAGGAACCACTTCTCACACTTTTATTACGTTTTGCTATTTCTGATTTGTGACTAGTCGTTGTGGTTTGCAGGAGAAATTGTCCTCAAGCTCAAATCGACTGGAGGCCGCTCTAGGAAAGAAAATCACATCTGATATTCTTCCGGATCTTGAAGAGATGCAGAAGGTGAGGACCCTATACTATTACACATTCGTGTTCAGTGTTTGTAAACAAGGCTGCTGATCCTTGTCTCATATAGGTTAGTGTCATACTTCAGCGGTGAGCTTGTGGAATTTGCGCTTAAAAAATATAGACGTAACTGAGTTTCGTCTTGATTTGTTATATTGCAGAGAAAAGAGCGAACCTTGAAGAAGCAGCAAAGGCAGGCGGTGCTGCTGGACAACCTTATGCAGGGTAACGGATTAGCAGCTGGTCGCTCTCGCAGGGATCGTAAACCTGTGTCATACACTTTTGGTACGTTCATGGCACGTTTTGGTTCCCTGTGCACCATTTCCTTTTATGGGCTTCTTATATACCCCTGCTGAGATTCTAACAGTATATCTGCGTCATTGTTTACATGAAGATGATTACGACCGTTCAATCAACGAAGCCATCAAGTACACCAAGTAAGGACTGTACCTTGAAACTTCTGCAAGTCCACTTGCTTGTTAGTTGATCACGCTGATGGTGACAAGATTTCTTTAGGAGACACCTGGAGATAGTGGCTGAGGAGTCTATTTCCATTACTCTTTTCCTCTCTCTAGCTGTTGAAGATCTGCGTACATTCAGGATTTAACTTCAAGTCTTTGCCTGCGTGCATAATGTAGTTAATGTTGATGGATGGATGATGGAAGAAGGGATGATCTCTCGTTGCAAGTTGAGGTTAATTTCAGGACAGCTTTTGATAATTTTGGAGATTGTGTCGATGAATACAGGAAACGGCAACCATCTCCAGAGACATCACACCAACATGATGTGAGAGGTCCTTTTGACAGAACTAACGGCGCAAACGGCCACTCAGGCAGTACGGACATGTTATCTCCAGCAGATATGAATGGTAACCACGCGCCTGAAACGGAAGGTGTGACCAATATTTCATCAAGGAGGTACGAGTGCTATCGCCATTGATTTCTGAGCGCCACTTCTGTGGTGAGACACGAGGACATATTTAAAGAGGAAAACCTATGCTCAGTTGTACGCCATCTGGTATTAGTCTAGATTGTGAAAGTTGTTAGTAGTTTAACTTCATGATCAGAGGTTTTCTGGGATTTGTAGCATGAATGTGATGAAACTCGTAGCGTACGTTTTTACTTGCTTTTGCACAGCGTCTCTTGACTGCCTCTCTTCGCGGACCTTGGGAGATTAAGTAGTTAGACCTTTTATATGCATAATGCTACACGAAGTTACTAGGTATAAAGGTAACCACTCTGCGGAAGCTTATTACGTTAGCGTTACATGCAGGCGACTGTCACGCAAGTCTCAACGGTATTCGGAGAGCGAATACGTGCAAACTATCTATGACGATGTAGACACATCTAGCGATGAAGAGATTGAAGGAGAGGCAATCTATGATGATGCTTACTACATCCGAGAAAAGAAGCGGAGGAAGAAAGCTGCATCGAGTGATGAAGGTGATGATGAGGAGTACAAGGAGGAAGACGAGGCTGAGGAGGCCAATCTAGACGATGATGATATCGAAGATAGTGACGAGGATGACGAGGACGGTTACTATCAAAACAGTAGAGTTCAACAGCAAAGGCGTTTAGGAAAGAGGAAGAGGAAGGAGCACAAGCTGAAATCCGTAGATGAACTTCAAGGGGGTGGAGATTTGTCCTGGTCGAAAGGGTTGCGGCGCAGCAAAAGAGCCACGAAGAGTGCAGTCGATTATAGTAAGTACGACGAGAGTGAGTTCGAAGACGAGGAGAACGCTGGAGAGATTAGAGATGTCCAGGACAGGAGTAGAGCAAAGGGTTCTCCGCATGATTCCGATGCCTCATTCGGGCCAAGTGATAACTCCCATGGCAGACGATATAGCGATGTTGACAGTGAGGATTCTCCCGGTGTGAAGGTGAACAAACAGAAACTTGAGAGACTGAATGATCGGAAGAGTGTGGGACTGTCCCAACTTCATGACGAGAAACCAAATAGAGGTTATGGAACGGGTCCATCATTTCAGCCACTCGGTCCGTCACATTTAAGAGGAGAATTGAACAATGGAGCAAGTCAACCTATTAAACATCCGACGCATCCAGAAGTAAAGCCTCATCGGTTTCTGGATTTGAACGTAGCTGCCCCTGCTGGTGCGGGATTCGAGGATTCTGGAGGCTGCAGTACACAGCCATACGCCTATGGACAGGGGGATGACAGGTCTTTCCGTTTAAAATCTTATGATGAAGATGACGATTACTTCGGAGATGGAGGTAGAGTCGACGTTTCAGCTGGCTACGGTAGCAACGGGCTCACTCCAGGTGTAGCCCTTGGTGGTACTGCCAAGAGGGAGTAACAATCTTTTTTCCTATTCCCACGTAGTTCTACCTCACAGTCCAGGAGCCCTTCTGCTTCGGTCACTGGCCATCCAAGACGCAGGTCTGTGGTCGTAAGGCCATGGCAGCCTCCTGCGCTAGCACCTCTCTGGGTTGAATGCGGTCTGCACTGGCAGTACACAGAGAGGATCCGCCTGATGTAGTTTCCCCTGTTCTTCCTTTTCATCCCATGTTCATTTGCACGTCCAGGATGGACGTGAGGTCTTCGGCCGTAAGGCTTTGACATGCAATGCGATATGGGAACAGACACTTTCACTATTCGGATCTATCTGAGAGGCGAAAATCTAATGCAGGAACTGGTCTGTGATACAGTTTTTCGAAGGCTAGGATAGGCTCAGTTCATCAGTACAATTTCTATCATCATGGTTAATTACACCATCCACCCAGGGCATGGAGTCAATGGCCACAAGGCTTTCGCATGCACCAATCTATGAGTACAATTTCTCCTTGATACTTGCACCGGTCATCCAGGGCGTGGGTTGTGGTTGTAAGGTTATTGCGGACACTTCTCTGTGAATACAATACCTTCCCTTCGGAGCAGCTTCATGGTCCCAAGACTTGGTTCAGCTTCTGTGAGTCTTAGAAGATACCTTCCAGTCTGAACATGGTAAGCTTCATGCCAGGTCTTTAGCTACGTGGCCATATACTTTTGGAAGGGAGGAATTTTGAGCAGTGTCAATGCTCTTTGTATATCATTAGTTCATCATCACCTGATGTAGAGTAGAATCCAGGTGTATGCAACTGTAAAATATATCACAATAGGCGGTTATCTCATTCGAGGATATTGATTCCAGCCATTGCTGCGAATTCAAAGGTGACAAACTGCTCTCTGTATTTTGGAATTTGGAAAGAGATCAGGGACATGACGTCAATGAGTTCATTTTGTTTTTCTGTACAAGGCCTTGATGAGGGTCTACTGTAGTGACCGTTTTGAGGCCTTGTTTACATCATGATGATTCTGTTACGCAGTTTTAGGTCATTGTTTCTTTAGCCTCAAGTGTTTCAGTTTCAAACTTGGAGGATAATATCGTCAAGTGAGTGATACTTCTGTTAGAGCAAGGATGAAAGGTAGGCCTTTGTTCTATGATCTGCGCTGGTTCGAGTTTATTGATAAACTTGCTGTCTGTCATCTCTTCTTCTTCACGTCACAGGTGAATCCTTGAAAATTTGTTCTCTGGATCATTGGATAAGTTGAAGAAAATTTAAACCCACTGACCTTTCTAACCAACCATTCTTCATTTGTAGAAATTTTGACACCTAATGATATTTTGAGACACGAATAAGAGATTCCGCGTTAACGGTTGCGAGGTCAACACGAGGTTCTCAGACTCTTCTTTTGTAAAACCGACATTTCATGCTCGCCCAGCCCCAGGTCAGAATGTGATGACACATTGTAGTTTCTCTCACCTGTACAGATTTCAAATATGAACCCATCACTTCCTGAGGTACCAACGGGACCTGTCATCACCATTTAGAATTGTTAGCTTTTTTATCAACACTCTATCTGATTCAATGTAGTCAACGTATCGAAAAGCCGAGTGTTATTTTATCGCAAACCTCGTGAGTGCAGACAGTACCACAGGCGATTGCCATCTTCGATTGACATTAAGGGTAGACTGGAAGTGTCTCGAGCACTGTATTATGAAGTGTTTTGATCAACCAACATGTATCTACGTCAGAAGGATTTAGACCACTTAGACTGAAAGTCAAGGACATACCGCACATCTTAAATTTTGCGGTGTTCCAGCAAGAAAGCCATAATGCTTTGGCCGTAGTCCTTAATTGTTCTCAGATGCGGCTGATGTATGTGAGAGTGATCATCTGCTCTATGTGAATCTTAGAAATTAGTTTACTCGGATGAATATAAATTTACTCGTTTGGATGTAAGGGCCTCACTTTCCTTGGTATCACTGAACATAAAGGACTGGTATAGGATGATTATCCGAAGAAATAATTACTTTTACAATGCTAATTTGGGTGATTTGGGGTGTTTTGGATTAAGAAACATCGTTTTGCTTCAGACTGAGCGTGAGTAATCTCGGGAGTCAAATGGCTTGGCTACAAGAGTCTCTCTTAAAGTATGAGTGCCTATCTATTTTTGACACGAGTAGGAAGGTTAACAGTCTTCTATAGCAAAAGACACAATAGTTTTATAGCATGGACTTCGACATTAATTGAGTACATGGATTCCGGTGAATGAGTGAGAAAAGTCAATATTTTATTTCTTCAAATAAAATATTGACATAAATAGAATGATGTTACCACCAAATAAAACTCTCCATAACTTAGTGTCAATTTCACATAATATATTGAATCGATTTCTCATAAGAAGGAGAAATTTTTTACTTATCTTATGAATTGTATTATTATCATTTATTATAATGGAGTAGGTTTAATTTTATGCAACCAGTTTTAAGCAAGATACAAATTTTTTTGAGCTACATTCATTATTGAATCATCAGTTTTGTTCACTGAATTCACCAATCGATGTGATAACATTTTGGTGTTAAAATCTTATCACATCTTGGTGGTAAAGCATCGAGGTGGAAGTGCTATAGCCAAAATTCAAGATTATGCATTATTGTTATATTTGAACTCTCACAATCACATCTCTTTGAACATATTAATCTATAAAATTACTTGATGGTATCCATGCGAAACACATAACCTAATGGGAGAAATAACCGTTATATTCCGATAGGAACCCACTGACGTTACATCTTCATCCATTTCTGAACAAAGTTCTTGTAACTATTGGATGATGACTATAGTGTGGGGGAATGAATGCCGCAGGTTCTATGTGCTGCTATTGACACTATAACTAAGTGACTGCAGCTTCAAAGTGACCGTTCCTGAAACTCAATGACCGTGACGTTAATGTTGATTTGCCGTGAACTTGTTCTATCGATGATTCATAGAGAAGTCTTTCGGCTCTTCCTGAGTTTTGATGTGTCACACATTCATTATATTATCGACTCGAGATTATGCTCAAGGAATCAATGTACCACTGCAAGCTCTGGAACTTTGAGCATACAGACTGACCATCTCCACTCGTAAATCATTGTGAGGTTAAAATCACATCTTGGATTCAACCGTAAGACTCCTACAGCAATCTGCTGCCTCCCCTCAGCCCCGCTACGTTCGTTACTCCTTGTCTCTGCTCGCATTCAACATTGTTTCCAGGAGGTCATTCAATATTAAAAGCTAGTTGACGGTGTGCCGTCGGTGAGATCCCATCGGTTAAACTAATACTTGTTGTATGCTAAGTAAGCTATTTATGTTCTGGAAAGTTCCTATCAAGTAATTTTCTCCACTTTAATCTGAAATAGACATAGCTGTATATTTGTTGTACGGAACTACAAGTATTTTCTTAGAAATAGATGTTATGTTTCATTCATCACTCAACTTACTTTGTGGTACATATTACTTCTTCGACAAAATACATGCATAAGGATGCCTATGAACGCAACTCTTGATTATTTTTTTCTTCGTTCAATAGTCTATTCTTTGCTAAATCATGTTTTATGACATATAAACATTAATATCATAAAATCCAATGTTTACGTAAAGATAATTTATCTAACTGTAAAAGATATTTTCACCTAGATATAAATACTTGAGCATGTTGATACTTTAGTCAAATATCCAAACAGCCGATGGAGTTGACTCATATAGCTCAAACGAGCACACTAACGAGAAAAGATATACATCAGTCATCACTTCAATTTACATACACAAAACAAAACAATATTTTACTGATAAAAGATTTACATACACAAAAACAAATAAGTATTTTACTGATAAAAGACTAATCTTATCACTAAGAAAGATTTAGCTCTCTTGTATATTGAAATCTTAATTTGAATAACTAATTGGAATTACAATGTATTGAGTTTATCAAAGATTAAATTAAATCTTAACAATCTTTTCCTTGATTCATGTCTTTAAGATTTTAGACTCCATAACATATGTAATGATTTTACGAAAAAAATTTGTAATAAGAAATTGGAATTCTTTTAAACTAGAGTTGACTAAATCTTACAAAAAAAAAATAATAATTTTATAATTGCTATTTGATTCTAATTTGCAATCGATTCGATTTGTAATCAATTGCAAAACAGTTGATGTGCAGGCCTATGTACATTAGTCATGCTAAAAATAGATGCATAATGTCCATAATTTCAAATCTCTCGAGTACCTAATTTCAAAACTATTTCTCGACTAGTTTGAAAAACAAAAAGTTTCCAAATAGTTGGAACAGAAAAACGATCCAATGGACTAGTAGATTTTGTTGGCGTACTAGATTCATAGTTTTTTAATACAATGCTTGTCGAGAGTGATCTCTCAATGTTGAAATTCATGAAGAACGTTTTTAACATGTCACTGATTGATTTTTCTCTAGAATGATTTTTACGATGTAAAGAGTATGACGTGTGGCACAACTTGAAACAAGAAAACAGGGAGCCTATGTATTCTGAGAGAATTCCTGCTTGAAATATGTGCAAGAAATATTCGCGTTGTTGTAGGTAACCTCGTTGATCTGCTGTCTATTACATTAGTTCATAGGGACAAAGAAAGAGAGAGTCATTTAGATAATGGTGTTTGTACACGGGCAAAATACATATCAGAAAAGTTCATGGAGTGTGTTGAGCTGAGACCCTGAACTTGGGATTCAGGCAAATTAGAAATAGATACATTCGCGCGCCTTATTCTGTCAGAACCAGAGAGAAATTTACATTAGATTTGAAATTGCTTATGTCAAATTATTTTTGTGAGAATTTCTGGTTGAAATTGATAGAATAAATTTTGCATAGAATTCTTTTTCTGAAAGATCTCAATGAAATTGAATCATTACCCTGTAAAATTGAATGGAAATCGATAGAAAGTCTATCTTTGGTTTTTTTAAACAATGATGCCTAATAGTGCCTAATTTCATTGAGGATTTGTGACTTATATCTTCAATTAGGCACAAATAAGCATAAACCTAACCTATAGAGTACTGGTGATGTGACATTACGTTTTGAAAAAATCTCTTTAGCAAAGTATTTAATAGCGCTGAATGTGTTTTTGATCTTCACTGACTCAATCATTTTATCATCCCCAACTTGTTAAAAAGAAAGAAATATAATGTCATTGTTTTAATTTTAATTATTTACTTTTCATCACCTTATTCACATTAAGAAGTAAATTATTTTGACTACCACAAAATAATTTTATAATAATATAATTTTATCATATTTTAATGATAAATTTATCCAATCAGATTGTTTTTTGTTGTAAGCTATTATAGTGAATTGAACTACGCATTTTGGCAATATAGAGTAACAACTTTTTCATTACTTTTAGTATAAACACATACACATGTTGTATAATTATCAACATCTATACAATCAATCAAGATTAATGCGATAATAATTTTTACACTCTTGATGTAGAACATAAATTCACATAATTCTTGAATAATGATCATTGATTAATATAGAATATAGTATTCTAGTAAGTGAGTAAGTAGTAAAGAAACATGACACATTACTATAAATATATTCAAGACTCTGTATATATATATATATATATATATATATATGAAACTAAATATTAAAAATATAATCCTCCTTTTTAATCTCACAAATCTCTTAACTTTTAGACAAAAAATCAGATTTTTTTGATGAAAAATGACAAGTTTTTGGCACTAATGTGGTCTTATCTTAAATTTCATAAGATATAAAGACAAGTGTTCCTTAAAAAAATCATTGTATCATAAAACATACAAATTCTTTGACAATTTTTTTATAAGATAATATTTTTTCTAAGTAATTTGAAGTACATCATAAACTAGTCTTTATGAAAGCTAACTATCCAAGAAATATCAAATTTTTCCTCATGTTAGGTATTTATTTGAAATCTGTTAATATTCACACTATATCATAAAACATTTCAATCTTCATAAATCCAATATCTTCAATTTGACAATATTTCATTCATTACAATCAAAGCGTTTGATATAAAATAAATTCTAAAACAGTTTTTTATTACACATATGATTTGATACATCTCAGTGTAAAATCCATGCATATCCTCTTTGTAGAGATCAAATGCAAATACTTCTTGTTGGTATCATAGATTATAGTTGTTATCTAGCAAGTCATATTCAACTTCATTCTCATTTTTTGACAAAAATATGGTGGCTTTGCAAGTCAACAGTTTTTTTGAGTTGATATGCTTTGCCACATTTTCAACAAAGAACTGTATTTCTGTCTTTAGATTTCCTTCTTGATTTAAATCCACTTTGATTTTTTTTCAATAAATTAACTTTTCAATAGTTGATGATTATTCATATGTTTATCAAAATATAGATAGAATGTGTATATTTTTGCAATATTTTTACGTATAAGTATATACAATTTATTGGTAGTTGATTGTTGGAATGTTCATAAGAGGGAAGATGGTTTGATCTTAGAAGAAAATATATTTTACATGTTTTATCATAAACTCTATGATTTGAATCTATTTTGTTATTGCGGCTTAGATAGTATGAGATATATCAATTGAAGTAGTTCATGATTGTTATTATGTTTATGACATTTTCTATAGATATGTTTAATATTTTATGTATAATAGTAAAAAAATTTAATCTACAATAGATGATCGTTCATATAATTAATAAAATATATATAGTTTGGTTTCGGTTGAAATAATATTTTTCATTTAATACAAAATACTTGTCATTTTCCATATGACTAGTATCATATTAGAAGTTTGGTTACATCACTTAATTATTGATGAGCTATTTTGAAATTTTTCTATTATACTTGGTTATTACATATATCAAATGCTATTCATTACTAAGATAATGTTAATTTAATCTTGATTTTTCTTGATATCTCAAAGTCTGTTTGTATATGTGCATTATTGCAATTCAGGTAATCTACACATCATTTCTATTTTATATTATTGTTGTAGCTACATGACTAGTTACGCAGATGGCAACATGCAATTGCAGATACATAATCCAGAGCGAGTGCGCACTGGAACCTCACAAGATTTTATCAGCTTGTCCAATTTTTAACTCCGGGCACAAAATATCATATTTTCTACATATTATTCTCCACACTTGAAGAACCTAAAACATTTTCATCAAATCCTTCGACGTACTGTTTGTGTACGTGGTTTGTCTACTCGAACGGACGATTGACACAAAACTGCGGCCTTACATGGACACAATACAATCGATGGAATATTCAGCAGCAGTCCTCCAGCAGTTCGCTGCTCCATTTTTTTGAAATTGTTCTTGCCCGATGCTCGTCATTGAGCTGACATGATCGCCTGCAGTGTCGAAAATTGTCGACACAGATTTAACTGGACTTCGTCGGACACTAATTTCGAGCTGTGGAGGTGATTATTGCAGCTTCCGAAGAGTCTTCTTCTTTTTCAGGAAATTGTTCTTCATCGTTGCGTTTACGACCCATTGTCGGAGATTGTGACGTAATTTTGACTGTTTGTCAAGCATTCATTGCGATAGGCGAGAGGCTTGGGTTGATGTTTGCGCTGCTATCAATTTCGATGATCGACGTCGTGAAAGAGAGTCCTCCGCGTCTGGAATCTCCGGAATTAGACTCAATTGTGGAGCTGTAAGCAGGTTCAGGCGGGTTTAGGGTACTTGGACAGTCGAGGAGTATCGATACACGAGCAAGCAAAGTTTGTAGTGAATTCTGGGTACATAATCTATTCACGTCTCCCATAGGATCTGTGAAAAGAGCGAATCAATTCAAAGCAGAAAGAAAACGAAAATCTCTGAATGGGGGGTGAAAACATGGCTGAGGAGGAGGAGAGCAAAGGGGGAGGCATGGGCAGCAGCAGTGTCCAGATAACTCCCCTGTCTGGTGCACATTCGGAGTCCCCACTGTGCTATCTACTGGAAGTTGACGGGTTCCGTTTCCTCCTGGATTGTGGATGGACCGACGCATTCGATGTGGCTCAACTTCAGCCACTTGCAAGGTCCTTCACGCCGATTTAAACCTCTGCATAATTGTGTGCGCACCTCATAGCTTGTAGCAAACATTATAACATTTGAATAAGTATACAATCTGAAGATCATGCGGAATATCTCAACTCCGGAATTTTTTCCGGATTATCGTCCTTGAGTTTAGAGAATTTCATTTTCTGTGTGGCGCATCTTCAGGAGTACTTCAGTTGTGAATCAACTCCTTAGGTCTAGGTTGTACATTAGTTCGAGAATGCCATTAATTGACTTTTGAGTTTGTGCATTCAGTGTGGCCTCCACAATCGATGCAGTGCTGTTGTCTTATCCCGACACAATGCACTTGGGAGCATTGCCATATGCAGTAGGCAACCTTGGGCTCACTGCAACTGTATATTGCACACTACCAGTGCATCGGATGGGGCAGATGTATATGTACGATCATTACCTCTCTCGCCGGGTAAGTCTTTCTGCACAATGATATTGTGAGGTAACAAATCCAGCTGCTAAGCTAAGACAGGATAACAACCGAATAACGCAATCAGCAAGCTACGTCGAAAAAGCTCACCTTAGTTAAACTTTTTGTGCTGTTAAGTAATGTGTGTCGGCTATTATGTACTACTGTGGGAGAATACTAATGACATGATGTTTACAGTCCTCAATTGGTATCCAGCTTATTTGTTTAGACCTTGTACGCTTTCTCGTGAGTTTCGGTGTATAGTTGTCTCCTTAGATACAATGTTCTGAGCCTGGAAGGCATTGTGGGGACTTGTGGCGGGTGCCTGCAGGCTGTATCGAATTTTGATCTGTTCAATCTTGATGACGTGGACACAGCTTTTGGGAATTCTGTGCAACTTAAGTACTCTCAACATCATCTCCTACAAGGTCAGCACTGACTTCTGCCGGCCTTGCTGATGTCGCAGATGGGTATCTTTCGTTAATTGGATAACCTTGTTGGGTAGAGTCTGAATTCGAATAGGTCGTTCCTGATCTCATGCTGGTTTTCTTGTGAAGTTGATCATCGTGTTTGATTGCTAACTATTCAGGCAAAGGTGAAGGAATTACCATAACTCCCTACGCAGCGGGGCGTCTGTTGGGTGGAACTGTTTGGAAAATAACTGTAGACACTGAAGATATCATCTACGCTGTAGATTTCAACCATCGAAAGGAAAGGTATTTGATCCACAGTCGGGATGTATATTTCAAGCTTACACAAATCATTGATTACCACTTGAGTATGCAGCCTGAGCTAATCTGATTTTTATTGACCGACATGTTCGATTATGGATAATAAGGACATCATCATTTGTGTTTTCAGGCATCTGAACGGAACAGTTCTACAATCCTTTGTCCGACCTGCAGTTCTTATCACTGATTCATATAATGCGCTGAATAATCAACCATTACAAAAGCAAAGAGATGCCGAATTCCTCGGTTAGACTCCTCACCTTGTTTCCTGCGTAGTGAAGATGGATAGTTAAGCTCACATCACGAGAAAGTACGGTTTCCCCTTGATGCGAAAGGAGAGATGTGTTTCGATTCGCTATGCCTCTTTGCTTCGTTATCCAACGATTTATCTAACGTCTTCATGTCGATATTAATTAGATCTTGCTAATCTAAGTTCTGCAGGTTTTATGTTCTTTTATCCTCAGCTGACCCAGTTTTAGGATTGACAGATGTAGTTATGAAGGCACTACGGGCAGGTGGCAATGTACTGCTTCCCGTTGAGACTGCAGGGCGCGTTCTTGAACTAGTACTATATCTCGATAAGGTGAGACTAAACCCTTCGATGTACTTAAAAAAATGTTGTGATCAATTTGAGAACATATGAGAACATGCCAAGGCGAACCATGTCGATCTTTACAAGGCACTAATGTAAATGAGCTTGTTTCATATTTGTTCAGGTCGTCTTAGATGTCAGAGCGGCTTTGGCATCTCTGCGTTGGATATTCAATCACAGAACCTAAGATCAGGAAGATGTTCTCCTTGTATCCTTTGATGTTCGTTTGGTGTCGCTGATGATGTAATACTTTATTTCAGTGTTGGGCAGGTGATAAGCTGAATTACCCAATGGCTCTATTGACAAATGTGTCATACAGTACACTGGAGTTTGCAAAGAGCTTGCTCGAGTGGATGAGTGATGCCATTGCGAAGTCCTTTGAGCACACCAGAGACAACTCATTTGTTCTCAAGTAAGAATATGCTGTAATATAAGGTCGCGCGGGTGGACATTTTAAATTATGCCTAGCTGTCAATAAAATTCTCAAAAATTATCGAATACCTATCCATTTACTTCATTGTTGTGAATTTGTCACACAGGTATCTCAAGTTATGTCACACAAGGAAAGATCTAGATGACCTACCCGCGGGTCCCAAGGTACCAGTCAACAAAGGAGTAGCATACAAGTCAACAAACTGCAACATGAACCAATAATTTGGATTATTTTCGCCGTTTTGACATGTTTTTAGTTTAGCTATTCATTTAAAAAATTTATAACACCAGGTTGCCGGGTCGCCAGGTCGTTTTTGCTTCTATGGCTAGCTTGGAAGCAGGTTTCGCTCGAGAGCTTTTTGTAGAATGGGCAACAGATCCAAACAACCTTGTGCTTTTCACCGAGAGGGGCCAGGTAACTATCATCGATATAGAAGATTTGTTCCGTGTTAGTATATGAGATCAAGGCCTAACTCGCAAGTCCTGTAAATCCTTTGAATCTCACGCTGCTATCACATGCACAAGTTCTCATGTCCTGTCATGAAACTATAGCGTCTCATCGTTTAAGTACAGAGTAGGGGCATTTCAAGTGGAGAATAGATCAATTGCGATCGTTGGAAGTTCTGTCATTTGGTTTTCTCACTTTGGGGTGTACATCAGGTAGGCACTCTGTCTCGGAAACTTCAAGCAGAGCCTCCTCCCAAGGTAGTGAAGGTAACTTTGAGCAAGAAAGTTCCTCTCACTGGTGAGGAACTAAAGGCGCATGAGGAGCAAAACCGGTCGAAGCAGGAAGCTTTGAAGGCGAGTGTCCCAGTGGAGGAGACCGGATCCCAGTTGAGTGGTGGGTCAGGACCAGCACCTGCCGTCACCGTCGAGCCTGTCAAGGCCAGTGAAGGTAACCGTGGTTTACGCTGTTCTTGGTTGTAGATAGAGAATCTGATTTATAACTTTGGCATCATACGAAGACCGGCTTGGATAACGTTAAAAAAAACATGTGCGAACATTGTGTGATCTTATTCCGAACTCAATTTCATAGGTCTTGCAAACGTTTACAGTAGTCTCACACTCTGCATGCACGTACATGCCTTCATAGCTAGTGTATATGTTAACACTACTCAAGTAGGTTGTTCCGCATTCGACTTTGAGATATCTTGTGAGCTTTTTATTCTAGAATTTCTTCCCTCAAAGAATCGGAAGATAATGGCAAATCATTTGACCCGAGATTCCCTTCGTTCTTCCTCTGTAGTCTTTATATTATCATGAATTTTTATAGTTCGCTTTTTATACTGCATATCTCTAGCACCACTCAGCCACGGCGTGGGGTATGTGGTCTCAGGCTATGGCGGCACATATAAATACACATCTAGTTCTATATTTCCAGCGAACCCTCGACCACTTTCTCAGTTATTACTCGTGTCTTGCGCATGACAGGAACCAACAAGTTCACGTCAGGTGCATCACAGCGGGATGTTCTCATCGAGGGCTTTACCATGCCACCTAATTCTGTTGCACCCATGTTTCCCTTTCATGAAAGGGCCAGTGATTGGGATGAATATGGAGAAATAATAAATCCTGATGATTATATATCCAAAGTCGAAGATATGATGGACTACACATTAACGCAACAGGTAAAGCAGGAAATACTTACCTTTGATGTCTCTTCATGTCTGAGCAGTCTTCAGAGTGCAGGACACCTTGTGCAAATCGTCACACGAATTATGTTGCCTTTTGGATCTTAAATTATTGGATGCAATATATTTTCGCCAGATGTCGGGCACCGATTTTTATCTCTTGTGCTAGTCATGAGAAAACCACCTTTGTTTTCAAATAGCACTATTTCATAGTCCTCCTCCCTTGCCGCATCTACCTTTCTGTCTCTTCCTAGTTCTTTTCTATATTTCCTGCGTATCCAGTATTCGGTGTCATGTTTTTGAGCTTTGATCGGCACCCTTTATCGATGACGTCTATCGGTGTGAACAGGGACCTACAGCAGAAGGTGAAGAAAAAGCAGATGGAGAGAATGAGGACCTCATATTAAACGAAAAGCCCTCTAAAGTTGTGCTTGAGGACATCACGGTAACAACTGCGTACTGTACCACCTCAAGCCAAGACTCTCCTATGTGTTGTATTGTTTGGATTACAGTAGTTAACTCAGAGGCACTAATGCACAGTTAACTTTGGCAGGTACAAGTTAGATGCTCACTCCACTACATGGATTATGAAGGAAGATCAGATGGGAAGTCTATAAAAAATATCCTGGCTCATGTTGCCCCTTTGAAGTTGGTAAGTCTCTTAGGCTATTGCAATCGACATCTTGGTGAATTGCTACCCAACATCTCCTCAAGTTTGGAGATATGTTTGATGATTATATTCAGGAGGAAGCAGTTTCCCGTTCGGTTGCATCCTTGTACGGCTTCCCATTATTTTGTTAATCAATCCTGCCTCAATTTAAGATTCAAGATCAATACTCACAAATTTTGCTTGGTAGGTTTTGGTTCATGGATCGGCCGAGGCTACTGAACACCTAAGACAGCATTGTCAGAAGAACTTTTGCCAGTTTGTTTACGCCCCTAGACTTTCTGAGACGGTGGATATAACCTCTGACTTATCTGCGTACAAGGTACGTAGCACTTGCTCTATCCTCTTGGCCTTGTGTCCCATTGCTGAACTAGGCAACGAACTTGCGGAGATTTTGAAAGTGAATCATTTTGTGTCGTTAAATTTACTGACCCCAATTCTGGAGGAAGAGAAGCAAACTGGAAACACAAAATGACGAGCAAGCATAGAGTATGTTTGTTTGTATTTGTTACATTCCTTAATATATTATACATGTTAATGAAGTCTAATCTCTTTCAGTTTCTCCTTGTCCTCGTGTGGTCACTAGCTGTAGTATCAGCCATTCTCACTTTCTGGATGATTGACCAGGTGAGGCTGACCGAGCAACTTATGAGCAACGTGCTTTTCAGAAAGGTAATTTTGGCTGGATTGCAAAAAAATACGATTGTGAATTGGAGCGTGACACCTTGTTTATTTAATGAAATGTGCGTTTGCCTTCATGATTGAAACTAACGAGATTCTTCTCTTGACTCAGCTCGGGGATTATGAGCTTGCTTGGGTCGATGGAGAGGTAGGAGCCGAGGAAGATGACATGCTACCACTTCTTCCTGCCGCCACCCCACCCCCTCACAAGGCCGTGTACGTCGGTGACCTGTGGCTTGCTGACTTCAAGCAGTTACTGGCAACAAAGGGTGTACAGGTAAGCAGCGACGTTTATGTTCCAATTTCGTTGATGACCGATTTGTTGCCTTCTGGTTTCTTGCTAGTTGTGAGGATATTTGTGAGAAGATGAAGTTCATAATACCTCGACTCGAATTGGGCGAATTGCAGGCAGAGTTTGCGGGAGGCCTCTTGCGTTGTGGAGAGAATATTGCAGTTCGTAAAGTAAGTTCCGGATCTAAGAAGAAGTCCACTTTTGGATGCATTCCCGAACTTTTGGAATCTAAACGCTCGTTTTTAATGCCTTGAAAATTATCGAAAACCGAAGCCATATCGGACTAGCTGAACTCGATCCGATGTTTGAAGATTTATCTTTTGAAACCAATTTTGGTATATTTGTATTCTTCAGATGGTATTGTCTCTTCGTGATGTAATCAATCAACGTTATGTTAGTTTAACAAAATTCCTGGCATATATTCTAAAGCGGCTCCTCTTCCATTTTGCAGAGCGGTGGACAGCAACTAGTGATAGAAGGCCCATTATCGGAGGACTATTACAGAATTCGGGAACTGCTATATTCTCAGTTTTACATGCTCTAGATCTCAAAGTTCAACACATTTTTGTAGAATAGATGAGCAATTAATCGGTAGCTTCAACTTGTAAATCCTTGTGGCTACCATTTGTACGATAATGAGCTTAAAGAAGTGCCAAATTATGCAGATCATTTTCACACGCTTCTGGACAAGCCCGTGAGGGACCTGAAATTCGAATGCGAGAGATTACGATCTCATCATTCCTGTTCCGTGCGTTCTTAATTCGTCGTTTGTATCAAAAGATTTTCTTGGCAGTGTCTCGGGCTCTATGCTCTTGGGATGTGATTTTTCACGTGGCAGGTCGAACGCTGGCTTGTCTCCCATCCAACGAATGTCATTTGTGTGCGTTTAGTTTGAAAGGCAGCATAGCAGCTCTGATCGTTTGAAGAAGTTCTTCTCCAGGTGCCTGTTGCTGGTTATTACAGCTTGCTCGTACTAGATTATGCACGAGAAAGAAGTGCCGAGGTTGCAATTGTAGCTGAGGTTCCATTCACGAGGAAGAAGGCTAGAGCTCAGGGGTGGAGACGAGGAACAGGTGTGAAAAGGAGGGGAGATGGAGGCAGGGAAATGGCTGGTAAGGAAAGCTTGCGGCTTGTGGGGTTCGGTGTAACAGGCAGGCAGGCAGAAGTAGTCAGGGATGTGAGGTGATGTGATGGGATGGGATGGAGGAAGAACCTCGCGCGCAGGAATGGAAGGGGAGCATGAACAGTTTGGCGATGGCGGGGGAGGAAGGGGAGGTTCCGCAAGGGGGAGAGAGTCAGAGGATGGAGGGAATCCTGGGATGGCGAATGGAAGAGGAGTGCCGTCATCCAAGAAACTGAAGCTGGATCCCGATCGGTCACCCGTGGCAATTTCATCCGCAGAGGCATCAGAGGATCCGGGCGTGGACCGCACCATCGACACAGCTTTCTCAAGTCTGGAGGCTGTGAAGGAACTCGAGGTGGAAGCAATTCTGTGCATGTCCAAGCACAAAGAGAATCAGCGCAGATCGGACGAGGCTCGCTCCCGGGTTCTGCAGGCAGGCAATGCCGTCAGCCGAGCCGAGGAGGCTGCACGAATCGCCAAGAAAGCCCAACGCAAGGCGGAGCACTCGTTTCGCATCGCCGAAGAATTGGCCCGAGTGTCCAAAATCGCCGCCGACGAAGCGCAGGCCCGATACACGGAGCTTCAAACTCAGTGGGAGAAGGATCTGGAAACCAACTTGTCTCGAGTTCTCGTCCAGAAAAGCACGGTTGCCTATGCGTACCGAGACCTGCAAGAAACTGCCGCCTCTCTGTCCTCAATTCCCATCAGAGACATGCTGGACAATTCGTGCGTGACGCAACTCGAGACTCTCGTCAAGAGAGTGAACGCCTGCTGGCTGCGCCTGACGACCGAGCGCAAAAAATTCACCGAAACCATATCCAATGTCAAGGCCACCCCTCAGTAAGTCTCCCATCATCAGAACCATTACTACATCCCAATCTTCCATCGTCTCCATTCCCGTCTCTCACTCAGCGCCGAATGTTAGTCTCATGGAGCTACAAATGGGAAATTGCGATCGTCCAGACGCTGATCTGATCCAATTTTATTTTGCTACATCGTCATCAATTTTTCCAGGTTGATCATGGAGGGCGCCTGCAGCCTGTCGACGACAACCATGTAGATGTTGCGGAGGAGGAGGTGCCGTGCGTTAGGAAACTTCCTAAGACTCGTGTGTTGCTGAAATTTCATATGCTCTAAACTGCATCTCAGTCTTAGCAGGACAAGCGATCGGAAGACCACTTTTGAGTGCGTCTGTAGATCTCAGGCCAGTTGGTACCCTGCCCCGTCAATCTTACTCCTCATGATCAGATCCGTCCTCGATCTCCGCCTTCGAACGAGACCCGCATTAGGGGCTGAAATCCTCACTCCGACCCAACCCATCCATCTCGACCTAGAGCAGCAGTTGGAACCATCCTGTGACACGAAATGGAGGCATGGGTAAAGTTATACAGATTTGTGTCAATCCAATCCTCGCCTATTCCAATCCAATCAGCCATTTCCTCCTATTGGAAATGGCTGATTGAATGCAATGAATTTTGTTCGACGTCCAAGAGTACTGAGCCTTCACATTAGCAGGCCGAGGTGAAGGTTCTTGATTCAGGTTAAGAGTGGAGTGCGAAGTATTGTCGAAGGTTTTGCTCGTAGGACGATCTTTCGAGGATTTTCGATGGAAGTAGGTTTCTGAAAGTCCGCTTTCCGACTTCAGTCAGTTCCAAATACAAATGGAAGTCCTGTTCTGAGACTCTGCACATAATTCGATTTACGATTTCACTCTCGGGTCTCTACGAAGTGAGAAGTTGTTCGAGAAGCTCGTATTGAAAAAACCGCAAGTAAATCTCTGGTACTCTCGAAGCTCTCGATCAAAAACAGGGCTGAATCTTGAGCAGAGCAAGTGTAGTCAATTTTATTGAATGTTTCTCGAAAGTACCCATAAATAGAGGTGGATGTCTGTGCCTGTTTATTCTGTCTGGACTGAGATCACATCCAGACTTCCAATGTGATTTTCATTAGCCCGAAATTGTGGTGCACTCACCAATGTTTGTGTATTTGATGTCCTCCATCGCCGGCTTTCCACTTTCCAGTGCAGACGGGCACGCGAGTCAATAGAGATTCAATCTCCCAGTCAATAGAGATTCAATCTCCCATTTATGCACACGACCTACTGTACGTCACGCACTCCATTGTAGATAATTGTATAACATGTTTAATTGGTGAAAGCCACTAGGTTCAGTTTGATTTATTCTTTATTTCGTTATAGCTGCTTTAAATATTGTATGTCGTGAATGTTTTATTTCGATTCATTCCATATGATCATTTATAATGGAAATATTGGTTTTCTCATCTCATCATAGATATCTCCTTTAACTATGAGAATCGAGATATTGTATTACATATAATGCATTGTGACAGCCACGGGTTTCAGTTTGGATTTACCTCATCGTTCTTGATTGAGATTTCTCATTCCCCTCCTACTTGCCCACATTTCTCAATTTGGCCTTTATTTCACCACAAGTAACAAAATTTTAAGGCTTGACTCTTGCTTGTAGGCCTTGATAAAGTCTTTCCATACTTTCTTAATAGTAACAGGAATTAACATTCTCTGTCTGGTCTGACGTCACAGCGAGGTAGACGTATCTACTAGAGTTGTAGTCCGTAGTTCCAAATCAGATGCATTCACCATATAAAAAATACCGTTCAAAACACAGCGGATTCAACACTTTGTGCGCTTTGAAGGAAGTCTCATATGAGCAATCTCAAAGCACACAAGGATTCCTCTTTGTCAGCCTAAGCGCAGCAATAGCTAGAAGCTCTTGTCAATGACATTATATTCCAGTTGTCTGAGAAGTATATCAAAAGAAGACATCTTGAATAAAGACCTGAAAGTTCATTTGCAATTAATTAATCTTACATTAGAAACATTTTGTTACAAATTTGAGTTCTCATTTTCTTACCACTCTTTTGAGATACTTAGTATTGAATACAACCATTTCATTGAACATCATAACATCTACATACATATACTTCATCTGATGATGCAATTTATATTTATTCATCAGATCAACCACATCAAATTTGCAGTTAAAAAAATAACTCCACATTTGAAAACTCATTCATATGGATGATATAAAAAAACCAAAAAACTTTATGCATGTATTTATAACATTGTTTTGACATATCTATCAATAGCAATTATATTATTATATTTGACAAATGAGTTAGTGAATGTTAGTTAGAGTGATTGTTCTCAAAGGCTTGAGTTTGTTGACTTTTACAATATTCATCCCATTATATATGATCATTATCACGTGAACTTGCAACAATTTTTGACTTCAGAAAGACTTGATTATTAATTGTTAACTCTGACAAATAACTTGAGTTGAACATGAATTTGAGTGAATCAAAATTCAGAGCTAAATCTAAAAATCTTTGACTTAATTCATGTTGAGAAAATAGTAATCTCTGTACCCTACACATTTACTCAGTGGAAATTTTTTGACAAAAACATAACAAAAAACAAAAGTTTAAATTGGAGTTAACTAGAACTAAGTCATATCCAAAACATGATAGAATAATAGTATAAAGATTTAAATGAAATGCTAGTAAATTCTACTCGTGCTCCTCATACAAAACATGGATAGAATTACAATATCGCCTGAAACTCTCTAAATGAATAACTTTGATCAACACATCAGATGAATTGAATTTACCGCCAATCTTGATTAGCTCAAATTTTTTATAAAAACCTCCATGTTTGATAAAGTGAACTTGATGTCAATGCCTTTCACTCTGCTATCCATCATTCGATCAGCATCAAGATGTAAAACACTTTAGCTCTCACAATGAAGATTGACAACGTCTTGTTTCAATCCCATGTTAGTGCTAAATCTATTTAACCAAATAGCTTCTTTTGTTGCTATTGTTATATACTCAACTTCTGTTGTATCAATAAGAATATCTATCTTATAGATATTGAAGATCTATAAGATAGATCTTCAATGAATGCTTTCACCACCAAGTGTAAACACACATATAATTATAAAAATTCTCTAGTTTTGATCTTGTCCATAATCAACATCAACGTAACATAACAAAAATTTAGCATTATATAATATATTGTCAAAAAATAAATCTATACTTTGACATGGTGTTAGTATTGTTCCAAAAATCACTAATGTTGTCATTAAATATCTTCAAAATTAACCCACTCTGGTTTTGTTCTCACGAAGATCTACAAGTTTCTTCTTTCTAGAAAATAAGCTATCTTATACCGTTTGACTCTCAGCCTTTTGGATCTCTTATAAGTGTGTTCACTGTTTGGATGATCAACCTCTAGATCCGGATCCATTTGAATAGCTACTTTCAGAAGGTTAGTTCTTGGTCATTACAAATTTTTTATCCGAGTGTCTTATTTCCACGAATCTTTTGATATTCAAAGTTTTTGGATTCTAGACTTTCTTGTGACTTAAAGTGTCTAGATATCCATTAACTTCTACTATAGCAACCAATAGGTTGATATGTGGATCAAATCTTCTATTCCATCCGTCTCGAGTATAGTCCAAAACCAGAAAATACTTTGTAGATTCGACTACAATGACATTAAATCTTGTAAGAACAATTTTTGTATGTGTGAAGTAGCATTAAAATTAACTAGGGAGTTGATCATGATTAGCTTAGGTATAATTAAACCTAGTTAGTTATGACTAAGTCTAGCTAGTTATAACTAAATTTATTTAGTGATGACTAAGTTTAGCTATAAAATGTATACTTGTGGAATAACAAATGGAGTTTTAAAAATTTTGAATGAGCACAATTATTTTAATTTCTATCAAAGTCTAGATTTCAAGGATGGAAGTTTTTGACTACATAACTGGTTTTGATTGATTTGATTAAATAATGGAGACTTTATTGGTAAAACTAAGTCTAATGTTGACTTAGTGGCAAGTGGATATTCTGGAAGTTGAAAAGACTTAAATGAAATTTCGCCACCTCAACCTAAGGATTAGAAATCTTCTAGAAGAATCAGTAGTACAATGGCATGTTGCCATGTATTGAAAACTAGTCAAAACTTCCATGAGTTATCTTTGTAAAAGTAAATTATATAAGAATTATCATTTATTAATATGATAACTTCTCAAGTAGTTTACATAGACAGTTGGAGAATAGAATCTTAAGCAAGTTTGTAGAGTTCATGTGTAGAGACTTGTTTTATCAATGAAAGAGTGAGGTTTTCAATATCTTGTAGTATTGATGTGTTTGTGAACTTGAGTGATGAATGACAAAAAATTGTAAGAGGGTGTTTAGGACATGAGTATGAAGGAAAATCCTAGTAATTTAGAATGATAATAAACTATTGCAAAGCCATGTAAGGTATACTTCAATGAAAATCAGCTTGAAGTCTTTATTTTTGAATCCGTTGCCGAGACCTTAATTTAGAAGGTAAAATGTAAAAGTTTTGATTTTTAGCTCGAGAGATAGCTCGAAATCGCTCGAGAGCTCAAAATATCTATGAGATATCACTTGGAGTTAATACTGGAAAATAAAAGAACGGAGAGCATAATTGAAAATGAAGTAGCTTCTGTTTATCTAGTAGTTACATGAGCAAGTACTTTAAAGAGAAAAGTGATCTTAGAGGTCAAAAAACATTTTTTAGAAATGAATTCAAAAGTTTTTAGTGATTCTAGAATGAAATGTGAGATATGTTAAGGTTTTTTTTCACATCTATATCATATTTTTATAAAATGTTATGAGTGTTGGAAGTTAAGAGGGTTTTCACGAGTACTAAAAAACAACTTTCAAGAAAGTTTGTATAGAGTAGATTACTTTTTCTTCATCTGAATTTAGCCTTTGAAAATTTACACAAATGTGTATTGGAAAATAATCTATGTGCCAATTAAAATTTCACCGAGAGATCATATCAAAAAAGAAAAATATGTTATTTTTAAATATAGGGGATACAAAATCAAGAATAGCAAACAAAACCTTCAAATTTTCTTACTCGCAGTTTTCATGTTGTAAAGAGCATTTTTGGCATAAATTTTTTGAGTGTTTACACCTTATGGAAAAATGAATGAACAAGTGAGCTCAAAAGTGAAGTTATCCAAAGTACGTCTCAAGACTTGGATGTTATAGTCTCCATAAACTAAAACACAAGAAAATTCAAAGTGAAGTTTGAAGAGAGAGTACTAAGTCAATCTTCAAGAGTGAAATGCAGAAGTTGCTTTCATTATGGAGAGTAGTGACATAAGGTGGTAAATTGCTCCCTGTGAAACAAGGATATGAGATTGACGAGCTAGAAAAACTTGGAAGAGTTGAAATTTTATTTTGGACCATCATCCTCACATGAATCTAAACGCAACCTATTGTGATAATTGTGGAGTGATTGGACTATCGAAGCAACACAAATGCAATAGAGTAAAGACACTCTTCAAATCACTTGTGGAAGGTCTTGATGACAAATATAATGCGGAGACGTAAAAGTTGATCTCGTTTGATAAAATATTTAACTGAAGATGGAGATTATTATGCGGATGATGGAGAGAATGATGATAAAGTTAAGTCTCATTGTATGTTAAGGGGATGAAAGTGCTCTGGTTAGATTGTACAATCCAATCACTTTTGTTTTTCCTTGATGAATTAATCAAGAATTTAATTAGTGTTATTTGTGTTATATTATGAAGTTTCATATAAATTCCAATAGAAAAATAAATAAAGTAAATATTGATTAAATATAGGAAAATTTCAGGTATTTTATGAGAAGAATAATGAAGATGTAGAATCTTTTGTTAGGAACTTCAAGAAGGCTTGCATAGAAAACAATGAGAAGAAGAAGTATGAGTGAGCTATTGTAACACTAGGGTTTAGAGAGAAGTTCACTCAATGATAGAAACATAAACTCTGAAGATGAGAGATACCAACAATGGTTCTACTCTCTCTTATATAGCTCTCACCAACAACAACAAACACCACCATCCATCCCACTCCTAGTGGATGGTAGATGTGGCGGATAACCCTAACAAGCACAAGGATTACTGACGTGACGCTCTGGACTAACACACTCAATCTTTACTCAACAAGCGCGCGGATCGCTGACGTGGCAACTACGACTAGTGCATGCTAAAGTATCTATATCAATATTTAGAATAACCTCTACTTTAGTTTTAACTAACTAAAGATGGTTACAAACCTCCATACTTTTAAGATGCAATGTCCTTGTTGCACATACGTTCAAACTACTGAACTATCAAAGGTGCATTTGGTAAATTTTTAGCTGGTTTTCAAGTTCATTAATATGATGGATAGCCTTTTCATTGAATCAAATATTCTACTTTTGGATATTTATGATCTCTAATACATTTCTTAAGTATCTTTTAAACCTCAAACTCCTCATGATCTGCTATCAAGGTTGCAAGAGGAGGTGGTGCTGGTTAGTTGGTGAATTGTTTTGGTCGTGGTACATGTTTTCGTAATCATGACACATGAAATACTGGATGTATTTTCATATGTGACAGAAGTTCCAACTTGTATGACAATTCACCAACACAATTCAAAACCAAAAATGGACCTATGAACATAGGATTCAACTTTGGTGTACCTACAAGGGACAATTTTGTTGTAGATAATCAAACATGATCTTCTACTTAAAAAACCACTTCTCTAAGATGAGCATAGAAATGATGTTTTTGCCGATTTTGAGCTATCACCAACTTCTCCTTGCCATGATGTAGTCCTTGGTGAATATGCTCCACACATTTAGTTGACTGCTGCAACTTTGATCGCAACTCTTCTCCTTTCGAAAGTCTCATAAAATTTGAAGGAGTTATAGAATGAGCTCCATACATGAGAAAAAATAGAGCCACTTTTCTGGAAGCATTAACAGAATTGTGTGAGCTCTTATCTCCCACCCTTAGCGTTGTAGTCCAGGTGAAAATCCAAGCCTACACACATAGCTACCCTAGCCATCACAACTCCCCATTCTCTTATACAACCCAGAAAGCACCACTACTCAAACTTCAAGTGTTGAGAGTCCTTTCTGAATCCACACAACACTCACTGTTGAGGATGCAGCTACTCTTCTACACTTCGACTCCACTCACACCAACTATCAAGAGTGCCTACATTCTAACTCCACATACACCAACTATACAAAGTACATACACTCTAAATCCATCAGAAAAACCAACTTATGAGAGCAGCACTTAGTTCATACCCTCTGAATCCACAACACACAACATTGAGGCCACAGCTCCGTTCCTACCCTCTCCAAGTAGAATACCCACTACTTCCACTACGAGAGTACCAACGACACGAAAAAGAAGAGAGAGCCTCATCATATATGCACTCCCCTATAAACCGTCAGCATCCGCCCCCTTCAGCCTGCCAGTTCGACCTCAACTTGATCGCAAAAAATCTGCAAGGTCAATCCAACCAAATCCAGGTCCACCGACACCTGACACGCTAACCTTATCCACAACCTTATCCAAAATATCCACGGGCACATCCTAAACCGACGAGTCAATGCTAAGCACTACAATGCGCACCTACAACACCATCAAGTCTAATCTCCATCCGCCGATGAACCGTGAACTTTGCTTGGTTCAAGAATCCACTGACAAAAATACTCCTCGGCTTCAGTTAGAACTGCATTATGCTTATTTGATGCTCCCTACTTTCACCACTTTGGCCTTCAAAGTATTCACGCGCCCGGGGAGTTGGCTGGGTGTCGACGTGTGGGTTCCAAGCCGGCCCTCTCTGTTTGAACTCCAAGTATATGCTTCTCCACCGTCTGTTGCCACAATAATATGGTGTTTCACTACAGCTATTACCCTAACAGGTCGACAGCCAAAGCTGTTCGTAATTTGGCGAGGAGTGATGACTGCAACCTGCCCACTATGAATGTCAAAATCCGGATGTCCCAAACGACCGCCCCGTCCAAAGCCCCATGAATATACTTCACCAGTAGCTGTTAATGCGACGCTGTGGAATTTTGCTGCGGCAACAGAAACAATGTCACATCCTTGCAAATCGTCTACACGGGCTGGCACTCTTAGGATACTGGTGGTTTCAATTCCTAGTTGATAATTGACGCCGTTGCCCCAACTAAACACTTCCTTTGCACATATAAATGTTGAATTAAGCAATGACTACTTCAAGGTACCCGAGGTAAGGTTGACAGGAGTCAGGCCCTTGGAGTCCTCAAGAACCAAAGATGCGCCAGCCTCAATGAGCAATCCAGCCACAGCAAGGTGGCCAAAGTGAAGAGCCCTATGAAGACTGCTCCATCCTGATTCTCCATCGCGTGCGTTAGGATCGACTCCGGCAGCTAACAGCCTTCTCACAATAGGGAGATGATTCCTCAAGGAAGCAATGTGAAGTGCAGTGGAGCCAAAAGCATTTTTCTTGTTGACGTTCCCATTTTGTTTTTTCAAATGGAGCTGAGCTATCTCGACGTCATGTACACTGCCCGTGCGCACTACAGCCCAGAGATCTTTCAAAGTACCGCTTGACGAGCTTTTGTAGTTCGATACAGGTTTTGACAACATGCCAGCTAAGAGTACAGTGAATGTATCCATAATTGCAGAAAAGAAGTGACCACGTTGTCACATAGAGGAGATATCTTCAAACTTTTGATTGCAGCTCCGACCTGTGTAAAAGTTGCAACTTTTTGTAATTGCAGAAAGAGTTCAGAACAAAGGCTATGCTTGCCGGCTTGCTTGCTTGCCCGTGTACAGTGTTCACGTCAGCTCCAGGCAGAGTCAATTTACTCCATCATGTATTGCCCAGTGCATTCAACGACCATCGTCATCCATGTCTTCACCAAAATAGAATGTTAGCACCAAAAGCCATTCACATACTCCCATAGTTCTCCGAGGGTAGACGACGTTTCCCAGGAAGAAATTTCTCTTCCTTGTAAAAAAATGTGAGCACTTGCATCTAGTTGAATGATCCAGCTTATTATTCTCCACCACAACCATGTCAACGTAAGTCAGATCCAGCTTCTTTTCGTCTTCAACATGACTTAGGTGCAGATCTACTGTACGGTAGTTCGAATACTCAAGTCACTTGAAGATCTCCACTCCCTCTCTCATTCTCTCCACCCCCTCTCGTCCTTTCTCTCTCCCTCCTTCCCCAACGCCTTTCTACGTGACTCTGTCTATGCAAAGTGTGTGCTATTTTGAATCTCATTTCCGACTTCTCTGTTGTGCAGTAACGAGGTAAAACCATCCCTCCACGCATCTCTCAAGTCAGGAGGATATCTCCCAACTGTCAACTCACACACAACATGTATGGATTCTCACTTCTGTATTTCTCTCAACCTTGTCAAAGAATCTTTTGCATACGTTTGACAAATCTAGAGACCATATGCCTTGCGACAGGCGATTGAAACAGGGAAGACTAAAAACTAAACACCGAGATATGACCGGACTGACAAGACTGTAAGGAGAAAAAGTAGTACTTTTGTGATTGAAACTCAAAAGGAGACAACGCTAGGAACTCTTTTTCTAGATACATGGGAGTGATGGAGTTGCGACAGAGAATAGCACAGCTTTGTGGTGAATCTCTCATACAATCTGAAGTTGACACGTCTCACGACGGAACATTGGATGTCACAAAGTCAATTCAAGTTTGAGAACGATGAGCTTGCATTTGAAAGAGGCACAAGCTGTTGGCCCTCACTCGCAAACACCAGGGACTGCTATGTAAGACTGTTGTTACTAAAATGGCAGGCATCTAGAGAGACTTAATACATAAGATTGAATTTACTGGCTTCATGTAAACATACATGCTTTTAAGTTTGAGGGTGACTTGATGTTCAACCACAGTTTTCTAAGAAAGGAGATGGCATCACAGAACTCTTTTCAACACTAGCCACATGTAATGTCCAGGGACGACAGGAAGAGCCTAGCGGCTCGGAGGAGGAGGAACCAAGTCCAGTTTGCGAGAAGCGGGCTGTTCACAAAGGAAAAAAAGGACAAAAGATAGCAGTAGTAGTAGGCACAGCAGGAGTAGCAATATAAAGAACAAAGAGAAAGAGAATTGGAATCACCATGGCCGCGTCGTCAAGCTCGCCATCCTCCAAATCAGCTTTACGGTGCTTTCTTCTAATCTTCCTTACACTTCCTTCACAAGAATGGTTGTTGTTTCATACGACAAAGCTCGGAAGAGGCTGCATCATCACTCCATCATCTTTCTCATTCTTTTCTTCTTCAATTTCACCGCTCTCCGCTTCTTCTCACTCTCTGTTTCATTCAGAACATAACCTCATGTTTGCTTGAATGCAGCGGCCCGCCTCCATTCACCTTTTGCCCTGTGTCTGACTGCATGCCTTCATGAGAGTTCAACACAGCATTTCCCTCAAGGTGCAGTTGCACAACCTCATCGTCAATCTCCAGTTCTTTGTTGGATCCAAAACCATAGTCCGATTCCTCAAAATCCACCAGCTCTTCGTCCTTGACTTCGTACTCGCCGTTATCCATTTCGGCCATTGCTCAAGCGAACTTTCAGTCAAGACTTCACGACAATAAGGAACCCACCAAAAAAGTCCTTGGATAAAATACGGCCCTAACGTGAACGGGTTGACTTCTTTCTGAATATATACTAAGGGTGATTGCGTAACCATTGTACGAAACAATGGTAGGCTTTGACCTGCTCAAAACGCAGACCCTACATTTGTACGGGGTGATTCCACACTATACAGAGAAGTCATCATCGACTCAAAATCTCTGCCCCGAGCTATCCTACAAAGCAACAAATTCTCGACAGAGCTACCCAATATTCGCCCTGGCGCAGCTGAAGAAGGACATGCTAGAGAAATTGATACCAAACCGCTACTCGAGGCTCTAGCGCTACATCTTCTATTGCTACTGCTGCATAGGGCCACCGATGCTCGTGCTACAACATCTGCCATGTCGCCAACTCCCTGCTCTTGTACTTCCTTGCTCGCGGCCGGATCTGGCTTTCTAGAGCACCACCAGCTAGCACAAGGTAGCGGCATAGCATGAATTTAGTTGCTCTAAACCAGAACGGATCGCAATGAATTGGACACAAGCGCACGAAGAAAACGTGCAATTTTTCCTCACCTTCCGGTGCCCTATCTACCTTTCCCACCACTACCACTTGGACCCCTGCACGTCCTCGCGTTTCGGCTCGTTTTGTTATACCGTGAACAACAAGACTGTTGAGGAAGCCATCGACCAAGAGCGTTCAAGACCACCCGCCCCTCTTGGGCAATGCTGGAAAACACCACTACGGCACCAAAACTAGCAACTATAGCGGCAGAGTCTGAGTGACACTCCCTCCCGCTCCATCTCGATGACCTTGGATGCAAAACCCTCGTCCAAACCCAAGGGCAAGCATTAGGGTATGAAACTTCCCCTTTTCCTTGTCGTCTTCCCACCTCACTGCACGCCATTGCCAAGCCCGCTCTTGCAGGACCTACAGACTCAAGAGACACTCCACAGTCTACTTAACCTACTAACTACTACTAACATACTATTAATCTATTAATTATTTTTCTTTTTCTTTTCTTTGTCTGAGGTCTCTAATATATCATACTAACTAGTGCTAACTATATAATTGAGTTCATAATTGAATTCACAAATTGTTATATGCAAATTTCACAATTGGCAAAAGGTTGTCTCATTCTTCTTGCTCTTCTAATGTGAATGCTTGTACTCTATGATTTTATTTGCCCTCTTTGTTTGTCCATCAATTTGAGTATGATGAGCTGTTGACATTGCTTGTTTAGTTTTGAAAAAAATAAACAAAGTTTTCCAAAATAAACTAGTGAAGTGAATAACTCTATGTGTGATTAACACTTTGCTTAAGCCATGATTCACAATAATTGCATCTAGATACAATTGAGCTAGTTGTGGAGTTGTTAGCGTTTTTGTGGTTAGTATGATGTGAATTATCTTGCTCAATTTGTCCACAAAAACCACCAGTGAATCATGCCCTAACGAAGTCTTGGATAACTCACATACAAGATCCGTGATGACATGTTCACATCGCTCTTTAGAAATAAGAAGAAGTTGTGATAAACTCGTTGGTTTTTGATTACTTGACTTCTTTTGTTGACAAGCAATACAACTTCGAACATAATACTCCACATCCTCATGTATTTTGGGCCTATAGTACACTCGTTGTATACTCTTCACAGTTAATCTCCACTCCCACATGACCTGCAATAATTGTGTCATGACTTTCAGCCAAAATCATTGTGCGCAAATCTTGATCTTGTGGAATCCATATACGTTGTTTGTAGAACGTTAAACCTCAAAACTTCTCCGCATTTCTAGTTTATAGTGCTCGAGTGATTTCTTCATCCTCTTTCGTGGCTTGTGTCATCTTGCTCCACCAATCAGCGTGAATTTTCAATTCTGCAACATGATTAAACAAAGCATGCATATGAGAGCATCATCAAGTTTTTTCTTCCCCTTCACGTACACAATCTTCATGTTGAAGCGTTGACGCCACTTTGTCCAACGAATTTATCGTTTAGACAGATTCTTTTGAGTTTTCAAGTAAACTAAGGATTTATGATAAAAGTCCACCACAAACTTCTTATTACCCAAGTAATGCTTCCAATGTTTAGTTGCCAACACAATGATTAACTTCTCTCATTCTGTCTTGTGATAATTTTGTTCCGCTGCCTCCAACTTTTGAGAATAGAAGCAATTGGTTGCCATTCATCTCCCATTCTTGTTGAAGTATGCCATCTACTGTTGTACCTAATGCGTGAGTAGCCAACTTGATAGTACAGTTAGGATCATATCAGTTGAGGATAAGTGCGTGTAACAAAAAAATATTTTAAAATCTGAAAAGCTAACTTTTGAGCTATTCCTCATCTCCACTTTTTTTTACCTTTCCCCAACATGGAAGTCAAGGATTGAGCTATGCGAGCAAAAAATTTCACAAATCTACGATAGAATCTAGTGAATTCTAGAAAACTCTTCAATTGAGTTTGTTACTCAAGTGCTATCCATTTCTTAATGACATCTATATTCTCATTTATTACTTGGATTCCTACAGTTGTAACTCTATGAACCAAGTAATCTACTTCTCACTTGCCAAATTCACATTTTGAAGCTTTGGCATACAATTGATTGTCTCTCTAAGTCTCTCGTTAATAACTTTTATGATCATTCAAAGTTTTGCTATACACCAATATATCATCTAGAAAAACAATGACAGATTTATGTAGATTAGGGGAAAAAATATCGTTCATCAATCCATGAATGTAGGTGGTGCATTAGTGAGATCAAAAGACATCACTAGATACTCAAAGTGGCCATACCTAGTAAGAAAGCTGTTTTGTGGACATCTTCATCAGTAATTCAAATTTGATTATAGCCCCTTCTCAAATCTCTCTTGGTGAAGTACTTTGCTCCTTGAAGTTGATCAAACAAATCATCTATACGGGATAATGTATTATTTTTTTTCACCGTTTGCTAATTCATTCCCAAATAGTCGATGTATAGTCTTATGGATCCATCCTTCTTTATCACAAAGAGCACTAGAGCTCCATAAGATAAAACCCTTG